GTCCTATGTATACATGTACTAATTCAATAATTAATCTCATATTAGTTACTGGTAATTATAACTCTAATACAAAATTCCATGTATTGACAAAGCATATTTTACCTTGAAAAAAATTTCCTTTCATGCTCTTAGAAAGTTCTGTAAGATAAATCAGTTAAGTAGTAAATTTGTATATTTAAATAAAAACAAACAATTTAAATCTGTATGTTTAAGTAAGAAAAAAAGTATTTTGCATGATGACTCAAACATAATAGCAAAAATAGTAAAGGGTTCTGACAGGGAGGTCAGTCAGTTAAAAGTGATTCTAACAATATCTCATTAAATTATTGAAAAAAGATATTCTATACACCTGAAAACCACTCTTTAGGTGTGTAAGTTTTGGACAACCTATGTGTTCCGAGGGAATTTCGAATATTTCATTTGCTCAAGTATAATGATTGATTATAATTACGCCTAATGTGAATAAGCAAAAGGTATTTTTCACCACTTATAACTCTGTAGGTTATATCTCTTCTTTTTTTTATTTTTTTTTTCGAGTTCCATAACTTGGGCTTCTGTTCAACAATTGTCCAGTAGGGGAGGAGCAGAATGTTATTATGAATATTGGAGTTAAACAAGGTTTTCTTCTCAGCCCTTTGCTTTTCTCATTATTTTTTAAAGATTGTCTAGATGGTGGAGGATGCATTTTGCATTAGCTGTTAAGCCATAGCCATATCACATTCACTGCAGAGAATGATTACTTGAAGATGCCCATAAAAAAAATCAAAAATCATACTGTTCAGGAATATGAAATGGGGTTGGTGATGAATGAGGTGTGGTTTTTCTGGAATGCAAGCATAAAATTGTCAATGAGTATGTCTCGTTGGGTATCTCTTACCTCTAAATTAGCTTTTGGTAATGTTGTATAAAGTATGTAAAGCTAAACAGGATTTTTAGAAAATAGATTTTTATTCAAAACTAAGTAATACTGTTAGCACAGCAAAGATTTGTATGGTTCCAAATTTGGGGGGGGATGTTAGGTTTGGTGTTCTGGAAAAACTAATTCAATCATATATATATATTACGCAGGGCGGGTGACCAGGACCCGAGGGGTTAAAAGCCTAGGTAGGCCCGTACCCCATCCCTAAAAGGTCCGAGACCTGGTCGGCTCACGAGTCCTGCATAAACCTTTTGGACCTATTCACAAACCCCAAGATTTTGGACCATTTTATCTTGGGGAGTGTTTTGGTTATGTCCTCTCCTTCGAAAGTTTCAAATCTTTCCCTGGCATACCTATCGCATTCTGCAAGGTAGTGTCGAGTTTCTTCCTTTGTTTCACAGAAGCGGCAAAAGGGGTCTGGAAGAATACCCATTAGGAAGAGGTGTCTTCTCAAGGGGCAATGGCCCGTTAGGATACCTATCAGCCTCCTAATTCCCCTCCTAGAGTTAGAGAATAACCATTTCGTTTCTTTTGGTTTGATTTCCTTCAGAAACTTCTTCGATTGCCTGTGTCCGGGGGACATATACCATTCTTTAAGGAATTGTTTCATGCCCCAGCAGTTCAATTATGCAATTCAATCATAAGAAGTATAAGACATTTTAAAGTTTAGAATTTGATTTTTGGGAATAACAGATGGAATTGTCTACAGTTTGTCATTTGACATTTGTCTATAGTTAAAATATAGTTAACATATACACAATATTATTTTGAAATTTCTTGGTTGGGTGTTGGAATAGTTGGTGCTAAAATAAAATATGCGTTGACACGAATAATTGGAATTGATTTAAAGAAATAAATATTAAAACAAATTTAATTTTTTTAATTGTTTGAAAAAATTAATTATAAATTTTCATTCAATATTCAATTTGAAAAAGCACAATTGACTATATTCAAACAATCACATACACAAATATTTTATATAATTTTATTTTGTAGAAAATAAAACAAGTATCAATGAGTGAAATAGTGATCATTATAGAATATGGGAAAACAGGTTTTGCCTTGAAACTGGTCCCACCTGGAAGTGATTTCTTATGTAACTCGTTTAAAGGTCCTTTAGATTTAACGGTATATTTAAAAAACAATCAAATCTCTTGTATTAGATAAAAATTTCAAAAATAAGTACAATTTATTTTAAATTGGGTTGAGATTTTTGCTATTATTTATTATTTATTTTATTATTATATAAGTAAATAGCAGAAATTCCGATAAAAACTCAGTATATGTATTGTGAAACAAACAGTACAATTATGTAATATAATTACCAATAAAATCCTTGTAGATAAATAACAATTTACAATTAAAATAATATGATGTCTTGGGTATTGTAATGCAGTTTCCCAATAAAATTATAATTAAAATATACGAAATGAATTATTTTTTTAAAGTTAGAGAATTTTTTTAATAAAAATGACTGAAGATTTGATTTGAATTCGTGTTCTTGGGTTGACAACATTTGAAGGTAGATTATTCTGATTTTCTACAATGCAGTTTAAGAAGAATGTTAATCCAACTAATTTTTGGGATTGCTGTTTTTGAAGTTTCATGCTATGATCATGAGTTTTTGAGAAAATGTGTAGTGAGAAAAGTTGAGGCGAAGGGTTGTATTTATTTGGAAGAATTTTATATATTTCAATGAATCTTCCCTTTCTCTATGATCTTAAAGTTGGTAATTTAAGTCAGTCTATGTAGCTGTATAGCTTTAATTTTTTTTAAGGTTTTGGTAAAACATTTTTGAACTTTTTCTACAAGATGCGGTCTGGTGTGACATAGGTTTTAGAAAAACATTTTCTAAACCATGGCAACATTTCAATCTTTATTGAGATCATCTTCAGGGCTCAAAGTGTTTGTTTTCTGTGTTGATGTGTCATTCTTGTGTGTCGTGTTGAGAGTGCCCTTTCAATATATTTCATTACATATTTGGTATTTTTCAAATAAAATCTTCAAACAGACCAATAAAAATTCAACAATAATAACAATTTTTATTGTATGTTAATTTTCAAATTAAATTTACTCTTATTTTATTTTATTTAAAGGTACAAATAGGGCTTTAAGCCCTCTTACATGCACATATATTGTATACTGGAAATAAATTTAGATTTATAAACATAGTAAAATAATAATAATAAAATATATAATTATTCTATAAAATATTAATTATTTATAATTAAATGATAAAACCACATTACAAGAGAAAAACAGAAAGAGAAAAAATATAATAGGAAACGGGAAAAAAGAAAAACACTAGGGAAGAAAAGTAGATGATGCATACTGTTTTTAACTCCGATGCCATGGACGTGAAACAAGTCAGCAAAGAAGTAGAGCATACTTCTCGGGGAAGCAAATTCTAAAGTCTCGACACTGCAATTCTGGATAAGGCTAAAGTTTCAGAGGAAGTTGAGGGCTTGGGATATAATTGGTGCCTTTGATTAAAGAATGTGATGAAAATCTGATAGATATTGAGGACATTTGATTTAATTTTAAATATGTATATTAAAACTAAAAGTTTATAAGTGCTTAGAATGTTAAGTTGCTGAAAATGTTAATATAGGAAGAAATATGATCTCTTGGTTTAAGATCACAACAGTATCTAATGCTGACATGTTAAGCAATTTGAAGGCAATGGGCAGAGTGAGAGTCTAAGGAAAGTGAAAAAATAGCACTGCAGTAAGGTAATAAAGGGATTATTAGGGATTTAATAAGGAGATGTCTAGTTTTCTGAGGAATGAAAAGGTAAGGCGCCTAAGAGAAATGAAGGCTTGAGAATATATTTGTAAAATAGAGCTTGGTCATGCCATAAAACTCGGAGTTATTTTTAACTCCGAGATTTTTAACTTTAGGACAAAAATTATAAGGAAGGGAGAGGCAATCTGTATTAATTAATTTTTTAAATTGGTTGAGAGAATGAAGATCAGGTCAAGCCGAGAGATAGCTTAAAACAAGGTGCTTGTATGAGAATTAAATTTAAACCTGAGTGTCATCAACATGAAGATGAAATTGGGAGAAATTAAGAACTGATGGAATATCATTTAGAAACATGGGAAAGAGTAAAGGTCCAAGGATAGAGCCTAAGAGTACACCAAGTTAAATTGAGAGTGAAGAGGAGAAAGAATTTGAAGCTTTACATCTCTGAGTTCTGTCAGATAGGAGATGAGATTAGTAGCAGTAGAAGAAAAACCAAAAAGATGCATCAGTTTCCAAATAAGCAAATTATGAGCCGAATGCATTGGAAGAATCAAGCAGAACAATAATACATTATATCTATATCTATCTATATTATTATACCTAGGGAATATCAACTGAGATTTTTTTAAAATAATAATTTTTAAAATAAATTAAAAAGTTCGAATTATTTATCTTTATTCAACTTTCTTATTTCTGATTATTCGGAAATCGTGAGACTTTGTTATTTCTGTGGTGTACTTCGATTGTTAAATAGCTTTTTGTTGATTAGTTTGTCATTTGTATAACTGTTATTTCAACAGCCATTATTCATCATTATTATCTATGTTATCATCAATGCCTAGGTGAAAATCATCTGAGTTTATAAAAATAATACTTCTTAAATCAAATTAAAAAGTTTAAATTATTCATCTTTATTCTGCTTTGTTATTTCTGTGGTGTAATTTGACACTTACAAAGCTTTTGGTTTATTAGGTTTGTCATTTATATAAATGTTATTTTAACAAACAATATTCATCATTAATATCTATATTATCATCAACGCCTAGGCGAATATCATCTGAGATTTTTTTGTAAATAATAATTTTTAAATCAAATTAAAAAGTTAAAATTATTCATCTTTATTCTGCTTTGTTGTTTCTGTGGTGTAATTTGACACTTACAAAGCTTTTTGTTGATTAGTTTTGTCGTTTGTATAATTATTATTTTAACGGCCACTTTGACTATATTCGCCATAATTTTTTTTGTTCGTCACCTTTAATTCTTCATTTATAATTTATTATACAGAAAATTGATTAATTTAAGAAGTTTGTTAGTAAATTTGTGCCATCGATGTTTTAAATTTCGATTTTTTTAATTTTAGTGCTTATGATGTAAAGTTTGAACGTTATCTTATAATGGCGAATTGTGTGATTTCTTTCTGCGTCTGATTAGAAATCGAAGTGTAAAATCGACTTGATATCCAAAATCGACCTTCCAATGGACATTTAATTCTGGAAAGATGATAAAATACATAATTGGTTAGTGGTTTACCGATACACGATCTGATTCATGGATCTGGTCGACGTCGTTTCTCTCAAATCCGGAGGGTTTTTGAAGTGATGGACGCGTCCGTGACAGGCTCTTTTGAACCGTTGACGTCCTTTTGAGGGGAGGCGAATGAGCGAAGTCAGCTGACCCGCCGGACGTCTACTATGACAATCATGGCCCAGAAGTTGGATCAAAAGCAGAAATGGGCAATTCCGAAGTTCCAGACCAAGGGGCGAGAAGCGATCCATTCCGGCCACTTTATGGTCTCGGACTTCGAAGCGGAGGCCCAGGACGACGAGGACGAACTCGCCGTGCCCGTCCCAGAAGTCGAGAAGGAGGTCGTCGAGGTGAAGTCCGTAACGGCCAACTGCCCGTCCAAAGACAGGACCGTCGTCTCAGTGCCTATAAACTCTGTTAAACTTCCCTTCAACCAGCTTCTCATCGAAACTTCCCTCACAAAACTGTTTCAATGCATGTCTTTGGCTTACAGGTAAGACAATCTAAAGACAAATCTAATTCAAATAACCGATGGAGACAGTAACAATTTATGTATTGCTCATTACACTTATACAATTATATTGTTTTGTTTTTCATATGTTATCAGAACACAATGACAAGTAGTTTTTGTGGAACTGGGTGATAGATCAGTCGTGGTTGATTCCTCAATGCTATCACTTTCTCATGGTGGGTTTGTGACAAATAATATGGCTTCGTGCAAATCATGTTTGACAGGAAGATAAACAAAAAATCATACTTATATAAACTCTTTTAAACAAGTTTTCTATGACTAGTTTCTGAGTTTTGTAAATATTAAATGACGCAATAAGTTGTTGTAGCTTAATGAGCAGACTGGAGTAAGATGCGATCGAGCTACAGGTTCATCCCCCTGCAATGTCACTATAACGTAACTGTTCAATCCGGTCAGCTCATTCTCGCGATGAAATACTAAAAACATGTGAAATAAATTGGCCAGGATTATTGCGGACAAACTTCATTACCTTGATGGTCTTCATCGCAATTTTGCTACAAGTGATTAGATAAGACAGATCAAGTGTGCATGTAGCTGAGTCAAGAAAAACGTTCATAAAATAATGGAAAAAAAAAACAATATCCATAAAAAAGTATGGGAAGGACAGTAGTTATGCTAATGGATAAATAATAAAAATAAAAATAGGCTCGAGAAAAGAAAAAACTATAATTAAAAATATCACGATGAACTTATGTTTCCAAAGTATCATGTTAGCAGAAACAAATAGAGAAAAACAATCACAATTTTCCTAAGATTTAAATTTAATTTTTTTAAATAGAAGTAACTAAGGATTTTAGTTTTATTGATTCAACCCTGATTTGATGAAAATAATGCAGTACGTCTATAAAAAACCTAGCTTTAATTACTAGTTCAACATTTTAATTCTTTTAATTACTTGTCCTAGAATTTATATCATCAGATTATTTCAAGTTGAAATGTTATATAGTGAATTTTGGATGTCTACAAGGTAATGGACCTTTGGAATGGATTAATAATTTTATTTACAGCATCAATAGCCATTGTAAAGAAAATACACTTTTGAACAAAGTACAAAAATACAATAACATTATAAACTAGTTTTTTGTGTCATCAACTTTTTATGAAATATATCTTGATTAATTATTATTTCCAATTAATAGGTCTGTACAGTCTAGACAATTATATATATCTAACAATTTGTGCAAAAACAGTATATCATAGATAGTTCTATGGTGTTTGAGAAACTCCACCTGGACTCCTAAACAATGTATTTTTTTTTTTTTTTTTATTCACTAGCCCAACTACAACATAGTTTCCAATAGTGCATTTCATATAAACACATTTCACATTTTTAATTGGCTCAAATGGCTGATTTAATCTGACATGAATATATAGCTTTATGTGCTTCCATATCGCAGTGCTTCTTAGATTATTATCACAATGCTTTTAAATACATGGATAAATAAATAAAGAATGAATTGTAAAACTATTTACAATAAATGAGGTTTTTATCATTATACAAACCACTTACACTATCATTGTGATCACCTCAACCAATGCAACTCTGCAAAGTATGTGATTTGAGACGTGTTGCAAGTTTTTCGCCCTGATGAAAATGTGATACTCTTTTCACCAAAGGGAATTTGGAGTGGAACTTGAGGAATCTTTCCTCAGTGATTTCCCTCTTTTATATTCAGCCCCCAGTGTGATTGAGAGTTACGCACACACCACTCAGTGTTGACAGCAATTCTCAGCATCTTATTTTGCAGTACCTAGAGGCCTTATTTTGGAGGTAGCGGTAGACCCATACTTTGCACCCCATGGAGTACTAATTGCCTGATTTATATAATATATAAATTAGGAGAGTCACTGCTGGCCTTAGTGTATCCTTCATTTACCTTTTTGTTTATATGAATACTCCAGGTCAGCTTTTGGTCCAAGTAAACTCCCAGGTACTTGACTGTTCTGCCTTCGGGATTCCGAGGGATGTTTTTTTCCTTCAATATTTAGTTCAGGAGTGTTTGGGGTTCTTCATGGTGTAAAAATCTTACTTTCTCATTTACTTGGGTGAATGCAGAGTCTCCAGTCTGAACAGTTTGATTTGATTTCCTCAATGTTACCAATATATAATTGATAACAAGGTGCCCATACAAAAGAATTGAATTCCAACATTGACCAAACCAGAGAGAAATAAAGTATTTTAATATGAGAAGTATGTGGAGTAAGTATGTTGCACTTTACAAAATCAACTGTTTTTAAAGCTTTGTTTGCTATTGACGTAATGTTCACAAAATTTAAACATAGATTTGATTGAGTCAACTGGATTTTTTTTTTTTTTTTTTATTTATTGGCCTTATTATCTTGCATATTAGCCACTGGATTTAGAGTAACATTATTTACATTATATGGATGGATTATATTGTTCTTAGTTATACTAAAGCGGATGACATAGCATTTTTCAATAATTATATACACACCAATGCTTTTGCTCACACTAATGGACTAAATTGTTTAGTTTTCAGTGTTAGAAGTATTGACCACTTTCTTCACTTACGAACACTGCATCAAGGCATGGTCTTGAAGGCAAATGTAGTGGATAATGCCAAGTTTTCGACCATATTTACCATACCATTGACATATTTAAATTTTTTTACAGGCGATCTCAAATTTGCTTGAAGACCAATTCAGCCCCAACATTGCCAAAGACCATAACATGTTGCTCACAGATATGACAATCTGTAGCCATATTTAAAGTTGTTTTGCCCTGATGATGACCTTAAAATGGGTTGAAAGTTTGGAATTAGCAACTAAATTTGCTTTCTTCTTCTTCAAGACCATACCTTGATCCAGAGTGTTCGTAAATTGTTTAGCTCAGGCTAAATAATGTTACAGTTGTTTGGGAGGCCACTCAATTACATTGGTACAATTTGAAAATCATCTCCAAATAATTTACATTTACAATGAACAAAATAAGAAATTATATCACTTATAAATACATTAAAACAAAAATGTCTGCTGGTAACCTAGATGTTACAACAATGGGTTTGGATAGGGAATTTAGAATTAACATATTATATATTAATTGTGTTCTACCCAATAAGTAATCAATTAACCAATTAGGTAAATTAGCAAAAATACAAATTCTTCCCAATTTTGCAAATAACTATGAATGATTGATTGACGCCTTGTCTTTGGTTTTTAAATGCATCTAGAATGTCATGCTGAAATGTTAATAGATTCATCGATGTTTATGTTCTGTGATAATATGTGTAAACGCAGGAGTGATCACAGATCTTTTCAAATATTTTTGGGGTAAGCAAGATTTTACATATTGGCCTATAATTAGTTACCTCTTCTCTATTGCCACTTTTAAAAGATGGCAGTACAAATGAAGATTTCCATAAGTTAGAAAACTGCCCCATTGACAAAGATTTACTTTTACACTATTTAATACTAAAATCCATAAACATTGATTACATTATTGAAGAACTCAGCTTTTTTATCTCTCTCTCTTTATTAAAATGAATGCATTTCGGGTTAATTCTAATAACCCCTCGTCGCCTGATGAAGTGTTCAACTGATACTTGAGTGTAAGCCGAAACATCCTCAGTTGAAGAAGGGTTATTGGAATTAGCCTGAAATCCATTCCTTTTAATAAACAGAAAAAATACTGGAGTTCTTCAAATACTAAACATTATTATTATTGTATGTTATGCTTCTGCCTTCTCACCCCGTACTACAAGCATTCACAGATGTACAATATAAAGAGGGTATCCCTTTTCCCTTGATACATTAGCCTTCCTTGGTTATGATCTTTCATTTCATGTGACTCAGTATTTCTGGAGTACCTTTGAAATATTTTCTAAACCTAAATGTCACAAAACTGCCAATTTGCTTATGTAATGTATCAAGTTGCAGCAAAGAGTACAAACAAACAATAATTTGAGTTAATCTTCTGAAAGACAGCTAAAATAGGAAAAAATTTCCAATATGTCATAATGTAAAGTACTATGAAAAAAGTTCTACTTTTGTACAATTTGTATTTTTACTTGTAGTATTATGTCTTCACTGCTCATCAAGGTATTTTGTTGGTTGTTATTAAACTTGAAATAACACTAAAACTTCTTTCAGGCAAAAGTTAACGTCACCAAAATGGAACCGATTCAAAGGAATTCGTTTAAGATGGAAGGACAAAATAAGGCTGAACAACGTAATTTGGAGGTGCTGGCACATGCAGTGTATGTATACGGTTGAATCCACTCTTATCTCATGCTCTCTCTCTCTCTCTCTCTCTCTCTCTCTCTCTCTCTCCTCTCTTTCTCTCTCTAATGTATAAAAATAAACAAAAGGAAAAGATTAATGCTATTGCATATACAATGAACAATTGTTTATCTAATATGAAGTACATATTTGATTTTTTTTTAATTTATGTCATTAATATATTTATTTGCCAATTCTGTTAGTACGCAATTATTAACTCATTAGTTTAAATAATTTATATCAACTAAATAGAGAGCATTTAATGCTTTTTACCCACTGAATTTAGTTATTAATCTCTAGTTCTCTTATCTATGTGAAGTTTGTCAAGATAATATATTATCTAAAAAAAATATCACCAAACGTGGCAAAAACGTTTTACATACAAAAACTGAATTATTGTAGGTTTTTTTTTGTTTTTGGTTGCTTGGTGCTTTAAAATTGTAATGGTGTATTACATGTTACTGAAGCATTTGTGGTTGGTGTACCATGACACAACACAAATAGTTCTTAGTTTTGATGTAGGACTTAATAGTTTCATCGTTTTTTTTAGCATCAATTAAAAAATGATTGCACGAAAGTTAACTAAGGGGGAAGGGGCTGTGGTAGCCGAGTGGTCAACGTGATAGACTCTCAGCTCCATAACTGCAGTCGTGGGTTTGATTCTCACCGTTCCCCCTGGCCTTTTTTTTCACACAACCCTCCCCCTCAAAAATAATGCTCCTTGACTAATATGCAAAGTTCATGAGGCCATTGCAAAAAAATAGTTACCTATCATCAGTCTTCCCATTCTTGTTGATTTTTGTTATTGGGTTGTCCGGAAAATAATGCAGGATTTTGGTATTAAACAAAAAAAAAGAAACTAGTTACTTTAAAGCAATGTTCTTTAATCAAAATAATTTCCCATACTCTCAATACATTTCTCCCAACGTGTTGGTAACTTATTAATTCCGTCTGAGTAGAATTCAGAATTTTTAGAATTGATAAAGTCAATAAATGCATTTTCCAGTTCCGTTTGATTTTTGAATATTATGTGTTGTAAGTAGTGGTCCAGGTGTCTAAAAAAATGGTAGTCAGTAGGCGAGAGGTCCGGAGAGTAGGGTGGGTGAGGCAAATTTTCTTAGCCAAGCTCCAATAATTTTTGTGACGTTACACGTGACACATGTGGTCGAGCGTTGTCATGCAACAAAATGGGCCCTTTCCGATTGACCAAAGAGGGCTTCATTACTGCCAATTTCTGATGCATGGTATTAATTTGGTTACAGTATGATTCAGCATTGATGGTTTCGCCAGGATTTAAGAAGCTGTAGTGTATTAAACCAAATGAAGCCCACCATACCGTAACCATTACCTTTTTTTGATGAGTTGGGGGCTTTGGAGCTTCTCCTTTGTCGAGCCACTGTCCAGAACGTCTAGTGTTATCGTAGAGAATCCACTTTTCGTCACATGTAACAATTCTGGCCAGAAATGGGTCATTTTTGTTTCGACAAAGAAGTGATGCACAAACATCAAAGCGCTGATTTTTTGGCGATCGTTTAATGAGTGTGGAACCCAATTTTCGAGTTTTTTCACTTTTCCAATCGCCTTGAGGTGGTCAGCGACGGTCGTTTTACTGACTTTGAGTTGCTCTGCAAGTTCTCGAACAGTTGTTTTGGGGTTTTCTTCCACCACTGATCGCAGAACATCATCATTAAGAGAGGAAGGCCTTCCACGACCTTCTTCATCTTCAAGGCTGAAATCTCCCTCCCGAAATTTTTTAAACCACCTTTGCACAGTGCACTCATTAACACAACCCTCGCCCCAGACTTGGTTAATGTTTCTAGCCGTTTGGGCTCCGCTTCGGCCGAGTTTAAACTCGTAAAAGAAAATCGTACGAAATTCTCGCTTTGACATTATAAGGATGACTGAATTATTTCCAAGTAGCGGAATGCTACAGAGGTAAACAAACAATATCATTTGGAAGAGGATTAATAAGTGTTGACATTCATACAAATGAGTAATCCTGTAAACGTAAACAGAATATTTTATATAGATTTTTTTTAATGAAAACTTAAAATCCTGCATTATTTTCCGGACAACCCGATAGTTCAAACACAGCATTTTGCCATCTTCTGTCACGCGTCTGAAATAATAAAAATAAGCGAGAATGGGCAGACCAACATGAACTATCAAACAGTAGATTTATCACCCTGCAGTCCACAGGAGAAAATCTTACAATTAGAAATCTGTGTACCTTTTTATAATGTTGGTTTTAAAAAGATAAAAAGTGTATTTTAATGTGTAAAAACACTGAGAAAATGAATTTTACTGAAAATTTGAAATTATTACCTAAAAAACATGCTTCAAAAATAACAGTTAATATGTTTCTGTTCATTAGCTAAGCTGGAAGAATTTTAGCATTTTATGATTTATCCATTAAACAGATGAATTTCAACTCAAATATATATTTAGGAATACGACAAATGGGAAAAGAAAGTTCATTAGAGATTCAGCATTTCATAGTAATGTTCGGACAACTTCTTTTGTGTCAAATAATGTTGTTTTGTCTGTTAATGTTTCCAGTTTCAGTGGTTTGATGATCTGGTCCCTCCTTTACAAACCTAGTCATATAAATAATATAAATGTTGGAATAAAAATCTGATTATTTAACCAAGCGATTTCCCTTACAGTTATAAAAAAGCAAAATACATTGGTTTGTCAATTTGCTTCGCCATTGGACGTCGATACTCACAACAAACCAGAGGTACAATTCAGAACAATATTTATTATCTGCATACAGTAAATATATTTGTATGCAACTGTTCTTTCAGGCTATAGTTTTAGAGGGAAAATATTGGAAAAGAAAGTTAAACGCTGTCACTGCAGAATACAAAAAATGGCGTATGTACAGTCGAAACCAAATATTAGGTCGCCCTCCCAATTACGGACATGATACCGTGAGCATTTTTTCAAATATTCTTCATTTTATATTTGATATTCCATGATAGATAGTAAAAAGCTACAAAAAAATATAATGAGGAAAAAGACATGTACAGTAAAACCACAATTATTCTGGGATAATGATGGTGAGGGAGTCCATAGAAAATGAAAACCCCAAATAATGATATTTATTTTTTAATGCATTAATTAAATTGTGAATCAAAAATACATGTGTTATTACTTTTATTATATTTCATATATATTTTTACATGTATATAATTGTTTTCAAAAAATCATGACAAATTTCCAAAAGGCCAAATTGAAAAACAAAATGTAGACTAACGGCCTGTGACACCAATTCTATACCAAAAATACCCCAAACACCCTACAACAAACTTCAAAAGCGAGGTTTTTCCGGAAGAGGTGCATCATTCTCAAACGACATCCATACATAGAGAAGGGTTTAGTGTGTCATATGTAAACCTGGGGCCCGGATAATGGAAGTTTTACTGTACATGTTTTTATTGGTATGGAAAATTTATGTTATACTTGACTATTGTTATGTTATTGTACAGCTGGCTGAATTAGAAGGACACGATTGGTCTTTAAATTCCAACGAAAGTCTAATGATGGTTGATGAAGACTACATGGGGCTAATGAGTGACACGTTGTTTTCTACAATAACAGCCAATCAGCCTTTTGCATTTCCTGATACAAGAGAAATTGGTAATGTTTCTCTAAAATGCAACAAAATCCATTTTATTTCTAATACTTGTGATATTTTAGCCAGAGGAGCAAATTTAGCAGATTTCATTCAACCGAGTCTTGTCCAATTACAGCCAAACTTAGAAGAATTCATGGACATAGAGCCATTACATGGTATCTTGCTTTCATAGTTATACTTTAAGCATGTAACCAAATTTATTTTGGTTTTGTTGATTACAGAACTTTTTTGCTCAAAACTTGTTAGTGTACCTGAAGAAACCCAGACCCTTCAGATAACTCAGTTCTCGGAAGAAAAGCAAATTTTAAGTCAGCAACCAGCACCTCCACCTGATTACCCAACCACATCAATCCCTCCTTATCCACCTCCTTATCCTACACAGAGCCTTTGGTACGGCCTTCCAGATTACAATGACCCCACTGTCCAGCAAAGCATCCCGCAACAAGCTCTCCCTTCACAAAATCTTGAACCACACACTTATACTCAACAGCCTACACAATCATCACCACCTTTGACAGATTTAATCGTTACGAGAAAAGAAGATATTTACTTACAACCAAAAGTAAGTTGTCCAATGTTTGAAAAACTTGTCGCTTTATGGGATTGAATATTGAATGTTTTATAGGCTAAATCTAAATGGAGTGGAAAGCCTGACCAAGCCAAGAAATTGGCAACAACATTGAACAACTCTGCAGCTTTAGCATTAATACCTTCCAATTCTGGTATTGTTTTAACTCCCCTTGCTCCCGGTCCTGCAATACCAACACAAAATATCTCACTTCAAGAAACACAACAGAACAACAACGCATTTCTAGCTCAGCTTCTTACCAATTGTGAGTTGTAATAAATAAAACAATTTTTTATATATGTATCTGTATGCATATAATTAAAAATAATGAATTTCTAGCCACTCCTGCAAATTATGGTTTCGTGGGAAATGAACAGACAAATTCACCGACTAAGAGTTTACCACCGAAGGAAGAAATTTCTTATGCATCACAACAGTCTATCGGAAATATTATTACTCTCCCTTTCAAAACTGAGAAGTATGTATAGAGGAAATTTGTAAATATTTACATAGTAATGTTAACAGAAATTGTGTTTACACTAAACTATTGTTCTATTGCAGTGAATACAGTAAACAAAGGAGTTATAAGATAAATCAAAATATGGGAAGCAGTACTTCACCCACCTTACAGACAGTACAAACTGTTGTGGCCAGTCCAATGCTAATAAAGTCCATCCAAACACCAATGCATAATGTTGTACGTTATTATATTATTACATAAGCGTGAGAGAGAAAAATTACTGTTTTGCAAGTTACAGTTATCATTTTAATGGATTTTGATTTTTTTAACTTGTCCACTGCTGTTTTCTTCCAATGTTTTAAACCTTTTTCTCTTTAAGTATTGCTCAGAGAGGTAGTAGTATGAAGATTCAATACTTTGGAATATAAAATGAGTGATTTAGTAGAAACTAGATTCCATCTATTTCAGAAAACGTGCAGGCATTGACTTCAACTCCTTCAAGATTAAAAACAAATTAGAATGTGTTGTTTTATACCAGTAGACGAGTAAACTTTGTTCTATTCAATGTTACAGTTAACAATTCTTTTGATGAGAATAATTTTAAAAGATAGAACAACTGATGCATTTCCATGATAGTGACTTTTTGTGAAATGAGCCTGCACCTCTCTACATGCTCTTTTCACATTTCTTAACTTTTCATTCACACTTGGTTGTCAGAAAGGGCTTGTTAGTAGAACCAGCATACATAGTTTCTCTTAAACATCTGTGCTGTTCAATTCTTCTCCCTTTCTTTACTTGTCGAGTGATTGTTGAACATTACGTTGAACATCTGAAGGTCGTGTGTTTGAATCCAGCTTGTGACACTAACTTTTTCATTTTAACCAAGACCTTACATACAAAGAATAATTACCTTAAACCTAAGTAGTCTTGCAGGTTTTGTATCCTAATACACTGAAACATTTTAACATATTGCTACATTTTTATTTTTTATTTGTGTTCTTACGAAATGTTAAACTAAATTGATTTATTTTAATTTTTATTGTTTGAATGAAATGTTTAAAGTATCAAAAATAATAAGTCATTAAATAACAACACATTGATTCCCGCTTGTGACACTAATTTTTCTTCACAATTGTCTTTGCATAAAAATTGACAAAAAAACAAACAATTATTATTAAGCAGATCACTAATTAAATAACATTGATTTGTCATAATTATTAATTTTGCATTTAATAATTATTACTATGATTAATATTTTTTTTTACTATCTGTACAAAGTATATACATTGTATAGTGATCTACAATATTTTCCGATTTGACAGCATGATGGGAGCCAGCTATTTTATAAAAAATAGTTTAACAAAAAATGTACCATGCCAGATTCTCCAATTTGCGCCAATTTCCTTGTTTTGAAATGACAAACATTTTTCGGAAAATTCGATTGGGATATGTATCACAAAACAAAGAAATCAAACCTTGTGCTCACGCAAGAAGAAAACTTAAAAATTGCATATTAAATTAATTATTATGGGCACTCTCAACACAACGAACACTTTGAGCCCTGAAGATGATCTCAATAAAGATGGAAACGTTGCACGATAAAGAAGATGTTTTTCTAAAACCTATGTCACACCGGACCGCATCTCACGATCTCCAAATAATCATATTAAATTACATTCAAACAATGACGATTCAGAAAACAAATATAATCGGAAGTAGTGTGGTGATAAAAGAACACTACGCTTGATTATATTTGGGCTTAGGCAGATACTAAAGTTGCTACCGTCCAAATATATCTGTGTGTAGTAGAGAATGGGTTAAACTTCTCCCTTGCAAGCTTGCATCAGCTTTTTTTCATGAATAATATCAATAGCCTTTATGTAAGTATTGAAAGACAGTTGGAAATGAATTCAATGCATATTTACAAAAATATAGAACACTTGGTTTTACTCACCCGTATTCATTATAAATAAACGATTATCTGTATGATTTTTTATTATATAATAAAGATATGCGGAAGTTCAACTAGTGTATGCCCTGAATCTCCGAACACAGGAGAAGCTCTTAGTCTTTCACCAATAAGTGTGGGAAGTCCTACTTCCCCATCAACTAGCAACAAGCCTGCTCCTGCTTATCGAGTATGTATTGATTAAGAAAGACACAAATTTATTTTACTGGAGTTTAGGCATTGAATACTCGATTTTATAGGAACACCGGAGAGTATGCCATATCAATGCCGAACAGAAACGTCGTTGTAATATAAAAAATGGTTTTGACACGCTTCACTCCTTGATTCCTCATCTCAACCAGAATCCAAACACAAAGGTAACCCACCCTTTGTCGAGTCTGAAGAGCTTTTAAAAATTATTAGTCCTTACAGATGAGCAAAGCTGTTATGCTACAGAAAGGTGCTGAGTATATCAGGCAATTACAGATGGAAAGAAACGAACTGGAAAAAGAAATGGAAAGTTTAAAACAGCAGATTGAAACATTGAATGCTGAAATATGGTATATAAAGAAGAATCAATTGTTTAAAAAAATTGTATTGCTTTTTAATTTTTGTTTTAGCAATTGCCAATCAATGCTTCCTGCAACAGGTGCTCCAATTTCAAAACATAGAAGCAACAAAATGAGGGATATGTACAGAAAATATGTAAGGTCGAGGACTCATGAAAACTGGAAATTCTGGATTGTATCCTTGCATTATAATTAATCGACTTTCACCCTGAAGGGTTGTCACTCCCTGATGAGCTGACCCTAGGGTTTATACATCAATGAGTTCACTCACCCTGTTATGTGGCTGGGTCACTATTATCCCCCCCCCCTTAAGCCAGATGCCCAGGAGATCGTTGCTTCCCTCAACAGGGTTAGGTTCCGACAGGGTCATATCTAGGTCATTTTGGTCCACAACACAAGCAAAATATAATCTAGCCTAAAAGTAACTAACTTCTATAATACATTCATACACATAAATACATTCACACCATTGTTCATTGCACTCTTTCTGATTAATTGGTGGAGTACTTGATATCCCTCCATCGACCTACGTACAATACTAATAATCACTCTAAATTAGGGTCGATGAGGTACTTTTATAAATATTCCACCATCAACCCTAAACACACTTGCTGGATGGGTGATGGTGATGATAATATGAGGAAGGCTCAGCCTTCCTCAGTCCACATCGCTCCACGTGTGCCAAATTGCATCAACTCCACCGTATTTATGCTGCAATGATGGACATTAAAATTATTATTACTACTTCTTTCATGAAACATTAAATAAATTGTAAACCCATCAGTTTTTAACACTACAATTCTACAGGTTCCCCTTTCTTAATTTTCTATATTTTTAAAATTCATCATTTTGTTTATGTTTGCAAAATACTGAAAAACCAAGATAATATTATGTACAATAGGTTTTGTTTTATGATAATGCATTTAGTAATTGAAGTTTAATTTCTCTCTATATTTATATTTAACATAAATAATTTAAATCTGTGATAATCCATATACGTATTTAAGACATAATTGACTGTAATAATCATTTTAATTAATTATATTTTTTATCTAAAGTTTTGGTTGAGGCAAAAAAGCTAGTGTCATGAAAAGGATTCGAACCCACGACCTTCAGATATCCACCACTACTCTAACCACTTGAGCTATCGTGACTTCAATCCACTCAAACTCAACTCATCGTACTAGCCAAATGTCATGGGCTCAAATCCCGCTTGTGACACTAACTTTTTTTCTCAATCAAGACCTTAGATAATCTGATAATGTTTTCAAAATACCTATAAAATTATTTTAAAACAAGAAGGCTAGATTAAATAACACTGGTTGAGTAAATGTACATTAACTTTTCACGGGAGTATTTACCATGTCTAAGCCATTTGATTTTATAGATTTTGATGAGATATTGTCCTTAAAAATATTTCAGCTGAGTTTGATTTGTGAACCATTGCTCGAATCGTTCAACAATAACGTAGCAACTTCAAGCCTTGATGATCTGTATCGGACGACCTTACAATGGATAAATCAGCATTGTTCCCTCGTCAATCTAAGACCTGGTTTGTTATATTTATTGCTTTTTTATAATCATATATCGTGAATCTTAGAATAATGGATTTTTCGAGTAAGGTTTATTATAGGGGGGGGGGGGGATTTGGTACCAGGAAAAGTACAATAAACCAAAAAGCTGCATTTCAGGGGACAAAAAACCCCACTTCCTGATGGTTAATTTTAGAATTGAATTGAATATAAAATGGCGTTTTGAATATACAAATTATTTATGTTTTTATAAGGTTTATAATGATCAAAAGAAAATGTATCATTCCAGCAATTCTTCACACAAAAAATTTCTTTTTACATTTTTATGATGTTTTATTTTTTTACCCTGTTTCAGTTGTACTAAACGCTTTTCGCCATTTAAGTACAACAACTGAAGTTCTCAAAGATCCTGCAAGGCTGCCAAACGAAGCAATCCTGGCCGTAGATAGGGCAGTTAAAAAAAGTTAAAACGAAGTGTTTTGACATAAAGAAAAATCTATTTTTATAAATGTGTAACTAGAGAGAGAAAAGAAGAAAACATTTACTTTGAATTAGCAGAGTAAAGTATATTTTTTAATTGTATATAATTATAATGTGATTTCACAATATGTAAAGCTTCCAAGTTCCACAAAACGACAATTTTTGCTCAAACAAAAAAAACATATTTAGCTCTTAAGGTTTAAATGCCTAATATTTTTACATATTTTTACTAACAAGCTTTTAAGAAACACCGGGACTGAATACAAGTGCAAATCATGGATTTAAAAAAGTGCCATACAATAATTATTATTAAAGAATAGATGTTCCAATTTTTTGCGTAAATGCTGTGTAATGGCAGAAATGAATTAACATGATTACCGAACTGCATGTCTGTATGCATAATGTGTTTATTTGAAAAATGTATAAATTGCTTAAATCTTTTGTTTGAATTATATTTTCATTTAAAAAAATGGAAGAGCTGTTCCTTAAGAATATATATTAATTATAGATAGATTTTAAAAGATTGTCTTTTAAAACAAAAATAATATATTGTGATCTCTTGTTATTGCTGGTCAATGTATAAAATTCTGTTGTTTGAATATGTTGTTAACAAGTTTTCTTAATTAGTAGTATATACAGTTGGTTATAATTTTAAATAATTATACAGATTTTATTTATCAAAGAGTTTTCTTTTGGCCCGTTTGTCATTTTATTATTTCTTAATTCATTGGTGCAATTAAATATTGAGCCGGATATGTCCGAGTCATTTTACTATAAAGTAGTATTTAATGTCTACGATAGTATATAATCGCAAATCGGATTGGTTTATCAGGCCTATTTTTTTTTTTTTTTTTTTTTTCCGATTTGACGGGTTTATCGATGATGGTGACTCTGAAGACAGTAGTGCCAAAATGTGAACAAAGGACGATGAGTTGCATATAAGAGAACGGACGCCACTTTTGATGAAGTTGTATTAATATACATGGTTTATTTTCTCAGATTATTTTTGTGTATTTATTTTTCTTCCAATCTCATCCTTTTTCCTCAATTCAGTCAATCTGCACTGTTATATGTATTTTTCTGTATAACTGTTAATAAGTAGAAAATATGGAAATAATTATTGAATTTTTAAATAATTGAAGATTTTTACCACATTCAATTTTATTTATTTTTACAATATGGTTTAAAAACACACACACACACATATATATATATATATATATATATATTTAAGTAATAAATTCCAAGTAAATATGTACAATGTAAATTTCATGTTTTATTCACTTAAATACTACCACCCCATAACATTTTTTTTAATTCATTAAGGGTTAGTAAGTAGAAATATACAATTAATCAAGTTTTTAATAATGTACAGGTTGGAAAAACTATTGAGTAGATAAACAGTATTTTTTGCTACTTTGCCTATCCTGACTTTCCCCATATACGAATGTTGTTCCAGGACAACATGCCCACATTTGAAAAAAGCTTTTTTTTAGCAAAATTTTAATGAAGGGTCATTTACAAACCTAAATAGATTTCAAAACTGTAAAAAATTCCTTATTTGGGGAGAGTCTACAAATCAGTGCCGTATGTGTTAAATATAGCATAATTTGTGAATGGTATTAAAAAAAAATACAAAGAAAACTTTTTACAAATAAGTCTTTATTGAAATTATAACTTTTCTTTGGGTAACAAATTGGAAAATGTGTCAACTGTATTTAAAAAAAAAAATTCAGTCCACAAAAACAACACTATAAATAGGGTTTAATATCACATAAATATTATTTACAAATGGCATAACGGGCGTCCTTAAAGAGTTTGAAAGAAGAACTGACACGTCTGGCAGATTAGAAACAGCCCGTTTGTATATCGGTCGTTGATCAAGGCAAACTGTGACAAGTCTTTACAATTGCGCTCGTGAGCTTCAAGGCTCGAATTGAGCAAATTGCGCAAGTGATGCAATGTAGGCACTCTTGGATAGTGAGATGAGCATTTTACGCATACGACGGATCCATCAGCCCTCTGCTTCAATACGCACTTTTCACATAAGGGGCATATCACTTGTTCATCCCAGTCTTTGCTGAACATTGTTTCTTCCTCCTCCAATACATTTTCATATTCTCTTAAAATTTCTTGCAGATAGACTGAAATAACAATTTTACATGACAAAAATTTTTTTTTGTTACAACACAATTTAATGACACAAACCTTCATTTTGGGGTGTAGTTATTGATTTATCTTCTTCGGTTTCCCTAAATGTAAAAGATACCAAATTTTAACATTTTATCTTAATACCCACTCTATTCCATAGACGGAGACAACCAAAAACACATTTTCATAAAAAGTCTTTTTTAATTTATTTACATAAATCAATTCCGAGTACTGCCTTGGGTATCTTTAAGTCAAAAGAGGGAGTGAGTAGCATCCCAAACTTGATTCATGTAAATAAATAAAGACTTTTTATAAAAGTGTGTTTTTGGTTTTCTCCGTCAATGGAATAGATTGGGCAATAAGATAAAATGTATAAATTTTTATTAACACCTATTGAAGAAAAATAAGAAAACAATATTATCAAGTTATGATAATATAGTTTTTTTTAATCAATTTTAACAAATTTATGTGGCAAATTGATATCAAATTGACTTTAAATGCTTACATTTCCTCAACATATATTTCTTCCCTAAGGACGCTGGCCTCTTGGTGAATAATGCTACTTAACGCACTGTGGACTTCAACTGTGTTATTTATGTTCCGAAATTGTTCTAGAAGAGCAACTCGACTTGCTTTGATTCGTCTGTGACACCTCTAAAAAACAGAAACCACGTTTATTACTATATGGTCTTATTAGCCAATGTAATTATTTTAAGTGATTTAGTCATTTTTATGTAAAGTATGGTTGTGTTGAAAAATTATTATCACGAACACACGACCACCGGATCAGTACCCTATGTGAGGGCAGAAGACAAGATAACTCAAGTGGTAAAAGCCAGGTACTGGATATGGAGTCTTGGGTTCAAGTCCCGCTCATGACACTAATTTTTCAACTTAACCATACTTTGCATAAAACGTAATAAATCAATTAAAATATTTATTGATTATTATATAATATGTATATGTATATGCATTATTATATAATAAATCATATAATATATTTTAATAATTATTTATACTTTAGTTTGTGTTGATGACAAATTTAAATTGACCAATTTTATTTCATGTATTAATTAACAGTTTTCACCAGTTGGGCATGATATGGGAACATTTTCTGTAAAACTACTTTCTAAACAGTTAAGTCTTGTCTCGGGGATGTCGGTGGCCACAACGGTTTAGGCATTGACAGAATGCTCATCACTGTAAGGTAAAGGTCCCAGGTTCGAATCCAGTGGCCCTGCATTCGAAACCGACATACTTACAAATGGGCTTTAAAAAAAAAAAAAAAAAAGTCTTGTCTACATTCTTTTTAATTTACAGTCAACCAGTCAGCAGTTTATCTATCATCAGATTTTTTGTTGAGATCTGCAGGGTAACCTATAGTGTGGTTCTTTCTAATTATCCGTTTCTCACTGCTTTTCAGCATTTTGCAATTTTTGGGTTTACACAAACCCACCAAAGAAGATGAAAATGTCAAAACAAATTTATTTGACAATCAAGATACAGATTACACAGACCCCGTTGAGAATCTCAACATTATCAAATCTCAAACATTATCAAGCTAGTTTTGCAATCTTCAGAGGATAACATCCTTCCTATGCATTCAGTGCAGATAACATTTGTCTTTTTTTTTTTTAAATCTAAAAACAGTTTAATAACTTTAACTGCAAAGATTAGTCAAAAATTAGGCTAAGTTTGACCATATTATTTTTTGACCAGTTTTGCGTACTGTAAGCAATTCTGCTTCTCATGTGCATTTTAGCATTTTGACATCTTCGACACCACTGGGGTCTGAAGATTAATAAAACGCATTTGCTATGGCAAAACCAGCACAAATAAACAGACAACACCTGATCAACCTAAAAGATAATTACTTTGTGAATATTTAAAACGTATAATCCTTATCAAATACCATTACTTGACGTCCTTCCTTTAATTGTACAAATAAGAACCTTTTGCCCTTCATCTTTTTACAAAACTATAATTTTTAACTACCAGGTAACCAGAAAAGTTCATGCGGTTTTTGATTTGTTGTTAGGTATGAGGATTAGATGTTAACATCACATAGTACCAAGAGAATAATGCATCATAAAGACAAAATGTCTTGTATTGTTCATTGTAAATTATAAAATATTTTCTTTCTCAAAACCAATAATTTGTGCATGCTTATTGTAGGAATTTTAATCTCACATCAGTTTAAGATACAGTGGCTGAACAGTTTGTAAAATTTGTAATGCATTCAGTGATGAAAAAATAAGTGAGCGCAGTGCCTAAAAGTGATTCAAAAAGTTTGCTTCTGGGAACAAGGGGATTGAAGATGAACCATGTAGACCTTCTGTCTTGAATGATCATAAATCGAGGGAAGCTATCGAACTTGATTCAAGTCCAACAGGAACTTGCAAAGTGTTCAACGTAAGAAATGAAACCATTCACTCTAGCTTACATCAACTTAAGAAAACGTAGAAGCTGAGCTCAGCAGGCTCCTCATAAATTGACCGATGATAACAAGCTTTTGCATCTAAATATTTCATTGCTTTCTCCAAACAAATATACATTTTTTGTCCGTATTGTCAAATGCGATGAAAAATGGATTGATCATATCATTGACTGTCACTGAAAGATTCCATCTCCCATTGACATAAAAACCACATGTTAACCAACAAAAGGTAATGCTTTGTGTTTGGTGGAGTATGGCAGACATTGTACACTACGAACTTCTGCCAAGTGGCCAGAACATCACTGTAAAAATCTAAACAAGTCAATGATCTCATGAACAGAATAGCTGAGGACAACATGAGATCTCCAGCCAGATGACAAAGAAAGTGATAATGAAGCTTGGTTGGGAAGTCCTACACCCTTGGTACTATCCAGACCTGGCCCCATCTGACTTTCACCTTTTCTTCGCAATGGACAATCATATGTGCAATCTATAGCTCGTTAATCGCCAACAGCTGGAAAACGAGTTTAATTTATTTTTAAAGTCCCGGGATTCAAACTTTTATGAGAAGGTTATAACTGGGCTAGTTAATTGATGGGAAAAGGTTGTAGATGCCAATGGAGACTATTTCTCTGAATTTGTATTTATATTGGCTCAAATCTGCACATGTACATACATACAAACATGCCAACTTGAGCCTATTCACTTCTCGTAGTCCGACAATTCCAGCTTTTGCTATTTTAAGTAAATTGCCAGCAGACTCAACAATCATCCAACCCGGGTGTTTGCAATCCGGGGGCAGACCTCAGACTTAGCCATCCATCCACCAAGGTCGAGCTCCAGGTGCTATCAACTGCTAGGTCAATTCAGCACCCAATGCATGCAGTTTCAAACCCATTTGTACTCACGTTCATTCTTAAATGCATTCACTCCTATTTACATACCATTCATTCAATCATAGAGGTGGAGTACTCGTTATACAACTAACCTAACTGAAGGCCCATAAAGTACTCGATATTCCACCATCAACTCTCTCATATCACACATTCATGCTAACAAATACATTCACTTTCAACACAAGCTAAGTATGGACAACTATCATTACTATATACAATCCTCCAAGAATCGGAATACTCGCTGCTGTGATCAAGCACAATTCACAAATCGGGTGGCATTATTGTGCGCTCATATGAAGCCAAGGGATTGCACCCTTCAGTTAGGTGGGACACATCGAGCAACCTTTCTCTGCATATTTCCCTGAATATAATATTTCTAAACTAATTTTAATTGTGACAATTTTTAACTTGAACTTTTCTGGTTTCCTGGTATTATTGTTTATACCCAATAACTTTTTTTTTCATTTGGATTCAGCATAGTTTTTATGCTGCATTTTTTAAACAAAATAAAATTGGTCGTTTAAATAGAAAAAATAGTAAGAAATTAAAAATAGATTCCTATTATAACTTGGAGCATTCAGACTTGATAAAATGTCCTTTCAGGCTATAATTTCTTGGCTTTAAGACAAAATATACTATCAGATCTTTTGGTTTTAATAGTATTTTTTCGAATTTCCATCTAAGTATTTTAAATTGAATAAACAATGTTTAAATTTTACAGGCAAGACATGTGAACGGTTGACACTTATCAATATTACCTCCCTGAGCAAATCCCTGAATCTTGGAGACTCTGATCTTTGCTTGTACATGGCCTTCCGTCTTGTATCTGGATCTTCAGCGTTCGCCAACGACATTTTGGACAATTTCGCTTGAATTTTGATTTGGAAATTACTGTACAAAAAATTAACAAGATCTGGATTGCGGAATGGTCCCTTCCTTACTACTGCGATGCGATCTGTGATGTTCTAGAACAGCCTGGCCCCTTCCAGAATCCATACTTCAACGGTCACAATAATTCCCCCACCCCAGAAATTGTTCCCTCCAAGATTTCGCCCCCATTTGAAAATTGCTTTATTATACATATAAAACACAAATTAAACCTAATTTTCAAATAATAAAGTTTATGCTTTTATCTAGGAAAGTTACCTTGAACTAATCAATTATGACTACAACTAACTAATTTTTATGGGCATTCAAAATTTTTCTATAATGAATGATTTTGTATTGTATTTTGTAATGTAATTTATTTTACGGTTTATTTACAATATAATTTCATGAAGTGGACTTTGTTTGGAGCATGTCAAAGTATTTCCACATCAGTTTCACCAAAAAATTTAAATTAATTTTTTTTTACCGACCAGTTCACATCTCTCAATCTCTAAATAATCATTAATTAACGGTCACTGAATACTACTCATTTAAAATTATAAGAATACCTAGCATATATTTATTTATTTATATGAGTAAATATACCCAGTTACAAGTTCTGTAAGAGGTATACGTAAGTAATAATTTAATAATAATAAAAATTTTATTCAGATATCGATTAACGGTCACTAATCTCTACATAAAATAAAATTTTTCTACATAATGAATGATTTTGTATAATGATTTATTTTTTGGTTTATTTACAATACAATTTCTTGAATTGGTCTTTGTTTGGAGCAAGTCAATGTATTTCCATACCACCTTCAACACCAAAAATTTTAATTTGAAATTATAAGAATAGCATAATTTATTTATTAATACGAGTAAATATACCCAGTTATAAGTTCTATGAGAGTTTAATTTTTAATAATGAAATTGAATGAATAATTATTTAGAAATTGTGAGATGCGGTCTGATGTGATGTAGGTTTCAGAAAAACATTTTCTTTATCGTGCCGTTTCGATCTTTTTGAGATCATCTTCAGGGCCTGGGATTTACAAACATTGTTTACATTTAACAAATACATTTAGGATGTGGAAAAAAAGTGAATTTATACAATGCAAAATATATTTTTTTATATTCAATCAAAGTATTTCTACTCACTCAAAGTTTTTGTCTTCTGTGTAATTGTGCCATTTTTGCAATTTTTTACTCGTTTCCATGAGTTGAGGATTTTTTGAGGATATTTTCTGACAGTCCTGATATTTATTTTTATCACCTCATTACTTAATTAGCTCAAAATATTTTATGAATAATGAAGAAAGAATTTAATTACAAAAAGAAAATACAACATAATAATGCATAAAAAGTTCTTAATACTCTGAATTGATTGTAAAACCGTTTGTTGGACGTGGTGACCGGGAATTAACATGAAAACATGGATATATATACATACAAAAAATAAAAATAAAACTAACAAGGGGACCACCAACCAGGTTGGTAGGATTTTGTAATACAATCACAGTTTAATTTAAACTTATGCATATGTAAAGACCCAGACTTGTCTCTAATTATAAAAAGGAGGATGATGGTAGTCTAAAGATTTTTTTAGAAAAAAATTTGAAGACGTCAGTTTCTTTGAGGTACCCCAAATTTGAGACCATAACACACAATGATTGAATAACCAACCTAAACCAATTCAAATAAGCGGTGATTAAGATATCATTGTTTTCAAAGTAGTGACCATATGAAATTTATGTCCCATTTTGCATAGATAGTTTTATCTTCAAAATGCTTTAATAGAGTATACCTAGATGTGAGTTACTATTGATATAATAATGTGTATGTTTTTAGTTTTATAACCATTTATATTTCACAAGATTACGGTCAAGTATTACAATAAGTTAGTCACATGAGAGTATTTAGAATCTTAATTATGTATAACAATATAAAAATTATAATCTTGCTTATACATTTTTACTTATTTACATACCATTCATTCAGCTAACGTAGTGAAGTATTAGATATTCCTTCATCACCCTTTACACCCATTATATAACTAACCAAATTGAAGGTCGATAGAGTACTCAATATTCGCCATCAGCCCTCTCACACTACACATTCATGCTAATAAATACATTCAGTTTTAATATGCACAAAGAAACAAGAGACAAAATATCTGCAAAGAACTGTAGGCAATAAGAAAGTCTCATTCCCTTCAAGAATCAGAACAGGGGACTCACTCACTGCCGTGCTCATACACAATTCTCATGTCAAACAGCATTCCTACATTCTCTCTATGTGGAGCCAAGGAATGCCACCCTTCAATTGGGTGGGATGCAGAGCAACTTTTCTCTACAAGCTGAACACATACGTGGTTTTTGGTCAAAAAGTAAGTGTCTGTGTGTCAACCTCACACGGCCTGTCCTTAATTAGGTGAGGATGACCCTTGTTAAACAAATTAAGACTTCCAAGAGTCACCTATTGCCAGCTACTGATACATGAAAATTGCTCTGCGATCCAGCCTACCAGTTTGTTGTAATAAAAATATATAATACAAAATATAAGAGAAAAGACAAAGAATGTTGTCTTTCAGCTGGCTTAATTTGTGTATATAACAACAAGCATCTTTTTTTGTTTTGACTTTTATCCATCTATTCTATTAGAAATATTTTTTTAAATATTATTATTTAGTTTTATTTCTGAAGTTATAAAAATAAACCAAAAATCATGCATGATTACAACAGATTACAACATTATGTTACAATAGATGCTGAAATCTCATGAAAGTTGGAAATTCTTTGGTTGCTTGATTTGGGAATTTCTAAGAAATCATAAATATTTCAAAATTGCAATATTCTTCAAATATGCAAATATATGCAATATTCCTTAAATATGCAATATTAATCAAATATGCAAATATATACACTTAATCAAATATGCAAATATATATACAATTAATCAAATATGCAAATATATACAATTAATCAAATATGCAAACATATACAATATTAATCAAATATGTGCAATATTAATCAAATATGCAAATATATACAATATTATCAAATATGCAAATATATGTAATATTAATCAAATATGCAAATATATACAATATTATCAAATATGCAAATATATGCAATATTAATCAAATATATACAATATTAATCAAATATGCAAATATATGTAATATTACACTGCAAATATATGCAATATTAATCAAATATGCAAATATATGCAATATTCTTCAAATAGTCATATTCTTGTCATATTCACTATGCAATATCCTTTGAATATGCATATATATGCAATATTCTTTAAATATGCAAATACATGCAATATTCCTTAATTTTGATAATATATGCAATCTTTTTTAAATATGCAAATATACGCAATATTCTTTAAATATGCAAATATATGCAATATTCATCAAAATTTGAAACATTGTACAACGGAAAAATAATTGATCTATTCGGAGAAATATCTGATTCATGATCAAGTGTTAGCATTAATAATATGCAATTGCATACAAATCTAGGCTCTAATATCTAACATTAATTATTTAATAGGTAATATGTTTCAAATTGATAGTTGAATTCTTCTTTTTAGAATTCTTTTAAATTGCAAAGTTTTTAAAATATTTTTGTCACAACTGACATGAAATTCCATTATCAGTTTTTCGAATGCGAATGATTTACAAACTGAAAAGTAAGAGGAAACGCAAATAGAAAGGAATACCGTTGTGCGGATGCGGATTTCTCAGAAAAGTTTGTTGTTTTCAAATGGAATGTTTGCATTTTGCTTTTGATTTTGATTTTGAACGCTCGGAATGAGGTTGAGCCGCTGGCGGCTGAGAGACGGGGTTCGAACTTTGAAGACGGCTACCGCGCAGGGCGCTCGAATCGCGGACCCCGATCAAGAGTCAGGTTACCCGATCGCAGTTCATACTTCATTCCAGTCTTTCCATAGAATTCGTTCGTTGTTGTTGTCAACTGCGAAAGAGTATTTTTTAGAAAGCTGCGAACGCCCGAGGATCGTGGATTATATCGCTTCTCGCCTTTTTCCGACATCCGAGGAACCGCGTCTGCCACGAGAGAACCGGAACCTTTTTTTTAAATGTGATTTCAACTTTGTTGTTCCTCGCCGAAGACGGAAAATAAAATGGCAGGGGTTTTCGATATTGAATTGCACGATGCAGACGTGAAGAAGGAAGACTCCGATGATGACACAATAGAAGTCGAAGAGGTATTTTTACATATTGACCGTTTTTCACCGTTTCTTTGCAGGATTATGTGAAAATCACGAAGATGGAGTTTAAACAAAAAAACTTTTCGAAACGTCTTATGATTTTGATGTGATAATCAGTCGCGATAACAAAGACAGATCTTATAAAAAAAGTATACACTTCTTGAAACATATTGTAGTGATTTCAAAGACTGTCGGGATCGAGTTCTTATTCATGCCGATAAAAATTCAACTCAGAAACAAACAAATAGGCAGACCTTTGATTGCTGTTTTTTTTCCAGGGCGACTATGACCAGGATCCGAACGTGAATGCGATTATCGAGTGAGTAATTTTTCAATAATTTTGTTTTCCTTTTTTAAAACGTCGTGCGGAAAATCCGCGTGACTCGTCCGTTAATTCGTCACTGTTGTTATTTCGGCGGATGATTCACGCGGAAGAACGGCCCCCCCGAGCGGATAAGGAATCGCCAGCGGAATCGCAAGCTTTCTCGGTGGGAAACAAAAAGAGAAAGTACCTGTTAAAACGGGCCGATCGCCGAGACGGTTCGTCTATCCGCATCGCGGATAATTCTGGCCGTCTCCCTTCGACTAACAGACCGATTTAAAAAAAAACCTAAATACACAATAAAAAAACCAAAAGTTGCTTTTTATAAAATAATAGTTTAGCAAATTACCTTGAAATTTTAATAATAAATATCACTTCATTACAGAAAAAAGTGCAAATCTAAGAAACTGTATGGTGCTGCTTTATATTGCATTGGATAAGTTGAAAATTGTCAAACCTGAGTTGTTTTTTGGGTACGTCATTATGTTGAAGTGTCATTGGGTCTGTCTTCACTTTTGGGTTTGTTGAACTACTTAAACACATTTTGGCATTGTGCCATCTTCAATGAGGAACCACTGAACCACACAAATGAAGAGTTGCTGGACAGACCCGATGCCGGTTCAGCATGAGTTACCAACTCGCAGACCAATACCTACTATCAACTCTACATCATTTACAACTGTGTATGTTAAAATATCTACACAAAATTGTATTTATTGTGTATTTATAATTTATGAATTATTTCTTTTATAAGAATTTTTTAAAAGAAACTGAAGATGATGAAAATAAATTAAATTAGAAAACGAATTTTTCATCTATTGTGGAGTCAATTAGTTTAATACTGGAAATTAATTATTTAGGTGAATAAAACTAAACATTTAAACCTGACATTTTTGTTTATTTCTTTAAGATTATAATTACAGTTATATCAAAATATCCAGCAGGTGTTGGTCGAATCAGTGGAAGGAAACTATTTTATGTTTAGCTTACAACTTCTTGTGCAAGCCGTGAGAATCACCTTCTTCGGGTGTTGGTAGTCCAGGTATGAAGTTAGGTGCCAGAAGTTGCCAACAGTTATTTAGCTCCCAATACATGCAGTTTTAGATTAGAAGTTAGACTCTCATTCATTCTTATATTTTCTTCAAAAGTACATACCGTTCACTCAATTAGAGTGGGTGTGAACTCAATGAGTCGATATACCATGACCCCTCTCACACTACACATTCACACTAGTGTTATTGCTTGTATTACTGGTAGTTAAGAATTGCCAAAACTGACGGTTCTGTTTATTTAAAGATGATGTTTACATAAGACATGTTAGGATGTCCACCTGATAAAAAGTAACAACATTAAACAGGTGTATAAAATATATAAAAGTGTCAACAAAAGTTTTGTTGATAAAATAGAATTCTCTCAAAGACATGGCTGTACACAGTTCAAGAACCTACACTAAAAAGAATATTTTTAAAAAACAGCAAAAAAATAAGTTAGTAATAAAATTAAGTTTATAGTTACATCAAATATCCTTCAATGATAAGGTCAGGGGAAACTGTAATTTACCCTAGTTTAATTATATATTTGTATAGTTGTAATTAAACAAATTAGTAAAAACTTTTAAAAAACCAGGATGGCTATAAATGATAAATTATAATAATAGTTATTCAGATATCATGATATTTCACGTTATCTGAATAATTATCGATTAACAGACACTAATCTCCACATATAATAATAGTAATAAAATAATAGGGGTTTGTAAATCCCAGACCCTGAAGATGATCTCAATAAAGATCGAAACGTTGGCACGATAAAGAAAATGTTTTTCTGAATAGAATAGAATAAATTTTTATTTGTACATGTGCACAATAATATATACATTAATTTTTGAATGTAGGGAAAGTGACATTTCTCTATGACTTCCTACTATTTACAGGTCTTTTTTTTTTTATAAATACAAATCAGTACAAGTAATTCCATGTTAGTTTGTGGGGAAAAAAAATTATGTTAACAAAAAAACCACAAGCAAAGGGATGAAATCTATATATAAATTAAATAAATGCATATACAACGTGTAGATGAGAAGTGAATAAATAAATAAATTATTAAATACATAAATAGGTTTATAAATAGTCTTATTACTATAAATTTGATAACTATGTAAAGTATATAAGACAGGTACATTGTGTTTGATCCTCTTATATTTCCAGTTTTCATTTGTTGGATATGCACCTATGGATCTGCAAATAGGATTTGAGGAGACACTCATACGCTTAAAGAATTTGCAAACCGCATCGTAAATTTCCTCCTCTACCCATTTCATGTTAGTTCGCTCATGTAGGTCTGTCAATCTATAATATCTAGGAGAGGCAGTGGCTAGCCGCAGAANAGCCAGTATCATGGAATTTAAGCAAAAGATATGTTTATTGTTGTTTATCTTGTTTTATTTTACGTTTTTCTTGGTGTAAATATAATTTTTTTTTTAAGTTGAATATTAGTAATAATATGTATTATTGCCAGACCGACAGATGAAGATGGCTAAAGGCCAAAAACACATTCAACATGCTTTGGTAAATCGAAAAGATGGGAGATGAGCAAAGGAAAATTAATTATGTTTTTATTATGAAAACAATACTTGTTGTTGATCTAAACTTGTCCAGTACACATCTTTCGGTGGGTTACATGGATTTTTGATACATGTGAGATTTTTCCATAAATTGAGGAATTTCTTGTATGTTCACTACTGCTTATTTTACAGCAATTCATCGTGAAATGCATTTAAAAACATTGTCAAATATCTTGTGAAGTTCTTTTGAAAAATCTTCTTTTTTCTTTGATGGAGTTGCTTTGTTTTATATAGCATTTAATTGATTAAATATAATGTATTTATTTGTCAGCTGGTACATGCTATTTGATATAAACTCAAGAAGTTTTTTAATCAATATTAAAAGGAAACTGGTTTGGCCTGATTTTAACATGTACTTATTCATTATTTTAAATAGTAGAATACTGTAAAAAATTGGATGAAAAGCATATGCAACATAAATTAATTATCTTTGGTACAGACAAGCTGAAAAAAATTCACAGATAGTTTGTTGTATTGTACAAATAATTATCAATTACCGTGTGAAATATAAAAAAGTTTATTAAGAGATATAAAGAAAAATTACAAGACTGATAAAATATATCTTCAATGTGTGGTGATTAGCGACCGTTAATCGATATTTATTTAGAAGCCCTCTGGCACTCTCGACACGACACACAAGAATGGCACAATTACACAGAAGACAAACACTTTGAGCCCTGAAGATGATCTCAATAAAGATTGAAACGTTGGCACGATAAAGAAAATGTTTTTCTGAAACCTACATTACGCTAGACCGCATCTCACGATTTCTAAATAAATATATCTTCAATGATAAAATACAAATTATTTTTTAATATACATACCATGATTTTTGTTTTCTAACGATGGTGGATGGCATTGAATATAATTAAAATCCAAATAGGGGATTGTTAGAATACACAAAATTTTTTTAATATAGGGAGGTCAGTCTAGTGTGCATCAGATGAAATCGATTTAAACTTTTTTATGTTTAATGTGCCCATTGGTGTAGTTCTGACCCCTTGGGTACATTAAACCCTCCTGTGTCCAGGAATTGTTTTCCTTGTTTGCAGTACATCAGTGTTAAATAGTAATTTACTCAAGATGTGATGAGCAGCACATTACAATTTACACTGTAGTTTAAATTTAAGAAGAAAAAAATTTTGCAACATTCAAAACCATTATTTAAAAAAAAAAATTACATTAGAATGGCATTACTTTTAAATATAATCATGGTAATAGTTTCTTAATGGACAGCCATAAAAGATAATTCCTTTCTTAACGATTAATTTATTTACAAACGACAGGATTAGAAAGGATTGATTTTCTTCGGCAGGTTAATGCCAAATCTATTTATAATTTAATTGTAGTTCCTTGTTTCATCATTGTATTTTGTTTTAACGTGTTTATAAAAATATAAAAATAAAAACAAGATTTTCTTATTTTTCAAGTTTTGTACTGAAAATTAAAAAACATATCTTTTGTTAAGCAAGCAAAAACTGATTGAAAAGTTATTGTACATAACAATTTGATAAAACGACTTTTTGCGTGGTCAGGTACAAATTAACATTGATTTAAGTGAATAGAAATAATGAAGGTGGGGTGTGTAAAAGTCAAAAAACAGCTTTTCATTGAAATGTTGGGTTGGCGGTGAATCGGCAGGATCACTCTTACATTCAAATCGATAGAAGTGTTTGTATCTCCTTCAATCTAATGATGAAGGTTTTTAATGCTCAAAAATCCCTATCACTGTAAACACCAAATCTGTGATTAGAACCATTATTTACTATTTCATTACAAATAGTGAGAAAAAATTTAATTTAAGTCTGTGTCCGATGAATATACACATATTGAAGATGTATAACTGAACAGACAACTATTACATTGTACGTACAAATGATGTATAAATAAATTATTTATACTGTATTTTGTATTTTTTTTTTTTTTATAATGCATTATAAAATATAAAGAATTATAATGTGTTACATGATTGTTTGCTGCTGTATTATTGCTGGGCTAATGCTGTATGTTTATTGCACTGGATAATACAGAATTGTCCAAGTTTTACAACAGTTTTTAAGTATTGATTCAACACATATATTTATAATTTACAAAGAATTCAGATTCGTTTTATTTTTTTGCTTCCACAATTTATTACTTATAAAGCAAGTATATATGCAGCTTTCATTACTTTGTTGTTGTAATGGGTCATTAAATGTAAAATGTAAATTGAATGAAACCATTTTAATTTGTGTAATTCTGGTGACATTGAAATATGCAAATTGATCATTTTCATTTGCAGAATAAATCTCTGACCGAATACGAAGTGAGAGTAGTTTCTTTACTCAGCCTTTCCTTGTTTGCAATACTTTAAAGCAAGTGTATTGTTGCTAAATAAGATAACATTTTCTGCAAAGATAGTATTGTAAAAGCCATTCATGATTTTGTTTAGAAAATTATCAAGATAAACATGGCATTGGAATTTCTTATGAGATTTATCTGATTTATTTTATAGATAACAGAATTATTATTTGATATTAAAAATGCCTGAGTACAAATTTTTCACATTTTTAAATCGCTCATTCAGAGTGTATGCATAATTTGTTATCTTATGATGTAACCTTGTGGTTTAATTTTTAAATTGAACACCAGGCACAGAATCATAAATGCAGCTTTTAATATTAAAACAAATCTTTTTAAAATTATTTTCACTCTTACTTTGTAATTTTCTTTCAATATTTGAATTTAGCTAGTACATATTGCTAAGTGATTCAAATACTGGCTATGGATTTTTATGCTTAATTCTCCTGTAAGACAGGAATTTCTTAACATAGTACACATCAGTGTGAATTATGCAATTCTACAATAATAATATTACATCATATGATTATGAACGTAATATTTTTTTTTTTTTTTTTTTTTTTAATTAAAAATATCTTAGAGTCGCCAAAAGGTTTCACAATTATAATTATTTAAATTCCTTTGATGTTTTCTTTGAGTAAATGTTAATCAACAATATTTATTTTGGATAGCTGTTGAACAATTCTTCAATTTTGTGATTTGTTCTCCTCTATTATGGATAATTGGTACCAGCTGGAAGCAGAGATAAGATTTAATAGTTGAAGGCAATAGATTTTATATCAGCTAAATAAAAATTGTTTTCATTCTGACCCGAGTTTGTAAACATTCGCACTAACCATTGTTTGCCAGATCCTGGATATGACCTACTTTATACTGTAAACATATAATCTTGTTATGGGCATGAATATTTCATTTTGTTGTCATCTGCATGGCAACTAGGGAGACTAAGATCATTGGAATGATATTTTTTCCTTAAAAAAATATCTGCGTATTTATGTGTGGTGATTAGTGACGGTTAATCGATAATTATTCAGAAATTGTGAGATGCGGTCTGGTCAAGTGTTTGTCTTCTGTGTAATTGTGCCATCCTTGCGTGTCGTGTTGAGAGTCTCTCACTTTGAGCCCTGAAGATGATCTCAATAAAGATCGAAACATTGGCATGATAAAGAAAATGTTTTTCTGAAACCTACATCACACCAGACCACATCTCACAATTTCTGAATAATAATCTGCTTGCTTAGTTAAGCTTAATAGTTAAAAGCACAAAGTTTACTGTCATCTTAATAATAATTATATATTATAATAATATATTTTTTATATTAATATTATTGCAGCTCTGATGATGTTGAGACTGTCCAGTTATCAGAGCAGACAGTAAACCCTGGCCAGGAGAAAACGGGACCTCAGGATTTTGAGTTGAGGAAAGTTCTCGGTAAGGGTGGATATGGGAAGGTGTTCCAGGTGAGGAAAATCACCGGGCAAGATGCCGGGATGATCTTTGCCATGAAAGTCCTCAAAAAGGCTTCCATCGTGAGAAACCAGAAGGACACGGCACATACTAAAGCTGAGAGGAACATCCTCGAGGCCGTTAAGGTATTTTAACTGTTTGTTGTTGTTTTTTTGTGCATTTTAATAATTTAGAGGTTTAATTTTTCTTTTAGCACCCATTCATTGTTGATTTAATATACGCTTTTCAAACTGGTGGAAAGCTCTATCTCATTCTTGAGTATCTCAGTGGTGGAGAACTTTTCATGCATTTGGAAAGGGAAGGGATATTTTTAGAAGACACTGCTTGGTAAGTTTTTTAATGATAGGTCAAACATATTTTAACAATACATATTTTTTTGTAATTCATATTTTTTTTAGTTTTTATCTATCAGAAATTATATTAGCTCTGGAGCATCTGCACCGACAAGGAATTATTTACAGGTATTCAAGATTTTAAAAGAGAAAATCATATCTTCGTTCAGTTTACATTAAAGTTAACTTAATCCAAATAGAAATCTGATATAATTGGTGATTCATTAGTGACCATAAACAGTAGCTAATGGGAGTTATGAAGTAAACAAAATTCTTCCAAATATTTTTTCTGATTTAATTAATTATAAAAAAAGACATTCAGTTCGACTTTTCTCAGTTCTAGTTTGGATATTTATATAAAATATTGCATATTTTTAGGGACTTAAAGCCAGAGAACATATTGTTAGATGCTCAAGGTCATGTCAAGTTGACTGATTTTGGGTTATGTAAAGAGCACATTCGGGAAGGAATAATGACACATACTTTTTGCGGAACTATCGAATATATGTGAGTTTTTCTAAATAAATAAATATGCATAGTTTTCATGATGTTTTCCATTCAGGGCTCCAGAAATTTTAATGAGAAGTGGTCATGGTAAGGCAGTCGACTGGTGGTCCCTTGGAGCCTTAATGTACGACATGCTCACTGGCGCTGTATGTCATTTATTTTTGTTTGAATATGGCAAAAAATTAATGACCAATTTCTTAACAGCCTCCATTCACAGCTGAGAATAGGAAGAGAACTATAGAAAAGATCTTACGTGGGAAACTTGTACTCCCACCTTATCTGTCGCCTGATGCAAAAGATCTCATCAGAAAGCTACTGAAGGTATTATCATAAGATTTTTACTGTTTAAAAAAAATAATAGTAATGACTGTATTGTTGTTTTTTCACAGAGGCAAGTTATGCTCAGGTTTGGTGCAGATCCGTCAGATGCCTATCTGATAAAAATCCATTCATTCTTCAAACAGATAAATTGGACCGATGTCCTCAGTAGAAAACTCGACCCACCTTTCAAACCGTCTTTGGTATATTTAATTATTTTAAATTGACAATTTTTTAAAAGCTGTTTTTTACAAAGCGAAATGAACATTTACAGACTGGTGAGGACGATGTTTCACAATTTGATACAAAGTTCACAAAACAAACACCAATCGATTCACCTGAAGATTCCACGCTAAGCGAGAGTGCGAATCTTGTCTTTCAGGTAACTTTTTTTTAATCACCTACATATAATATATAAAAATTTCAGAGGTGGGTGCGTGTGGTACTCGGTTCCGCTTTATGACACCATCATAGGAACAATTAGAATGCAAAATATAAGTTAAATTTTATTTAATAATTTTAACTTAATTTGGTGGTAAAAATAAGTTCCATTTAGCTAAACAGTGAGCTCTGAAGAGGGACCAGGGACATGGCCCAAAATGCATTAGCATTTAAAATATGACATAAAAATGGTGTGTTAAGAAAAAATAAATAACTAACATTCTAAAAAAATATGAGCAGAAACAGTAATTAGGATTTGTTAAGTAATTACATATTTAAATAAATGACAAATTTCTCAATTCCTATTGATTTGTCATCAAAACATGTTATATCATCGGAAATAAAAATCTTTTATAACTAAAAATAATTATCAAATTTTTTTTTTAGGAATCTTTTCCCTTTTTCTGAGGAGGAGTTTTCCACATTTCATTCATGTTTGTTTTGTTTCCTTTTTTATTTCCAGGAAAGCAGTGCACAAAAAACAGCCTTTATTTCATTTTTCTTTGTAGGTTTTGAATCTCTTTATTCACACACTTTTGCTTTATTGACATCAATGTAGTTGTTAATTTAAAGCACTACATCATCAGTCATCTTTTTAGTGAAAAAAATGGGAAATAAATCCAACTCGGTACCTAAATACTGCGTAACTCTGGTGGGACCTGATAGAGATTTTATAATATTTGATTTGGCGGTGGGCCTATTATAAACTAAATTAAAAAAAAAATTCTTTGGAGTCGACAGTATTTTTTGCTCAAGTTTTAAGGGCAAGACAGTGGCTTATTTATAATGTGTCATCTTTACTGAAAAGTATAACCAGTGTTGATATTTTCTACATGAATTAATTTTAAAAAAAAAAAGGCACTTGCTAATTAACTAACAGCTATTTAAAAACGTGGAGAACAAATATTAACCGTTTTGGTACAATTTGAACAAAAATTCAACCTAAAAATACAATAAAAAAGGACTTGCAGTACACCGCTATGTGCCCGATTCAGGATTAACATTCATTTACACTACTTTACAGATTTACAGCAAAAATGGCTCTATTTACACTACTGGTATAATTTCAGTTTTAAAACTAAGCCGCTTTATGTAGATTATTGTCATTACTTTTATAACCTTGTAAACAGCCAATTTGCTATAAAATATGTGTAATACAACAGTGTATGTTATTATGCCTGAATCTGAAATTAATGATCTTTTTTTTTAAATTTATTTATACAACTTGATATTTTAAATTAGTTCTAGTAATCAGCACTTCTAATTTTAAACAGGGTTTTACATATGTTGCACCTTCCGTTCTTGAGGAAATGAACCGGCCTCCACGAATTGTTAAGGCAAGGTCACCAAGAAAGGCTTCACATCAACAACACCATCATTTGATCCACCAAATCCCCATAGCACCGATGAGAAACCCATTTGCCTCGAGGCAACCACCACCAATTCATGACGACATGATGGAGGTTGTGTCCCATACACCAAATCACCTAGAAATTCATTAGCCTTGTTAAAAGTTGAATAATTTACATATGGCAGATGCAGATCTGTTATTTGGCCGCCCGTGGTTGACCTGTTTAAAAAAAAATTCTTCAACGAATCCTTTATAAAATGAATTCAGTTATATTTGATGAAAAACAGCCTGATAACACCAAGAAATCTATAAAAACTTGAAATACAAGTTTTATAGATGTCCTCCGAGTTTAAGTAGTAGTTTAGCATTATTTAAACAATTTGTCCATGGGCACCACAAATTTACCATAAAGTGTTCGGAATAGGATCATTGTTACCGGAATTTAGAATAGTTTTTTAAATTTACTTTTCTTTTACTTCTTTTATTTTTTATTTTTAAGGGGTGTCTAGCTTTTTAAGATAAGTCTATGGTAACTATTTGTACAGTCACAAAACCAATGCACAATTTTTGCTACATTTAAATGAAACAGTGATTCACATGTCTTCCAAAAAGGAAAAAACATAAGTCATTGTTAGTAAGAAATGTTTTTTTTTTTTCTGATCTTTGAACACATACAAATTTGTGATGCTCTTCTGTAAAGTTTTTATACATGTTAAACATAAGTTATCAATTAACTAGTTCATTTTCTCTGCATCTGCCTTGGTTTATGATAATATAGTCATGTGTATTTTTAAAAGATGCATCTCGACTTTAAAAGTTCTAGGATATATGATAATTCATATAAACAGTTCAACAATTCTTTTATCAAGAGTGGTGGCCTTCATTATATAGATTTGTATTAAGGGGTTAAAATAAAAAAATTAAATATATATATATACACAAAGATTTTATATCAGGTAAAATGTATAGTGTTTTTGTTCCCCCTCCTCGTTTGAAAGATAACTTTTACTGTTATCTTAATTTTAGGGGGTTTTAAATTTGGAAATTGTTTCACTTGGAAGTAGAGTTTTTGTTCAGTCATTACATAAGTTTTTCCTATTGAATAATGTTAATGACAATACGTTAAAACGACAATATGACTTCTGACACTAATAATAATTATAATGAAAACAACCCCCTTCCCTGTTCTAGTTTTTTTTTTTTTTCATACAGATCATTAAACTTATTTAATTGAACCTTCCAACTTATGTAATGACTAGTAGTTATGGAGATGTTTCCGGAGGAGTTTGATTTCTAAGGTTTAAATCGTTTTCATAAAATTGTTATATAAATAAATAATATTTTTAAATTATATAAAATTTAAATTCAATTAATTTTTGCAATTTATGTTACACAACCATGTAAAATTACTAAACAATATCATGCATGATTTTCATAATATCTATTTTTAACGATTTAAAAGTTTTAAAATGAAATCAAACTTCACTGATAAATTTTCAATTCCAATTTTGTTTGTCATATTATGGTAAATAGCTTTTTTTAAGAATAGCCAAATTGAAAAATACTGCCAGATGTAACATATTGTGAGATAAACTCGCTTCTAGTTTGAATAAGGTCAGCTTGAAAAATTCTTTATATTCCATTATTGATACTGTTATCTGTCATTTATTATTAGTAAAAGGTTTGGATTTTTATATTAATAAAAAAACTATCGAAGAAAAAACAAGTGTAATAAAAAGATTTCAATGGATATTACCTATAAAATATTTTTTAAATAAATTATCTTTGTGAATATACCATTTTATAAGGATAAGTAAACAAGGATTACGATATAGGTTATTATAAATTAAACATTAATTTTGTTGCCTAGTCGTAATTTTTAATTATGTGTGGCCTCAAGTGATTGATCAATTGGGAATTATGCAGTACCTTTGTTTTTCTTAACAATTTTCTTTTCTTATTAAGCTTGTCATGCATGATGTGCTCTATGCTTTTTGAGAATAAAACTTATATTTTATTTTGTTATTTTGTAAGCTTGGTGTTTCAAAATGGTACTCTTTCGAATTGTTTTTCAATTGCATAATTATTATACATAACATTTCAATACATTTGTTAATAAATATGGGTTAATTAATATGGAATAATTAATTACGAACAAAAAAGAGAGATTATGCACTTATATTTGATGTACATTGTAAATAATATATATATAAAACAAAAAATAATTAATTTTGTGATTACAATTTTGTAGTTTAATTTTACATAGATTTTAAAAAACTGGGAAATCAAGGATGAGGACATAAAGGTAAATAAAAAAATTGTTTATGGATGTCGAGCTTTCGGCCATCTTTGAGACCTTTCTCAGGACTCGATTTAATCAAAAGATTAAATATTACATATATAAAACTTTATAACTGTTTAACAAACTTACTTGAAAACCTATTTTAAAACTTGATTAACTCTGATATTTTGTCAGAAGAATTGGGAGCATTCAACTATTAGTTATATTGTTAGTTGTGTCATATGCTGTGATCAATTTCGATAAAGCCAAAGAAAGTCATTACAGGACATTTTGTGAACCATTGGCATCATTGTTGTGATAGGTTACCTCTGGGGGCCTGACAACCACATTTCCAGGTTAATCTAAAATTTTTAAAATAGGTTTTCAAGTAGCTGATGGTAGTGAGTTCGAAAACTGCTTGTGACCCAAACCTTTTTCATCTCGATCAAGACCTTAGATAAAAAGAATGACTAATTAATTGAGTTAATCAAAAGTTTTTAAAATAGGTTTTCAAAAAAGTTTGTTAAACAGTTATAAAGTTTTATATATGTAATGGTTAGGGTAAAATAGAATACTGAGGGAGGCCGAAAACAAGGCCTCATCCTGGATGTCCCAGTTTTTTATTATTCATCATCGAAGTCTGATACCAAACAACTATATTTACACAGATTGTCAGGAATTTTACAAATTTCTTTAGATTGAGATTTTCGTGTTGTTTCAGGCTAGATTTTGTTAGTACTATATTTTATTAAAAGATTTTTTTTAATGAAAATATTTCCTAATTTTCAAGAAAGAATGATACTCAATTTTAATCATTCTTTGTCAATCTCAAGACATTAAATGGTTTTCTTTTAATTTTATAATTAGTAATTTACAAGAATCAAAGCTAAAAAGATTTATCATCATTTTGCCAAAACTGATGGTTAAAATGCCACACTGATCCATGCAATCTAATTTTATTGTTTTTGTTCATATGTATATAATATCGTTGCGATCATACTATATTCAACAGCGATAATCGCATTTAATTAATCAACTGATGCAAACGGTATACACATTTATAATTAATTACAATCAAAGTCTTGTATCTAAATAAATTGGTTGTTTTAATGCCTTTTTGAACTTGAAAGTTTTTTTTTAATCTACGATACCCATATGAGTACAGCTGTTAATATCTGAAAACGTCTAATTTATTAAAATGAAATTGCACACTTTGGCACATAGATGATAAAATCATCACAATTTTTTCTGATCATCGTGAACACAGTACCATTTACATATTAGATAATAAATTCATTAAAATATAAAAAGTTGATTTCAATATTTGACTTTGAAGTAACTCATAAGACTGATAGTCGAACTGTCTACGATTTTACCATGTGATTTTGAGAACATTTGTCAACAAATAATTGCTGTTGATTGGTACCTTTCATAAACTTATCTGATGTAGACCCTGCATATGGTACCTGTAATGAAATAATTCAAACTCTTATTTATAAATATACTCCAAGCAAGAAAATATATCCTTCAATGTTTCCGAGATGGTACACGAAAGATCTCATCTACTTTACTAGAAGAAAAGTTGCAGCTCATCGTGAATACAAGAGGACACATCTCACTCGCTACACTGAGTTTTCAGCACTGCGAGCTGAATGTAAAAAAATGATCAAAACTCTGCTTTTAAGATTATATTAACCATGTTCAATCTTCTATTAGAAATTTAGCTAATGTAAGGGACTTTTGGAATTAAGTAAACACTGTTAATAATGCTAATCATACAGTAGACTCTTTGAATGTTAATGATTTTCTGAATAATGATAAAAGGCAAATAGTGGATGTATTTGCCGATTACTTTAGTAGAGTCTATTCTAAATTCTATAAGAATACCTGGAGACAATACAATATCTTTAATATCCATAATCCTATCTTCTCTACACACACTGGTGAAGAAGTTTTGGGACATCTGTAAAAACTAGACTAGAAACCTGAAACTAGAGGACTTGAAAACATTCCACCTTTACTATTAAAGAGCTGTAAATTTGCTTTTATTGTTGTTCAATAAATCTTAATCAGTCAGTGTTTGACCACATATCTTGGAACTTCAACCTTAAAAAACATAGGTGCCTTGTTCCTTGACATCAACAAAGCATTTGATATGGTATATCAAGATGATTTGACTTATCAAGACTTATCAACCGATGAAAGTTTGTAATATTGGGTTGTCCGGAAAATAATGCAGGATTTTAAGTTTTCATTAAAAAAAATCTATATAAAATATTCTGTTTACGTTTACAGGATTACTCATTNAATTATTTTGATTAAAGAACATTGCTTTAAAGTAACTAGTTTCTTTTTTTTTGTTTAATACCAAAATCCTGCATTATTTTCCGGACAACCCAATAACAATTCAAGGCATACAATCACGGGTTGGTAATGTGGCTGCTGGAGTACCACAAGGCTCTGTTCTGGGACCTACTCTGTTCCTCATTTACATTAATCATGTGCCCAAAACCCCTGGCATTGAACTGGCCCTGTTCGCTGATGACATTGCGCTCTACACATCATGGAGGGTGAGTGCAATAGTAAACCGATTGAGCAGGGCAGCAGAGAGGACTATCAGGTACTTTACGAGGTGGAAAATAATTTTTTTTTTTTTTTTTTTTTTTGGCTTTATGAACTATGCATATTAGCCATGTGACAATTCATATTTGTGTGTTCAAATTTGGGGGGGATATTGTGAAAAAAGGGCCAGAGGCGACGGTGGGAATCGAACCCACGACCGCGGCGTGAGAGTCTCTCGAACCACTCGGCTACCGCGGTCCCCGACAAAATTTAGTAACTTCTTAAAAAAAAAGTAAGTAGTAGTCTCATCTGATGTACCTCAGGGGTCATTACTTGGCCCATTCCCTTTCAAAGTGTTTATTAATGATATTACTCCTTGTTTTTACTTAGTTAATTTCCCCTCTTTGCTGATGACTTGAATGTCTATACTGATATAACTTCCATTCATGTTGCTGAGTTTCTGCAAAAATCTGTAAATAATCTTGTTGAGTGGTGTTCACACAAAGACATGGAACTAAATATAAATGAGGCTGTTAGTTATAGTCTTGTCTTTTGCAATTACGCCATACAAGGCATCCAATTGGGCAGACAGATACCATTAAAGATTTTGGAATCACCTACTCTAGCAACCTCACATTTAACTTGCATTATACCTTAATAATTAATAAGGCAAATCAAATTTTATGTTTCTTACATAGTACTACAAAAAAATTAAGGATCCAGAAAAAATGTCTATAATGTTTAAGGCTATGGTCTGACCCATTTTAGAATACTGTTCAGTTGTTTGGTCCACATCAGAAAATATTAAGAAATCCAATAGAAAATGTACAGCGATGATTTATTTGCACTCTTCAGTTTAAAATTATTAGAACATACCTGGATACTTCGTACAAATTTATTATGAAATCTGTAGAATTGCAACCACTTAATGTGAGATGACAAAACAATGGCCTGATATTTTCTTACAAATTATAATCGACTGTCCACAATTAATTAACTTGCTAAATTTCCATTCCACAGTGTAAGCCAGGCAAAAAATATTATTTTCAAAATCTAATTGTAACACAAATTATTTAAAATTTAGTCCAATACCTTGACTCAAGGAAATGAGTAATAAACTTCCTTTACATTGTGACACTTTTTACCTTTCCTTAAGTCAATTTAAACATTTAAAAAAATCTTTATGTAAGGTATTGGTTGAAATAAAAAAGTCAGTTTCACGAGCAGGATTCGAACTCATGATCACAAAAAGGAGGGAAAATTCGAAAGGTGAGTTGAGATGGGCAGTTGGTGTTCGAGTGGATCGAAGTCAATATTTAGCCGAAGGTCGTGGGTTCGAATCCTGCTCATGACACTGACTTTTTTTATCCCAACCAATACCTTACAAACAGATTAATTTATTGAAAAAAAAAAATTATTGGTCAATCAGACCACGAACTCTAATGTATTAAAAAAAATATTGATCATGGCAATTGTTTTATTTGTTTATATATTTTTATTGTTTTCATTAAATTTTTATCATTCCTTCTCTTACTTTATATTTGTTTATGTATTTATGTTGTTTAATTAAATTTTTATCATTCTTTCTCACTTCCTTTATATTTTTACACAGGTGTATTATGACACAATATGTACAATATTTTATTTGTGTTTGTTATGTTTAATTTGTCCATATTTTTAATTATTGTTATGTGTATATTATTATTTATGTTTCAATTAGTCAATATTACTCATGTATAGTTTAAAGTCTTATCGAACTTGTAACTGGGAATATATACCCTTATAAATAAATAATTTAATTAATTAATTAATATTTCATTACATAACTAGGTATAAAACCAAAATTATACTAAAATAAAAATCTATTTCTGTATCCTAGTACATTTCAACTTATTTATTTAAATTAAAAGATAAAAATGACTATTGGGGGCATCGGAGGGCCGCAGGTGCTGACACGGTGCTCATCACTGTAAGGTAAAGGTCCGAGGTTCGAATTCAGGTTTTTTTTTTAACAGTAGCAAGTATGTGTCTGTGTCACATGGCCATCTATTTTTTCTTTCTTTCTTTTGTATATATGTATATTATGCGTATGTATATTTTATTATATTTTTTTAATAAGCTTTGGCTGTATATAAAATAAAAATAAAATAAAAAATGACATTCCAATATCCATAATTCAAAAAACTAGTAAAGCATTTTCCTTTTATAGATTTTAAGGAACTGAAACTTCGGCCATATTTGAGAAACATTTAAGGTTTTTTTTTAAAGAAAAATATTTCATTTGTTGAATTTTCCTTTTTTAAGTAATAAATTCCACATGAGGGGTTGGTTTTTGAAGGGTTCGGTCCTGTAAGATAAGAATATATTTTTTCTTTTTTTTTTAATTTCTTCTAGTGGGATGAAACGTTAAAAGTGAAATTGTATGGTATAATTGTCCAAAAATGTGACAAATGTTCATGATATGAATCAGTGTTCGTTTATCGTTGAGGGAGGTCCCTTTCCCCCATTTCCGTTCCCAAAATGATTACTTTTGAGGGTTGGGCCGTTGTGGAGGAGTGGTACATTTCTAATCCGAAACCTCTAAAATTCCAAGGATTGAATTTGGAAAGGTCTGTTTGGACTTCCTCAGAAGTGTTTTTTGTGTATCGATTGTGCCTCGTTTCCCAAGCGAAGCTTTTTTACCAAGCGGCAGACCGCGAGGGGCGTACACCGTAGTCAGCCGGCCGCTGTGGAACAGGAGACGACACCCAGGCCGTTTCCCTCCTAAAATGTCACAGTTCCGGTTTTAAAACCGGAAAAAGTCCGATATCGCAAAATAAACTCCAAATTCCGATTTTAGAATTTCTAATTTTAAAAAGTAAGATTTCATTTTGAAGTCATCGGCACCTAACAGGGGAAAGGACGGGTTTTGTGTTTACCTCGGCGGAATACCGGCTTCCCCGCGCCTTTGCTCTTCCACACCAGTCAAGGATGTGAGTATTTTTTTAACACTTGATTTGATTTTTGTTCAACTCTCCAGCAGAAAACATATTTTTATTTGAAAATCGAAAAAAATCTTCTGCAACCTACCCGTAGGCGGTAACCTTTTCAATATTTCATTTTATTATGTTTTTGATCGAAAAACATTATTGTTTGTTTACAGTCGTGCTTATCACGTCCACGAATTGGAAACGGGAAATCAATACAGATTATTTTTTTTTGTCTGTGGTGTTTCGGACAGTCCGAACTCCACATGCTTTCTCCTCCTATTATCTCACCGGCTTAGCCCGTTCTTCCAGTCGTTTGATATGGACGTAAGGCTCGTTTACATTTGTCCCTTTTGAAGATCTAAAGTGGCAAATGTAAACTGCCATTCGTCTTCAATTCAGAGTTAGAAAGTGAACGATGAAAGAAGTTGACCCCCCTGCTAACTTTTGATGAAAGAATCGTTCCTTCAATCGATGATTCATCCAAAGTGAAGGTGCAGTGAGAAATGTAAACAAACGTTCCCTCTCGCATTCACTGTTCAATTGGATGAAAATATGTAATCAAGGATGATTCACATCGTAAATAGCGCTTAAGATTAGCGGCTTTTCAAATTTCAGTGCCAAGATTCAAGACTCTTATGTTAATACATGATGGGTAGGAAATAAATTGTCTTTTTTATACTAGAAATCCTATTGTGGAAAAGTCAATTTATTTCCTACCTATCATCTTATTATGGAGTTCCACAAAATCAGGATGGACACGATCAAAAAATTTAACGGACAAATTTAACGCACTACTCAATTTATTTATTTTAACATTAAATCCACTTCTACATTACTTACAGGTAATTAGGAGCTATTGAAGTCAAAATAAACCATAAATAATATTTTGTTTACTTCATTTACTTTTGCACTGATTAATCTAATTTGCTCAAAAAGTAGATGCACTTCCATTCTGCTAGGCCTAAAGATAGCTTTCAGTAATCTTTCTTTTTAAAAACATTGAACAACATATTCACTCCACCATTCATAATTTCTATTCAGTAATTTTTTTCCTTCGTTGATTTAATTGAATATTATTCTTATTAAATATTAATCCATTAGTGGTCTAATTTACCAAATTACTTATTTCATTTAATTATTCTTTTTATCTAAAGTTTTGGTTGAGATGAAAAATTTATTGTCACGAGTGGCATTTGAACCCACAACCTTACATCGCTGCTCTACCACTTGAGCTATTATACCTTCGATCCTCTCGGACACCAACTCTCCATCTCAACCTACAACCTTTCGAATTTTCCCTCTTTTTGCCATTTTCAAATGTCGTGTAATCTGGATTCGATTCTCAGCGACTTAATAGTGGCCATGAGGAGCTGTTAGTGAAGTGAAACTTCTTTCCTTATTAAATATTAATCTATTTATGTTCAGTGGTCTAATTGACCAATTTAAGACTTATTTAAATTATTTTTTTTATCTAAGGTTTTGGTTGAGACAAAAAATTTGGCACGAGCGGGATTCGAACCCACGACCTTTGGTTCAACTAACCACTTGAGCTATTGTGACTTTGATCCATTTGGTAATTGGTTAGAGCAGCAGTGTATTGAGCCGAAGGTCATGGATTTAAATCCCGCTTGTGACACTAACTTTTTCATCTCAACCAACCTTACGAAAAAATAATTATTATTCTTATTCTTAAACACCCGCACTGAATTGGTTGCTGTGTGAGGAAGATCTTAACTTCTTAGAGGTTCTTGCAAGAAGACAGTGAGAGATTCTTGCTAATGCCAGGCCCCATGAATTACGTATTGTGGATGACTTGCTGAAACCTATTTTCTACCTATAACCTCAGGGTCGGGCACCCGGCTCTAGGACCTCTTTTTACCGCAGCTCAGAATGGCTAAGCTTCAATTCATGCAGGTACATGTGAATTGGACATTTAGAAGATTGAAGACGAGTCCTCTTTACAGACGAGGTGAGAGTTGGCCTTAAATTTTCAGATGGGGGTACGCTCAGGAGAAAGGTACACCCATGCTGTATGGTTCCTTAGGTGGCATTCCAGTGTTTCTTGATGTTTTTGGTTGGTATTCCTTGGACGCCCACACTGAATTGGTGAACAAGGAAGATCTCACACTTCAACAAGACAATCGAGAACATATAGTATAATTTGCCATTGAGTACTTGTGACCAGCTCAAAACCCATATTTGAACCCAATCGAATACATTTGGGACCAACTTAATCGACTACTATGATGACGAAACCCAGATCCAAAACACTTGAAGAGTTGGAAACTTCAAAAACTTACTTTAAAAAAACAAAGAAGAACTAAAAAATGTTCTTGATGAATGGGAAAGAATTCCTCAGTATTTTATCAGAAATCTTTTCCAATGATTGCTAGAGGTGGAAATTCTCAATATTAAAGGGGACAAAAAGGTTTTTACATTTTTATTTGTTTTTGTATTTTATTTTTATTTTATTTATTCATTTTGTTCTTTACTCAATTTTTTTCTGTATTACAATCAAACCTATTTTTCGTATGCAAAATATGAATAAACCTAAATACATTACAATTTATGGGTAGTGCATTAATTTTAACATCAATGTACTTGCCATGATGATAAATAGTAAATCAGGAATGAGGCCATGAAGTTAAAAAATTGTTTTCAGATGTCGTGCTTTCGACTTTCTTTGATATCCGAAAACAATTTTGTTTTTGCATTCATAGCCTCATCGGTGATCACCCAGTTTTTTACTAGTTATTGTCTTTTATTTATAGTTTGAAATAAGCAATATGTACGCATTAGATTAAATTCTTACTAATTTGATGTACGTCTAATCAAGAGATAGCTGTTTTTGTAATAATATATTTAAAACTAGAATTATTAAAATATTTCATTTTAATTTGACACTATTCAATATTCTTCATTGTACACTCCAAGAATATTTGGCCGACAAGGTTTTATCACAATTCTATTATTCACAATTTGATTGACCAATTGTTCATAAAAGATGCGTTTTGGTACAATAATGGATAAACTGGATCAAACAAAAAGTACAGCAAAAATGAATGATGGCTATTAATTGTTAAATCAAATCAAACAAGAATGCCTAATCTAGTATACACAATAGTATGAATAAGCTGTGCCCATTAAGCAAGGGGACACAGATCCTAGGGCACTGAACCCTCAAGCAGTTATTTTCAGAACAGAAGATAAGCTGAAAACTACTAAGAGATCTTTTATTAGACACTGGTGATTTAAGAATCTGTAAATTGAACTTATTTCATGTGTTCCCATGGTGAAATGCTGAAATGTGTCTGAAAGATCAAATTCAGGGAGAATCGGCAGAAAGAGGGGTGATTGAGCAGCAGTTTCAAACATCACTACAAGAACCTTTAGTTGGATCATGTTTTATCAAATAATACCAGCGAGAATAAGTATACTAGTCTTCACTCACTTCAATTTAAGAATCTGTTGTTTGAACATTTTAATTCACGTTCTCATGGCATGCAATAATAAACATGCCTGGCACACAAACCTGGTTAGATTAGTTAAACACTAGGAGACTATAAAGTTGGTTCATCACCCCACAGACCTCGCTGTTTCTAATATTATTTTATTATAGTTTAACTTGTTAAGCCCCTAGTTTTAAGCTATATTATTTTCCTTAAATTATGCAAAATAAGCTTTTCTCTATTTCAAAATAATTGATGTAGATCATTTGCTACTATCATTATTCCAATTCCATAAAAGACATATTGAGAATTCCGTCACAGTTCTGGAGTGAATGGGATGTATAAGATCTCATTCAGGCAAAGTGGTTTGATTGATTTAACTAAGTTGCTGGTAGTTGACTCAACTAGTTGACTGCTCTGTGAAGACTCTCATGGCTGATTTCACATCAGGCAACTTGTAGAATCAACTTCTCTTCTCAATGGGAGGTTAGTATGATGTTAGAACCATTATCACGAAAAAATTATATCAAACTAGTCAGTGAATGCATCCAAAATTCCAAAACCTGGGGAAACAACAACCTGATGGGTGCTAGGACACAAAGGAATTTAGGATAACGAAAAAGCATACGCACTGGCCAGAGGATGATCTGCAAGACCATATAGAGGCCCTGAACCTATGCTTTGGATAACAAAAATAAATATAGAATCCTCCATCACAGAATGGATTTAAGCGGGACCGCGGTAGCCGAGTGGTTAGCATGAGAGACTCTCACGCCGTGGTCGTGGGTTCGATTCCCACCGTCGCCTCTGGCCCTTTTTTCACAATAACCCCCCCAAATTTGAACACACATAAACCAATTGTCACATGGCTAATATGCATAGTTCATAACGCCAAAAAAAAAAAATGGATTAAAAAAAAAAGATGAGAGAAGTGGATAAACTTTAGGGGTGCTAGACACTGTAAACTTAGGCTAAAAAAAAAACCCTCACCAAGACTCGCAAACACACTACTGCAATTGGAGAAGACCAGATTCTGAGGATTGATAGGACTATTAATCAGTCACTGGCATCTGAGAAAACATGTACATGAGAGAATGAATGGACATATTCAACAATGATCCCATTTGCAAATTACGCAATGAGGAGGAAAAAACAGAAAAAAAAAGGAAGTGAAATAGTACCAGCGACAGTCAATGACCTAATTGACCATCCCTAACAGCATAGCCCTGTAACTTATCCCTCTGCGGCCCAGAGATTCAAGCATTTCATCAACCGTTAGGCTCATAGGAGAAGTGATAGTATCCCTCCTAGTAGACATCTTTTTGTTGTGCAAACTTGTTGCCTTTCTCTATGTTTGTCTCATCTATTCTGGTTTTTAACATTTCTCCAATCCATCCAGATGTGTTTCTACGTGTTTTTTTCTAGGGAGACTTTCATAAATGCATGATATACATTATCAAAGGATCCTTCAATTTTGAAGAATATGCAGATTTGCTATTTCCTTTGCTTCTAGTATTTCCCTCAGGTCATTGGTTAACTGGTATAGAAAGGTTTTGGTTGATCGTTCTGCTTTGTATGCATGTTGACAGTGAATAGAGTGATTTGTCTATCAACACTGTCATTCATAATTTGTTGTCTACCAACTTTTCAAGGGCTTTTAATAATAATAATATAATATTTTATTAATAATACTACTAATTTATCAATTAAGAGCAATAATACAATTTAAAAACAAAGATTGTTACATGACTACGGGACAAAAGATGCGAAAATATCACATAAAAATAAACTGCACTTTCTAAATGTGGCTTAAAAAATCTACATATCCATGTATATGTATTTGCATATATAGCAGATATATTTTGTTTCATGTGTGCATGCGTACATATGTGTGTAAGTATGTGATTTAGCATAAGAATTTCAGTGAATCTCTTGATTTTTTAATTAATCATAAATTTAAAAATAAAATTGTAGATTTACACAACTTTCACTTCTTAAAACTATTTTATATTTAACTATTATAAAATGATATGAAAACTGATAAGATTGAATGCACCTTGTTTAAACAATGCCCTTTTATTCTGACTAGACAAATATTTTTACCGTTATTACTCATTGGCTAAAAACGCATCATTAAGATTGGGGGAAATGTCTTTTAAGTCAGGTGTCTTTTGTCTGACTGATTAAATTGTTAAAGCCCCCAATTGAAACACATCAGTTTCTTACTTAATTTTTTATTTCATTTTTTTTAGTCTGTCACCAATGAAATTGGCCACAATGGATACTTCCGTTCAGGATGAACAACCTGGCCACTTAAATTATTACAGACGGAAGGCGTCTTTTAATTTGGAAGATATGAAATATGCAATCGAAAATCATCAAAGACTTTTAATAAAGGTATGTCTTTTATTCAAAACATAAAGATGGACAATTACAATAATGTTTATTTTCAGAATCGAGTCTGGTTGTACTTATTGTCTGATCCAATTTTCCATCCTATGACGGAACCTGTATCAATACATGAAGCAAAAAAGGTTACTGCACAACAGTTAGACAAACTCCTCTTTTCAGGATTGTTTGACAATGTCGATAACATGGAATATGCTGAAAGGGTTTGTACTCGATATTTATTCAATTTTTTTTTGTATAATGTAGTTTACTTCTTCAGACAAAATTTTTGATGTTGGTCAATGAAGCGACTGAAATGATGAATTGCAACTTGTCCATAAAATTTGCCTTGGGGATATCTTTATTTTCCAATACACTTGTCAGTCTTGGTACAGAGAGACATATTAAGTTCTACAAAGATGTTTGGAGAGGAAAGGTAATGTAAATGTTTTGTATTTGTAATATTTTTCTGTTGCAATATTTGAATTTGAGCTTTTTTTTTTTTTTTCTTTAAGATTTTGAGTTGCTTATGCATCACCGAAGTCGAACATGGGAGTGATACAAAAAGGTTGAAAACTACTGCCACTTATGATAAAAATACAAAAGAGTTTGTCCTAAACACACCTGGTATTGGTGCTGCTAAATGCTGGATTGGAAATTTAGGTATATCTTCATTGTGCAGTCAAAACATATGCCTTTAATTTATTTAATTTAACAATTTCAGGCTTGCAATGTACTCATGCACTACTGTTTGCTCAGTTAATATCCAATGGCGTTTGTCACGGCCTGCATGGTTTTGTAGTTCCCGTTAGAGATCCAGACACAAGGAAACCTTATAAAAATATAACTGTAGGTGACATTGGGGAAAAAGCTGGCCTCAATGGAATTGATAATGGGTTTGTCCTGACTTTAAATTTTGGCTTAATTTGAAGTAGACAGAGATAATAAATTTCCTCTTATGTTTCAGATATATAATGTTCCATAATTATAGAATTCCTCGTGAGAATCTGTTAAATCGGATAGGAGATATCAATGATGATGGAGATTATGAAACTGCTTACACTGATCCTCAACGACTTTTAGGTAAACGTCTCTTGATATTTTTATTATTATTATTATTTTTATTTTTATTTTCAATGGGATTTTGTTGTGCAGGTGCAGCATTAGAAAGTTTATCAGCCGGAAGAATAGGCATAATTCATGAGTCGAGCAATACCCTTGTGAAAGCCATAGTCATTGCGATTAGATATGCTGCTCAAAGAGTTCAGTTCAGCGATTCTAGTGGAATCGAGTTACCCATTATTGAATACCAAACACACGTATGCACAATTTTCCCATCCATTTTATTTTTAAATACAGTATTGTAAAAATTAAAATTCCATTTTAGCAATGGAGGTTATTTCCTTATTTGGCAGCAAGCATTGCGATTAAATGGTTCACTCAAGAATTTAGCGATGTTTATATTAATTTTGTCGCTAAATCCCGAGAGGGGGTTATGGATGTTAAACAAGCGGTAAGTGAAATAAATTTCAAAAGTTAACATTGAAAAAAAAATTAAATTTTGTTTTTAGTCACAAATGGCTAGTGGTCTCCATGCGATTGTCTGTTGTTCCAAAGCTCTGATCACTTGGACTAGTCAAACAGCGATTCAGGAATGTCGAGAAGCTTGTGGAGGACATGGTTACCACAAAGGTACCTTTTTGATTGGTGTGTTCAAATGAATAAATTTAAATCTATATTTTCCTTTTAAGCCTCTGGTTTGGGCGATTTAAGAAACAACCATGATCCTAGAGTGACATTTGAAGGAGACAACACTGTCCTTCTGCAGCAAACAAGCAATTGGATGTTGAGAATATTCACTGACTCAGAAGCAGACTTTTCCATCTTCCCTTTGTCAAATATTTCCTTTTTGAAAAATATTGATTCTGTCTTGCGTAAAACACTAGCAGATTATAAAGAACAAGATTTCATGACCATAAAATGTGAATATTGATGTAAACTGAGTATATTTTCTTTAGACATGCACTTGATTATTGTTTTTGTTGATAGTTATTATAGAGACTTACGAATGGTTGATTTGTTGGTTGACCAAGACAACACACGAGAAAATATCAGCACTTAAAAAATTCACAACAGACCGATTTGAAGTCAGAAATTTATCTCAGGTTTTTAAAGCAAGGACGCTTTCTCTTGCCTTTGGAGAAGTATAAACCATTTTTTTAATTTTTTTTTTTTAAATCCATTTTTCTCAATTTATTATTAACTTTATATGATTCTTACAGTTTAATGTAATCATCCATTTCAAAACCAAAGTTGACTCTTGTGCACCTCAACTTCAGCCTGTTTTGAATAAACTCGGCGTCCTTTACGGCCTTTGGGCACTCTACAGCCATATTCCAGTGTTATATCAAGGTCTGTCTTCATTTAACTTATTAAAACTTAAATATACTGATGGACAAAATTAACACACCACTATTAAATTTTAATGAATTCAGATTTATTCATATTTTGCATGCCAAAAATAGGTTTGATTGTAAATTTAAAAGAAATGTTTAAAAAAAAATCCAACCTCATTCAGATAGTCACAATGCATGAGGTGAGGGGGCAAATGACCACTACATGTTCTTTGATTATGTCTTGTAAATACCTTTCTCCTGAGAGTCTCCATATGAAAATTACGCCCATATTTAGAGTTGAGGTCAGCTCTAACCTAATCTGTAAAGAGAACTCGTCCCCAATCTTCCAATGTCAAATTCACATGTCCCATGCGAATGGAAGCCTGGCCATTTTCTGAACTGTGATAAGACCCCATGTGCTGGACCCTGAGATTATTTTCATTGACCCTTCTTCTTACAATCCTGGAGGGAATTTAAACATTTCCGACTTATCGGAATTCTTATCTCATTTCCAGTTATGATGTGGTTTTATAAAGCCTGATAATGGATGAATTTATGTCTGCCACGTCTGTAGACCTTGGTTGACCCTGTCCTGGCCTTCTAGTGAGAATCCTTGTTTCTCTGAAGGGCCGAAGAACCCTTCATATTGTAGAGTGATTTTTTACACTCAGTCTCCTGGCAACTTCACGCTGGCTGTATAACTCTTATAATGTTATGACCTTGTCACTGTCATACTCTCCTGACAAGCCATTGAAAAATGTTTAAGAATAAAAATAGTATCAAATGAAATCTATGAAAGAAAAAGATGAAAGCAATCAGGCGTAGCAGAATGTAAGGGTATAATGCTACTTTTTGTGTAAATGGGATTAATCAGTAAAAAAGAAAACAAAAGAAGTAAACAAGGCATTATTTACTGTTTATTTTGACTACAATAGCTCCTAATCTGTAACTAATGTAGAAACACTGGATTTAAATTTAAACTAAATAAATTGAGTTGTGGGTTAAATTTGTCCATCAGTGTATTTATAAAGGATGGTGCTTATCATATCTAAAAAGTCAATTGATTTTTTTTTTTTTTGAAAAATGTCTCATAATTATTCACAGGTGGATTTTCAAATGATCCGAAGCTGACAGATTGGATCACCGATGGTATTCTCAATCTTTGTCAGGAGTTAAAATCTGAAGCTGTTACTTTGGCTGATGCAATTGCTCCTCCAGATATTGTCCTTAATTCTGTCCTTGGAGGATCAGATGGAAAGGTAATGTATTTATGCTTCAAATTAAGTAATTGTTAAAAGGAAAGTTCCAAGCATTTTTGCTATCTTTTTTTATTTAAAGCATAACGAAAATATTTGCCGATGCAATGTGATCGAGTTACTGAACTCAACATTATGCAAGATCATCAAAATGCAGCAACTTTTCCTGCATGATAAATCAATATTCAAGTTACTTTATTTGGCGTTATAATATATCAGTGATAGGAGCGCCAGTTAATGATGAACCCATTTACCCAGGAAATTTTAGTTTAGAAGTGTTTTTGTTTTTATTTATAAGTAAAACCAGTTATGGAATAAATAAACCATTTATGGATATAAATAACTGTTGATAGAATCATGGCGTATATAATAATTTATAAGATTGTTATTACAATAAATTAGGATTTTAATACATTTGTTAACACACTCGTTACGGGATGGATTTGTAAGACACTCCTGAAATACGGAAAAAAATTTGTTACAGTTTTGAAACCTATTTAGGTTTACAAATAACTCTTAATTAAGATTTTTCACAAAAAATTACATTTTTTAGATTTTTGGGCTCATCATTCTGTAATGACATCAGTGTAGTAGGTCAAGATAGGCCAACTAGCAATATCTATTGTTTATCCACTCAGTATTTATGTACATCAGCCCGTGTGTTATGAAAAAGTGGCTAATTGTATATTTCTACTTACTAATACTTAATAAATTTTAAGAATATTACAGCGAGGTAGGAATAATGAATAAAAAGTGAAATTTAAAATTTATTTGTGATAATTACAAATAATTAATCACAATCATAAAATTTTATATTTTTATATATATATATATATGTTTTTAAAGTACATGATTAAAATATATAAAATCTGAATTTGTGGTTAAAATAATGACGATTACAGTCGACTCATGTTAATTCAAACGTAATGTTCTTCTAAATGTCCACGTATTGTTTACTTCCTTGCAGTGTGAAGTTTCTTCAGATTTTCTCTATTTGTTCTGTTTGGTAATTGGCTGTCAGTCAGTATATTCTCAGCACTGATCACTTTGGAAAATCATTTAGACAAAGGGTGCTAGGTCACATTGAAATAAAAAGTGATAAAAATGAAAAAATAACAAGGGAGCAAGTAAAAAAAATCATTTTACAAAAGCAAGAAATTCCTTTTACATACTATCCATTAATTATTTTTATATTTACCACTTAAGTTACCAAATACTTACATACTAGTTATTTACAAAGAATAAGAATTAATATATATATATACAGGGTGAATTGCTACTCGTGCTACAAACTTCTCCAGTAGATTCTTCACCCTAAAATGAACAAAAAAGTTCATATTGTCCATGGTCCGATTCTCAACCATTNGACCATGGACAATATGAACTTTTTTGTTCATTTTAGGGTGAAGAATCTACTGGAGAAGTTTGTAGCACGAGTAGCAATTCACCCTGTATATATATTTATTTATTTATTTATTTATTTTTTTTTTTTTTAACCATCCTTATATTATATAATAAATATTACTCTTGTAATCAAATTTATTTTTAGATATATGAAAAGTTGATGTCAGCTTTTACCCAGGAGAGTTCAGCCAACTTTGTTAATTACAAAAGTCAACCTAATAAAAGCCAAATTACTTCAAAACTTTAGAATTAATATTGTTAAAAGAAAACTACATGATTATAAATATGTACTTTAAGCCTAGTACTAATTAACAACAGAAAAATTGAAAATACTTTTAAAAAAAGGTAAGAGACAGTTTCAAATATATTTATTTTTATTATTTTAACAGAGATATTTAAGTTAGGACCTTTTTTCAATGTCAATTCACTGTTTGGGAAAGAGCTGATTCATTTTTTACGTTGAAAGTATTCCAAAATGATAACTGATACAAACCGTATATATATTTTGTACTAGATGATAATTATATTTCACAAGTGGAGGTTAAATCAGTCATTAGATATATCATAAGATATTGTGATTTATTCACTTCTGTGATTCCTTCAGTACCTTATCAAATGTTAACAAATTGTTTTTTTTTTTTTTTTTGTATTAGTAACTATCAAAAATATTCTTGTATGTAGAATAGTAACAATTATAAACCTTATAAACTTAATAAGCATGCATTTATTTACCAAATCTGGTGGAATTTCATGGTATTTCTTGAAAAGTATTATTAATTGTTAATCAATTAAATTTTTATTCAGTATGAAAATACAGTCACCTGATAAATGGTGTTTTTTAAGTATTGCTAATGATTGTGAACTATTCTGAGTTTCAGTTTAATTTTAATTTTTTAAATTTATGTATCGATAGGGCTTAAGAGTTGTGCAAATTACACATTCATTGTAAAACCGCCCTTCCTGAGTTTAAGAATCTTTAATTATCTATATACGCTTGAATTACAATCTGCTATCTATTATTTACTTATGTATTATCAAAAAAATAAATTGCTATGTATATTAATTAATTCTATTTATTGTTTGGTATTAATTTATATATTTGATTTGTACATATACATGTATATCTATTAACAAAACAAAACAAAAAAAACTTATGATACAGAGAAAAACACTGTTAAAATAATAAAACTGCATTGCACATACATTACATTTTGTTAATGTTAGTAAGCTGAACTAATATTTATTTGCAGAATATGATTTTTGCTTGATTTAGTTTTAATGTTCTTCCAATACTTCCATCATTTGCTACTGTTATTTTTAAACTAAATAATATTTTAAATTATGTGTTTAGAATTGGATATTTTAGTTCTTGATGAGTAGTCATTTCCTAGTCTAGAATCGAACAAAAAAAAAAAAAAAAAAAATTGTTTTAGTCTAATAAGAAAAATAAATAAATTGTATGTCTTGAATAATTACATTCTTAAACTTGCTTTACAATTGGTTGCTATTGTCAGTTTTTCATTCTACTCAGCACACTGTTTTGCTTATCCACTATTGGGTAAAAAAGAAAAAAATTGAACAAAAAAAAACAGTTGAATTGTAAAATATATATATTATATGTGATTTGTTTTTCAATAAATATTTATTTTAAAGAGAAAATATTTGTGGCTAAAATTGTCTTATTGTAGAAAGAATATCAATGTGCCTTAAATTTATTTTAAACGTATTTGTAAATAGGTGTTTACATATACCTTTCTGTTACCCAAAGATGTCTATTTTGGTGTTTTCCTTTTGTCAAATTATGAAGTTTTATATATTTAAAAAAAAATTTAATTAAAATTTTGTTTGTCTCTTTAGTTTTTATTTTTCCAGTTACCATACACATCTATCAAAATTTGTTTTGAAGGTTTGTTAACCTGATGTATGACGTTGATTAGTGTATTGCCTAACAAACTGGAGGGGAGATTGTGTTCCATTTCCTGTAGCCCAGTATAAATCTTGCAGTGAACAGTCCTACTTTTTGCCTCAATCTTTATTAGGTTGTGATGTGCTTATAAGAGAAATTTTTACTCTTGAATTTTAATTTTTTTATTTTATTTTAGCAAGTTTTTGTCAGTATGATTGAACCTTGAACTCATTTCATAATCTCATTTTGTTATCATAAAAAAAAAATCCAGCATCAAATTATACGTAAACTCAATTTGCCCCTTAAAAAAACAAAGACTTAAGGATGGAAGAACCACTTTTTATTGGGGTCGATGTCGGCACTGGCAGTACTCGAGCAGCTCTTGTTAACTTGAATGGTAAAATCTTAAAACAAGCATGCCGACCTATACAGATTTGGACTCCGACGCCGAACTACTTCCAACAATCTTCACAAGATATATGGAAGGCTTGTTGTCACACAATCAAGGTTTGGATTAATTATCCAGAGCTAGCATTTTGATTTTATTATTATTATTGTAAGTATTTATTATGTAGTAATAAGTAATATGATAAATAATAGAGCAAGTCCTTGTAATCCTCATGGCTCTTGGAAAAGTTGAACGGCATTTATACATTCTGTAATAATTAGGGGATAAATTGTGAGAATTTGTATTGAGGAGGAATAATGAATTTGTGGTTTGATTGTTTCTGATCAACGAATTCACTGACTAAGCATTAAAATGGTGAAATACGGACAGGACGAAATGGCTAAACTACGGAATATCGTGTGATAAAAAACAACAATCTGTTTTTATAGCAGCACAATTTTTAGATAATGTAAATACTTAAGTGCTTATTTTGAATATTAGATAACAAAATGCATTATATGCATAATTCAAAATTGCATTAATTCATTTGTATTCTTTATAAAATGCTTACAAAAAATGTTTATTTAGCTTAAATTTAAATGAAACAGTTTAAATAAAACATTTCAAAATAAAGAGAAAAAAATTGAACAGTTATTTATGCATCTCATAATATATATTCAATTTTTTATTGTAGGAAATAACAAAAGACATTGATCCAAAATGCATAAAAGGAATTGGCTTTGATGCTACCTGCTCTTTGGCAGTAGTTGACAAGAATGGTGACCCAGTTTCAATTAGCCCAAAAGGTAATTGACTGTGAAACTCACTTTAACAATGTGAATATATTTATAATAAATTCCAGGTGAGAAAGATCAAAATGTCATCATGTGGATGGACCACAGAGCCAAGAAGGAAGCAGATTTTATTAATTTAACCAAGCATCGCGTTTTGGAGAGTGTCGGAGGCAAGGTCTCGTTGGAAATGGAAATTCCTAAACTTCTATGGCTCAAGAAAAATTGTAAGAAGTGCTGGGAGGAAGCCGATTTGTTTTTGGACCTACCAGATTTTCTTACATGGAAGGCAACTGGCTCCCAATCGAGGTCTGAAGTTCTATTAAAGTTAAATTTGTTAGAAACACTATTCAATTTCCAGGTCACTTTGTTCAGTCGTTTGTAAATGGATGTATGAAGCCACACCGACAGAAAAAGGCAGATGGAACAAGGAATTTTTTGATGAAATTGGTCTTTCTGATCTATGCGATAATGATTTCTATAGAATAGGTGACCTATTTAGTCATCTTTAAAAAACTTTGTAATTATATCTTCCTTATTTACTGATTGAATTTTCCAGCATACAAAAAATTTCAGTTATTTGCTTGTTTTGCTAAAAAGTTTTCTTTCTCCCCCCCCCATCAAAATTATGATCATCCTAGTTTGCCAATGCTCCTAGTCTGCCTTTTCTTCAGAACAATTCCTAAAAGTTGAAACTTTGACAAACAAAACCAGCAAGAATAAGCAGGCCAGGATGGCCACAGACAATCAGTTAAAGTTTCATCACCCTGCATGCCTCCCTCAGCACAATGATACACAATGTTTTGCTGATTGTACCATGATTTTTAGGCCAGGTAATAAAAACACCTGGTGAACCTTGTGAAGATGGCTTGAGTAAAAATATAGCAGAAGAGCTCAATCTAATTCCTGGAATTGCAGTCGGAACATCCATCATCGATGCTCATGCTGGTGGACTTGGTCTTATTGGATGCAAAGTTGACAATAACCCTATTGACTTAACAACCCGCCTATGTAATTAATTGTATAATAAAGCAGCGAGCAGTGCTTTATTTAATAATGCTTACTGCTGCTTAATTTCAGCTCTTATATGTGGGACATCCACTTGCCACATGGCTGTGAACAAGACAAGATTATTTGTGCAAGGTGTATGGGGTCCTTATTACAGTGCAATGATCCCTGGGCTTTGGTTGAATGAAGCTGGCCAAAGCGCCACTGGGAAACTAATAGACCACATCATAGATTCTCATCCTGCTACTGCAAAAATGAAAGAAAAATTACAATCCGGGACAAGAATCATAGATCATCTGAACGCTCTGGTTAAAGAATTGGCAGCAAAGTCAAATAAAAGTTTTGACTCCTTAACTGAAAATATTCACATTTGGCCTGATTTTCATGGAAATAGGTCTCCAATAGCAGATCCAACACTAAAAGGGATGGTAATTATTTGCAATATATGTATATTTGTGAAATTCAAGAATTTTATATTGAATTTGTTTTGGATAGATTTCTGGTATTGATTTAGGCAATGATGAAGAAAACTTAGTTTTACTGTATCTTGCAACTGTACAAGCTGTTGGGGTAAAATATATTGCAACAGTATTTACTAACTATTATAATAACAAATACATCATTATTTATGCTTAAATGACAGATCTAATCTTGGGAACTAATGCTAATTAAAGAACATTGCAAGTCAGAATTTTGTTAGTAAGAAAGTTTACTAAACATTTCCAACGAACTTAACATAAAAGTTATTAAACGTTTATTTTGATTCTTTTTCATTTTTCTAAATATTATCATTTGTAGTATGGAACAAGACATATAATGGAAGTAATGCAAGAAAAAGGATACATCTTTGATTCAATTCTCGCATGTGGTGGGCTCAGCAAGAATGAGCTCTTCCTTAAAAGTCAGGCAAACATTGTCAGCAAATCAGTACTGATACCCGAAGAGGCAGAGTCGGTTTTGATCGGTGCAGCAATTCTCGGAGCCACGGCCTCTGGTGTCTTCAATGACGTTGAAGAGGCTGCTAAGAGCATGGGAGGAAAAGCTATTACTGTTGAACCCTGTTTAGAAGTTTCTAGGTATTTTGATTGAATGTTTTCCTTTTTCCATTACGTTTTACATATGTGGGTTTTTCAGATATCACAACAAGAAGTACAAAGTTTTTAAAAAGATGCTCGATCACCAACTCCTATACCAGAACATTATGCAAGAGGAATAATTTATTTATTTTTTAAAATAATATTTTTCATAATTATTGTTACCAGATGGATTTTTCTATGAATCTCATTTTACAAAATTTGTTATGCAGTAAAAATTTTGTTAATACTTTTCACTCTAAATTAATTGAAATTAAGATGTTTAACGTCTCATGAACTATTATTATAAAAAGTACTGAGCCACTTGTACAGGTAAACTTCACCAAGGTAAAGCGTTTCCTTTGAATAAAAAAATTAATTTGCAAACATTAAGTGACAAGTTCTGCTCATTCAGTGTCTTTGTTAAATACATATTTTGGAGCAATAAAATCTGGTTTATACAATTCATCATTTCCCCATTTTCAAATGCACCGATAAGCAGAAAGGTATTGAAGAAAAATGTAAGTTTCACTTTTTTTATTGACTTGAGTTAATACAAGGTAAGGCCCTTTGTGTGCATGTAGTTTTGTGAGAACTAGCATGTATTTTATGTACATTATGAACTAGTGAAAACTAGCATGTATTTTATGTGATCATTTATGCATGTGCACAAATATTGTTTTGTGTGCGTGAAGTGTTTATTGTTATGTATTTATTTGTATTTTTGAATGAGTGACATATTTGTGTGTTTATGAGTGAAAATGAGATAATATAAGATAATATAAGTGAGGTGGCTAAAAGAGTTGTACATCGTGTGCATTAAAAAGAACTATTATGTTCCTGTACAGATTGTGTCTCACTCTAACTTCAGGCTTTTTATGCATCCTAGAGAATACTAATTCATATTTGCTGGAATGAGCTTTTCTTTGCTCATGAATTGCTTTACTAATTAGGTTTTCACATTAATGTATATGTACTGCAGTTTCCCTTCTTCATAAAATGTACACATGCTATCTTCTACACTTTCAATATATTAAAATGCCTCTTGATACAGTAATGTCCAGCTAACTGATGTGCAATGATCCTAAGTTTTACCCAACATTGTTGCCGGTCTATGGCAAGTCTAGGTGAGACCCCGACAATATCATGGTGTATTGTTGACCTACTTGTATTAAGTTGACCTATACTTTCAAGCAATTTCCCTTTTTTTAATGCAGTTTGAAATTTTACAGAATGGTTTCGGTTCTAATGCTGATGAAGAGCCAGGGTTGGCATCTTTTATTGGCTCGGAGGCGTCGGTGGCCTCAACGGTTTAGGCATTGACAGCGCTCATCACTGTAAGGTAAAGGTACCGGGTTTGAATACAAGGCCACTGGATTCGAACCTGGGACCTTTATATCCAGTGGCCTTACATTCGAACCCAACATACTTACAAATGGGCTTTTTTTCAAAAATACCAACACCCCAAAGGTTGATATGACCTCTACAGTTGCAAACTCTTGTAAATAAATAAATAAAAAATCTATGCGCTTCTTCGTTATGACTGTTTGCTCTGGGGCTTAAACAATTGACTATTTCTTTGCTGTATCTAAGAGGTAGAAAAGTTTTTTTTTCTTTTCTAGAAAAGTTTTTTGTTCGTAGGTGAGTATGTTTGTTTTTTGTTTGAGTGAGAATGGACCTCTTGTTTGTTGTGTGTTCATATTTGGTAAATAAATTATGCAAAAATTCTAAATGATTTCATTGAATATACTGTTTAATGATTTACATTGATTTTAGTACTTAAATGTTTAGATTTTATGTATGTATTATTTATTTAAAATTGATTATATTTTTCATAAATAATTAAAGTTTTTAGTTTTATTAAGTTAGTTTTCTCTTTCTTATTACGAGTGGTACTGGGTAAAGGGATTTTGGAGTTTAGAGATTATTTGATGAAAAGTGTTTAAAGCACAAATCACTACAAAATGGTTCTTGAACAATGTGAACTCGTGGGAAGCACATATGTTGCAAACGAGATTTTAAAAAATTAAATTTCCAAATTTGTAGTGAAACTTTTCCAGAGGGCAATTATACTTAAACAATCGCAAATAGCTGTTGTACTTGTTGTGTTTTAATAAAGAATCCTTGGTGGTGACGGGGGTTGCGTCTAAGTACATCGGATTTAATTTTAGCCGGGCGGCGTGTGAGAGGTAAGAGAGTGCGCGTCCATCCGCAGCAGTACACCACCACCACTAGGGAGGAGGAGGAGAAATTTTAAATCAGCTGCGGTTACGGCGTTACGCTCTCGGCCGTTCTCCACTCGGAAAAGAGGCCGGAGGAATGTTCGTCGTCCGATGTTCCCTTTAACGGTCGACCAGGCTCGAAAGACTCATTTTCCACGGGAGGCTGCCTCGAAAGGGCTGGTTTAATCGAGTGGCCAACGGCATGTACGGCGCCAGTTGAAAACCGAGCTGTCTTCGACGTCGTCCGATCCGCAGAAACGCGCAGAGATGGTCGTCAAATCCGGGCTGGTGAAAAACGTGAGGATCCTCCTCCTCGGGGATTCGGGGGTCGGTAAGACCTCGCTCATCCTCTCCCTCGTCAGCGAAGAGTTCCCCGAGGACGTGCCGGCCAAGGCGGAGGAAATCACCATCCCGCCGGACGTCACTCCGGAGATGGTGCCGACGCATATCGTCGATTATTCCTGTAAGTAGAACCTTTCATTTATTTCACTCAACGCGACATACAACTGTGACAATCTACACAGTAAACACACACTTTGAGTTTAAGCCCTGAAGATGATCTCACTAAAGATCGAAACGCAAGATAAAGAAAATGTTTTTCTAAACATTTCTCACGATCTCTAAATAGTCACTTCAATTATTTAAGATGAAAAGCTTTCATCTCGGTAGAAGCTGCTCTTTTATGCGGCTACTCATGTGCTAATAAAAGATATGCTATTAATGAGTTACCTCATGCTGAGACGCTTCAGAAGCGGCCACCGGTTTTTCGTCCTCTTCCAAACTTTTGATCCATCTACGTTCAAAAGAAGACTTGTCACAATTGACAATCAATGATTGATTGAAGGGTTCGAACAACTTAAATACAATACTTCACTATGCTGTTGATCTATGATGAAACATATCATGCAATATAGCTCGAGATAAATAATAATAATAATTGTTAGTTCTTTGACTGATACCGCTGACATTAGCTTAATAGCAGTTTAGTACATACATCATACTATTATTATATATTACACTGATGGACAAAATTAATGCACCATCCTTAAATTTTAAGGTATTTATGTTTATTCTTATTTTGCATACCAAAAAAAAATAAAACATTCAAAAAGAAAATGTTTAATACATAATTAAGAGGGCTTTTCGTACGCTTCCAAACTTTAGATTCATCTATGTTCAAAAGAAGACTCGTGTCACAAAAGACAACTCGACTCAACTGTATTGACAGTCAATGATGATTGAAGGGCTCGAACAACTTAAATACGATGCTTCACTATGCTATTGATCTGTTGATCTATGATCAACCATATCATGCAATATAGCTCAAGATAAATAATAATAATCGTTAGTTCTTTGACTGATACCGCTGACATTAGCTTAATAGCAGTTTAGTACATACATCATACTATTATTATATATTACAATGATGGACAAAATTAATGCACCACCCTTAAATTTTAAGGTATTTATGTTTATTCATACTTGCATAAAAATAGGTTTGGTTGAAAAATTAGAAATTTAAAAAGAAAATGTTTAATGCCTAATACAGAGTATTTCCACCTGCCACGAACCGCCTTTGCATTCCTTGGAAAAGATTTTGGATAAAATCCTGATGAATTATTTTCCAATAATAAGAACTGCCGTTTCTAACTCTTACAGTGTGTTGTTTCGCCACCGTACTTGTCGCTTAATTTGAACCCAAATGTGTTTGATTGGGTTCAAATCCTTCGAGCTGGTCACACCAAGCGCTCAATTCCAGCCTCATTAAGCTACTCATCTGCAATATATGCTCTGTGGGGCTTGTCATTATACTGCATTAGCAAGAATCTCTCATTGATGTGGGAACAAATGTTCATATAAGTTAATGCGCTACATGTTCTTCAATTATGTCTTGCAAGTCCTCTGTGAAGTTGGTGTGGGCGTCCATGGAAACCAGAACATCAATCACCCACCATAGAATCATACCTGAGAAGCCATACAGCATGGGGTGTACCTTTTCCCTTAAGCATCTCCATTGATCCAAGCTATCTATATCACTCGGACACCAACTTCCCATCTCAACTGCACCTTTTGAATTTTCCCTCCTTTTTTCCATTGGAATGAGAGACCAGGTATCTAGGGGACTGAGGTATGTAGGGACAGACTGGAAGGCGACCCGAATGAAATAGCATTTTTTAATCAATTGAGATGTTTTGTCGATTCATTCTCTTTCAGTATGAAGGCACCTGATGAGATTGTGCAGTATGGTGTCATTCACACAGTTAATGCTGTATCGAGCAGATCGCTCTGACCGAATCGTCATTTACATTTCTTATGCCTCTGTTACATTTAAAAAATGGATAGAAATGACATTTTTGATAATGACAAACTAATTTCATTAATTCAAATATATCCCATGCTTTGGACAACAGTGTGAACAGAGCCGAACACTTTGATAGAAGTAGATGTAAGTTTAAATACAGTGTGGTTTTTTTTCCTTTTTTCATAAAAAATTTCATGTTGTTATACCATCACCGAAAAATAGGTACAAATGCCAAGGTAAATAGTAATACCAATAGTAAAGGTTTTCTAGAAGCAGATTAATTGATTCCAACATTAGTTGAAATTCACTAATTTCGTGGTCCGCTTGACCAATTAATATATTATAATTAATTAAGGTTTTTAGTTGAGATAAAAAAAGTCAATGGCATGAGTGGGATTCGAACCCACGATCTTCGGCTAGATACGCCGCTGCTCTACCACTTTAGCTATCGTGACCTCGATCCACTAGGACACCAACTTCCCATCTCAACCGCACCTTTTGAATTTTCCCTCCTTTTTTCCATTTTTCATCCCGCTCGTGCCATTGACTTTTTTATCTCAACTAAAAACCTAAATTAATTATAATTAGTTAATAATTTATAGGTTTTTTTTCCCTTCAGAATTTAGATTGTGGCCTTTTACACTTGCAATACTTTTAGCAATGATATCAATAATAACATTTTCATACAAGATGTCATTAATTTAAATAAATTTGTAGATATGCTTTTACATCCAGCGGCATTTGAACCCGACATTTAAAAAAAAAAACCATGTCTGGGGGTTCATATAACTTTGTAGTTGAAATATAACTTAATTAAAAAATAAAATAAAAAAAAGTTTCTGCGTTCTTTGTTTTGCATTTTGAAAGGAAATGTGTGTTGAATACCTGTCATTGTATGGTGTGAGAGAGTCAGTAGTAGAAAATAAGTAATTATTACTTTCTAGACTTTTTAGATGAAATAATGTAATTTTGTTTACAGCACATGAACAGTCTGAGGATCAACTCTTCGATGAGGTGAAAAGAGCAGACGTGATATGTTTAGTTTATGCTGTGAACGATGATCAGACGCTGCTGAGGATTACAACATATTGGTTACCATTACTCTTTTTTGTCATTCCTTACAATAAATGTCCGATTATTCTTGTCGGAAACAAAGTCGATCTCATCGAGGACACCACAGTCTCAGTATAGACAGTTTCTATTTATTTATAATAATCCATTATTTGCTATTGTAATAAATTATTTATTTAGGCGGCACAAGATCTTATGGAGGAATATTCAGAAATAGAAAGCTTTGTAGAGGTAAATTTATTTGTGTGGTTTCGGTGTACCGTATTTGTTAATATATGTTATCTTTTAGTGTTCTGCTAAAACGTTAAAAAATATAAGCGAAATGTTCTATTATGCTCAAAAGGCAGTTCTTCATCCTACAGGACCAATCTATGTGACTGAAAAACAAGATGTATGACAATGTTTGTTACTTTTTGAACAAGTCATCACTCATCAATTTTTTTTTTAGCTTACGGAAAATTGTAAAAAAGCTCTCACAAGAATATTTATGGTATGCGATCTTGATAATGATGGTCTTTTGAATGACTATGAGTTGAATGCTTTTCAAAAGCGATGTTTTGACATGCCTTTGAGGCCTGAGGCGATGGAAGATGTCAAAGATGTCTTGAAACGTTGTATAAATGGAGGGGTTTCGCCAAACAACTGTATCACATTAATAGGTACTTTTTCAAACTTTACATCGTCAAATAATCAGGAAAAATATAATTGTAAATTAATAATTTTTAGGTTTTCTTTATTTGCACTGCCTTTTCATGCAACGAGGAAGAAGCCATACTACTTGGACAGTATTAAGAAAATTTGGATATAACAACCAATTACACTTGAGCAAAGATTTTTTATTTCCTCCGTATGTTTTGACTGTAGATTCTGTTTTATATTCAATTTTTTTCTTATTCTCTTATAATATATACTGTGGAGTTTATATAAATAATAATAATAAATAACATTTGCATTCTGATAGGTTAAAAGTCCCACACGGTAGTTCAACCGAACTGAACTACAAAGGTGCTCAATTTTTTACAAAGTTATTCTGGAGGTTCGATAAAGATCGAGATGGTGCTCTGAGCGATGTCGAGTTGTCACAGCTGTTTGCAACGTGCCCATCTCCTGCTTGGGGCGCAGACATTTCCAACATTGTCCCATGCAACGATAAGGTTTGTTTTGTACAAATCTTTTGATCTGTTTGAAAAGTACAAAGTAATAACAGTAAGTCTTACTTTGTCTTTTTAAAATGTAGGGTTGGATTACACTTCAAGGATTCCTCTGTTTCTGGATGTTAACAACGGTTACCGATGTGAAAACTACTTTTGAATACCTGGCATATTTTGGTTTTCCAATCAATGAATGTGAGAATCAGTTGTCAGCTATTCAAGGTAAATTGTTTTAAAGATCAAATTTGATACTTGGACTGTCTGTGATGAACCTAGTTCCTTTTCTTGTTGTTTATACATTTATTTAACATTTTTCCTTGTTAAGTAGTTAGTAAATATGAGAATGGGATGATTATGGTCGATTTTGGAACTTTATCGGCACAACAAAATGAAAGTAATAATTTATTTCTAAATCATTTTTTCAGTAACAAGAGAGAAAAAACTGGATCTTTTGAAAAAACAGTCGACAAGGAATGTATATGTGTGTCATGTTATTGGAATGAAAGGGGTCGGAAAGTCGACATTAAGCAGAAGATTATTAGATCATTCCATCGAGGTGTGTAATAATTGTTTTGTATTATTAAACATATATTAAAAATCATTTTTTCATTTACAGAGGATATCTGAAGATGTTGAAGGTGTACCTCAACGCACCATCAACGTAGTTCATGTATATGGCCAAGAAAAGTACCTTATAATGAAAGATATCGAAGTGAGGAACGTTTCAGACCCTTTGGGCCCGACAGATGTTCAATGCGATGTCGCCTGCCTTGTATACGATGCCACCAACCCTAAATCCTTTGAATACGTCGCAAGGATATATCTCGTAAATAAATGTTTAATACAAAATTTTTCCAAATGGTTGAATGTTCAATATATCTTTTAGAAATACTTTGAGGATGGGAAAATTCCCGTTCTCGTTGTCTGCAGTAAAAGTGATTTGCAAGAGGTGAAACAAGATTATCTAGTTCAACCATCTGCATTTTGCGATGCTCATAGATTAGCGCCGCCTCATAAGTACTCAGCCTTGAGTGAAAACGGGAAGGAAGTGTTCCAAAAGCTAGCCACGATGGCAGTGTTCCCGTAAGCATTCTTTTAACATACATAGTTTAATACATACTAATTTACAATTTATAATTAAACAACTTTTTAACCAAAAAATTAGTCGGTTTCATGCTGCTTGGATCCTTTTCTACCGCCATGCCAGGTTTGTCTAAAAGTCTAAAATTTTGCTTCTCTTTCTTCTCACTTCCTCTGATTCTTTTTAGATCTATTGTTCGTTGCTAACTATCTTAATAAATACATTAATCCTAATAAAGTTCAAAATTGTAGCCAATGTATATATAAAAGGCTTTTTTTTCTTTTATTATTTATTTAATTTTCTAGGCAGCATAAATTGTTTAAACAAGGATATACCCTTAATTATGCCAATTTATGGCTCATTATTAATTCTGTTATGCCTTTTGTATTCTATTTATATATTATAATTTAAAAAATAATAATAATGGTTTCAAGCATACAAAGTATTCTTGTTCCCATCAATGAAAGTTTTAATGTTATTTTTAAGCTTTAAATTTGATTTTGGTTTTGTTTTGTTTCAGCCATTTGACAGAATTGAGTATTTTAAGTGGAGATTCCATCCTGATGAAGGCCGGCATAGGAATAGCGATTGTAGCGACAATCGGGCTTGTTGTCTCTAGGTTAATGAAAAACGAAAGGTGAAAAAAATCTGAGATCAAAACCAATATTTTGTTTTTAAATGTTTCCTGTGATCTGGTCAATGCGATATGGTTATAATGTCAAAGAAACATTTATCCCTCCTTTATTCAAATGATTCAGTCGGTCTAGCTAACAACAAAAAATAAAGTCCTTAATTTTTGGTAATAAAATACTTCAAAAGATAAGTAATCTTCATATTTAATATGATAATAAATTGCTAATGAGAAAGAGTATAACTTCAAGTAGTCTCTGGCTTTCCTTGTAATATATTCAAGATTTTATCAAGTCATTGTAATTTAAGATGTGTATTTTAAGAATTTTATCTGACCCTATGTCCGCTAACTGAAGCGCATTTTAGAGTCTAAGGCAATGGTGTGATTGACTGTATATAGCATACTATGTTATAAAGTTTTTGGCTAGATTCTTTCAGTTAGTTTGAATCAGTACATATTCTACATACTTTATGCATATAACGAAGACTGTTCAAAAAATAAATATTAGTTTTGTTTTGTTTTTTTAATACGTTGTTCTTCCTAAACTACACTGTCCTATTTTTATCATTGACTCACTTAAAATAACAAATATGACACTTTATTTTTTTTATGGAGTTTACAAACATCTCAAAATACAAATGACTCAGAGAAAAGAAAATTGTAGGCAATAAAGTGGAAAACAGCATGAACTAGACTTTCTACGGTCTTGCTGATCAAACCAGCTATTATCCTGCTCACACAAAAATCCTTGACTCAACCCCTACTGTCCTCGAGCTCAACTCACATCTGAACAATTCTTGATATGACTGTCATCACATCTCGATTAGTTCTCGGTCTGATTGGCATCTCAGCTCAACCTTAATCTTCTTACTTGTCCTTATTCTCAGAGCCTTTGACAAGACAAGACTATCATCTTAACTCTCATCTGCTCAACAGGATTGTTTGATTGATTTGCATCAGATACTAATGCAAGATTAAATACTAATCTTTAAGATGAGCAGAGATTTTAATAGTATTAAAAAATTGTATAACATTTTTAATAACATGGTAAAAAGCTATTAACAATTGGCAAAATTTTAATAATAATTAATGCGAAAAAAAACCTGACTGGCTCTTGTAAGGCACAAAAATCCGCATGACTGGACCTAGTGACCTTGACAAGAAGTCGGCGGTAAGACCATTAGCTCCACAGCAAATATGTTAATTTGTGTTAAAAAATCTCTTTCATGTAATTTATGATAAGTTATTAAGGGAAGTAATAATGAATAATTAAACTGTTTTGCTTTTCCTCTAACTGTGATTAGTACAGTTTTAAAAAAGGAAGGTATTATGTTAAATACTACAAGTAGTTTCATAATACATTCGTAGTTTTATTTAAACAGAAAATACATCAAAATAGTGCTATATATTACATTTCCACAAAAAATATCTTCTTTTTTTCTTTTTTTTTTTTTTTGGAAGACCATAACCATAAGTTTCAAGATTTTATTTTAATTCAAGAAACATAAAAATAGGACTATTTGCATACATTTTCACAACATATTTATTTGGAAGACAAATAGTATTACAAGCTCTTCTCTTCTATTTAAACGCATGAAACGTTAAAATAGCAATAATACACTTTACACAAAAAAATATTAATCTTAATTGCTTATTTGGAAGACATTTTCTTAATATGGAAGTTTCAAGACAGATACAACTTAAAATTAGCGAGACTAGAAGTAAAATAATGAGTCCTAAACAAAGAATTTACGTTTGTGCCTCTTTATTTTAACTGTGAAAGGACGTTGTTAAGTTTGTCTAAAAATATCTCAGCATGGTGTGGTTGGAAAATCAAAGCTGGCCTCAATCTGACTGACATCTCTCCGCAACCTCCTGACTGCACACCTAAAAACCAAACGTGTATTCAAAATTTGCTTTTGTAATTAATAATTCAATTCAAAAATATACCTTGCATTTTCAAATTGGTGACAATGCTGTCTCTAAGGTTTGTGTTCTTCGCATTGAAAGCCAAGAAAGTGCCACGTCCTCTGACAGAGTTGATCAAGTCGGGATATTTTTTCTCCAAATTGTGAAGCCCACTTTTCAAAACATCTCCTGTTTCTTGAACGTTGTCGAGCAATTTGTGCTTTTTTATCACATTCAACACACCTTCGAGGATTACAAGTTTCCCAGGGTCTCCCATCCAAGTGTTGAAAATCCTGTAGGGCTTATCTACCCTGATTGAAAGTTTACAAAATTAGAAATCTATGAAATGGATTTTCAATGATGATTTGCAAATTATATAATTATTATGTACATAAAATAACTTTTTTTAAAATATTAAGTGTAAGAGACCTAATTGAGTGATTAAATAAAACCGTCAATTTCCCTTTCTCTCTTTCTCTCTTTCACACAGCAAATACAAAAAGATATACAAAGCAAGGATTTAAAGATATTCCAATTATTTTACATCATTTCATTTGTGTGGTAAAATCCTCCAAGTTGCATTTTTTTGCTGAATGTGACAATATCTGGTGGAGAAGGCAAATTGAAGTGCTCGTGGCACCACATTTTTCCGGTCGGCCCTCCTCCAGTTTGTACCTCATCAATCAAGAATGCAATCCCACGCTGAAAATGTTTGAGATGTTTAAATTTTTATAAAATCGGCAAACCGTGTTTTTTTCACATTTTTGCATATTTTCTGAAGCCCCTGGAAGAACTCCGGGGAACCTTCATTGTCACCACCTTCAGACTGAATCGGCTCAGCAATTACACCTGCAACCGGGTTTTTCTTTGCATACTTTTCTATCAATTCCTCGACCTGTTAAGAAAATTTTATACTTTTAATTGAAAATTGTAATTTCTAAATGTAAAATCTATTACACATTACCTCTGCTAAACACTTATTATCTTCAGCTGCATTTTCTTTAACATGTTCAGAAAGAGGATATTTGTACTGGGGAAAATGAGCAATAGGCCAGTCAAAAGCAGGAATGTCCAATTTATGAATAGGTTTACTATGAGTCGTTGTCAAACATCCTAAAGTCCTTCCGTGAAACGCGCCTGAAAAATTGATCAGTATAAAATTAAATTACGATTATCATTATTATTATTTTGACCACCTTTAAAAGATAATATGCTGAGGTTTGGTGAGCCTGGAGGCAAGTTGATCATGCACGATTCCATATCCAGATCGGAGATTTTTTTGTCAAAGCCCCTAATCTTTCGCATGTACCAAATGAAAATCACTTTGAAAGCATTTTCATTTGAGCATGATCCACACATCATTGTCATCACTTTATTCAAACCTGGTGGAGCCACCTTTAAAAAATAATAATAATAAAGATTAAAAAATATTTCAGAATTTTTATTTATTTATAATACTTACATTTAAAAGAACAGACTTGAGTTTATCCGGCCAGTCTCCACCTGGAAAGACACCAAGTGCCGGCCTGTTTGCTAAAGTACGCTAAAAATTCAAAATCTGTTATAATGTTTTATTTATACTGTTGTTTTATTTAAGATTTTGGAAAAAAATCTAATATAAACTAAGAAATTAGTGGAAAAAGTATACATTTTGTAGGTACGTATTAATTATTGAGATAAAAACATAGTTTCCATTTTTAAAAGCAAATTTATTATTAAATCTGATTAAGTTAACTTTTAAGTCAACACTTCTTCAGTGTAATAGCATATACCCATTGTTGGAGTATTATATATTACACAGGGCGGGCGACCAGGACCCGAGGGGTTAAAAGCCTGAGTAGGCCCGTACCCCATCCCTAGAAGGTCCGGGACCTGGTCGGCTCACGAGTCCTGTATAAACCTATTGGACCTATTCACAAACCCCAGGATTGTGGACCATTTTATCCTGGGGAGTGTTTTGGTTATGTCCTCTCCTTCGAAAGTATTAAATCTTTCCCTAGCATACCTATCGCATTCTGCGAGGTAGTGTCGGGCCGTTTCTTCTTTTGTTTCGCAGAAGCGGCAGAAGGGGTCTGGTAGAGTACCCATTATGAAGAGGTGTCTTCTCAAGGGGCAATGGCCCGTTAGGATACCTATCAGCCTCCTTATTCCCCTCCTAGAGTTAGAGAATAGCCATTTCGATTCTTTAGGTTTGATTTCCTTCAGAAACTCCTTCGATTGTCTGCATCCTGGGGACATATTCCATTCCTTTAGGAATTGTTTCATGCCCCAGCTACCTATACTCTCTTTTGCTGTGCTTAAAGAGTGGGGTAATACCGGTTGTGGTCCGACGAACTCAGTATTTGAACCTTCCTTGGCCAGGCTGTCCGCCTCCTCATTGCCATAGTGCCCCTTATGAGCAGGTATCCATACGAGGGTTACCCTATTCTCATACCTGGTGATAGTCCTATTAATGAGTTCAACGGTTTCCTCTACCAGTCTAGATGTTGATAGTTCTTTTTGTAATGATTTTAGACTGGCCTGACTGTCGGAAAAAATTTTAATATCTTTTCCCTTAATCTTGTTATCCATCAGTGTTCTACAGCAGACATTAATGGCCCAGACCTCTGCCTGAAAGACCGAGGTGTTATTACCAAGAGGATAGGAGATGCTGATCCCTAATTTAGGTATGTGTATTCCAGCACCACTTCCCTTATCCTTAATGAGTGAGCCATCGGTGTAGCAATCTAGACTACGATGGTCATCATCAGACCTATAGTTATAGTCACAGGGAGTGACTACCTGAAAGTATTTTTTCCCTAAAGGTGTTTTCACCTTTTTATCGCTTACACCCAGTAGTTGGTTGTTGACCTTACTCAATAAATGTAAAATTTTCGAGTGTCCTATATTATTTCCCTTATGGTTCCAGCTGCCTTCACTAATTAATCTATAGCAGCTGGTTAGTGCTTTAACCTTGACCTCAATGTGTAGAGGTGTGGTGTTTGTTATCACTTCCAAAGCTAGGGTTGGTGTAGTGGGAAAAGCTCCCGTCATCATCATACAACCTAGTCTTTGGAATGACCTTAGCTTGTTAATAGCCCCTTTGTTTTCTAGCCCATTCCACCAAACTAGGGCTGCAAATAGAAATCTTGGTAGTATGATCGCGGTGTATATCCATTTGGCCACCCATGGTTTAATACCCCATGTTCTACCAACGATTCTCCTACACTGCACCATGGATATAGTGCCTTTCCTATGTATGTTTTTAATGTGGCCTTTCCAATCAAGTTTCCTATCTAGCGTTATCCCTAGGAACTTGATTGTATCCTTTAATTTTAATTCAATGTGTCATTGTTGGAGTAAAAAAGTAAACAGTAAATGTGATATAAATAAATACCAAACAATAAAATCAAGTGTATATAATGGTTGAAAAAGAAAAGATAAGATAAACTGAAAACAACATGTTTAAGGATTTCCTAGTTGCATCAAGAGATGTTTTATCTTTTGAAGGACAAAATTCTAATTACATTATCAACATCACAATTTAAACATAGTAAAAATCACAGCTTGTTTCATTAAAACATTGCATGCAAGACGTCTCAAGATATAAATGTTTAGATCAGTTTATCTACTATTTATTTTTCATATCCGTTTATGTATATCTTGTTATAGTTCTGTAAACACATGCTCTATTTTTTTAGTATTTACAAAAAAATATATTGTAAATATTAAAAAAATAGAGCATGAGAGTTTACAGAACTATAACAAGACATACATAAATGGATATGAATATTTCTTTTTTTTTTTCTTTTTTAAATATCAGGAACTGGAGTTCACTGCAGCTGTAGTATACAGCTTATTTTTCTTTCTTCCTGGCTCTATTTTGGGAGCTCGCAACACACGTGTAAATTTGAGTCCCCAGTGAGCCAGTGTTCTTCCCTTATTACTATATTACTAGGCTTAACATAAGGTTAACATTGCACCAGGGAAATGAAAAGGCTAGGAATTACATCATCTGACAGTCAAGCAGCACTAAAGACTCTGGCCTCATGCGAGGTGAAGGCAAAGTGTATTTGAAACTGCATGGAGGCCCTGGCGGAAGTCAGCAACACCAATGAACTGACCCTGGCACTGGTCCCTGGGCATTTAGGGCACAGAGGCAATGAAAAGGTTGACATGTTGAGGGAGCGGACTCTGTTGGTCCAAAACCCTACTGTGGTCAAGCACCTTGCCACCAAAGAGAACCATCCTAAAATGGATCCTTAATGAATCCAAAGTTTGGTGGAATAATACCCCAGGCACGAGTCATGCAAAGAGGATCATAGAAGGGCAAAACTTACAAAGGAATTATTGGAAGGCAAGCAAACCAGGTTTCTGGTTGGACCCCTACAGGCGCTGCCACCTAAGAAGGCACATAATAGGAGCACAGATACTGCCAAAAGAGGAAGAGATTGCTGAACACGTTTTTGTAGGTTCAGATTCTTGGAACTAGGGGAGGAAACACCGAACAACCTGAAGCCGTCCAGGGAGTTATAAAAATAGAGAGGAGCACAATAGATCTACCCAGATCGAGGTGCACAAAGGCTTGTGGCCACCTGTTTTATCCCTATCCCATGCTAGTTAGCTTGGATATTACTAATAATTATCTTTTTCAGTTAATTTTTGTTTGCATTCTATCAATTATGTTAACTGCATAACAGCATTTTTATAAAACAGCTATGTTTTATTTAATAATTCATACTTCAAATTATTTGTTATTGAATTGTAATTCTAATTCAGTTATTTCTTTAACCAACTATTTATAATTTGTTATGAATCTCTATCTCCTAAGTATATTTGTTATTGTATAATTTTAATAGGCTTTGACTGTAAATAATAATAATAATTTAATTTTGGTAGTGTGATATTCTTACTGTACAAAAGACTATTGACAGTCGCGTAATACCATGTTTAACAGTTTATTCTGGTCAAAACTGTCCGTAAATTATTTTTTTTCAGATCATGCTTTACTAGTTTAAGCATCGGTCCTATAAACATTTCCTATTTCCAAAGAGGTTTATAAATTTTTGTATGTTACAAATCCAATCAATCATGACATAATCAATGCATTTTTAGTGATTCATGAAAACTGAGGTCGGTAATAAAGTCCTAAAATGAAAATTCAAGCGAAGGGAATTTCTGGTGGATATGTAAAATACTTCAGGTGAACCTGAATTCTGCAAGTAACAGTAAAATAACCTTCCAACGGCCGTCACCGTGACACCGTCGCGTCTTTGTTTTCGTGCAAATTGAAATGAAGTTCGCAGTCAGAGATGGAACGGCAGGACTTTTTAGATCAGGCGAAAAAAATAGCAGAAATTTCGGACAAAATCCGCGACGGATGGGCGCTGAAGAATGCAGGCGAAGGCCGTTGGTACTTGGAAAAACGTCAACTTCTTTTAATCGAGGGCGAGCCGATTAATTGGCTCTACAACGTTTTATTCAGCCCGAGCTTCTCGTCGCCGGTCATCTATTTCAACGCCAACGACGCACAGGGCGGCTACCTCGGCTACGAGCGGATCCTCGCGTCCTTGGAGCACGCGGCCGATTCCCTGGGAGAAAATCCACTCCAGGTCGTCAGTCAGAAGCAGCATCCCTTTCTCAGTACGCCCTTCTATCATTTCCACCCTTGCAGATCGGACCGACTTCTTGGGGACGAACCGGCGAAGAACGGCCTCTTAAGATGGCTTTCGGCCGTCGCACCCCTTGTCAAATTGAAACTTTCAAACGAATACGCGTTTCCCTTTCTATAAACCTATTTCAAAATTAAAATTTTGCTTAAATATTTTTTAAGTAAAAAATGAAAGAGTTGAGAGAAGTGAACGCCTGATCAAAACTTAATGGATTCCCGTCCAGTTTTTTAAGATTCACCAACAGATTGGTCGTCCCTGATTATCCTCCTATTCCGGCCTGTTCAGTTTCGCGAGATCTGTAAATTGGGACCGAATCGAACCAGTGACCCACTGTAAACATTTACTTTACACTTCCACACATAACTATACCTTAATGCTTAATTATTAACTAAGCAATAATTAATATACATAAAATATTAATACAATAAACAGATGTTTGTTATTTGATAAAAAAAAAGTCAACCGTTGTGCCAAGTTATTCAAATAAAGGACATTGAAAAAGTGTTTAACCCTTAATATTTTTTACTTTTTTCTCTTAGTTCAGCAAAAAAGACATTATTTTGTTTAAAAAAATTAATTTAAACAATTAAATTATTTGGTCAATCGGACGACGAAATATAATGGATTTTAAACAATTATTGAAAATTATTTTCCAAACTAACGAACTACAAAATGTCACACACAAGGTCATAAGAACCATTTGCTTCCCCTAAAACGAAAATTATATATATAAAATAATAATATAATATCGTAATCCTATCCTTAAATTGTATTTGTTACACACCTATAAAAAAAAAAAATTTGATCATGTTTTGGAGGGCAGACATTATATATAGTTAGACATGTTCAATGATGGATGTCGTACTTACGATGCTGTCGGGTTCTGCGAGGATTTTAAGTATGTCCGGGTGGTTGTATCCGACGGGCATTGAAGAAATTTGAGTGTACGAGTCCAAAAGTACGTTTCCGTCGACGTCGACCAGATAATTTCCGAGGCTTTTTTCGTAGTCTCCGAACAGTTGGACCGAGCCGGCTTGCTGGGTAAATGTCCGAGTTTTGTCACAAATTCAAAGATCTAAAACGGATTCTGTCTCTCACCTGTATGCTGTTCATGTCTGCCATCAATTTCTGCGATTTGGGACCCGGAATCGTTTTGGTATTGACCGAGGGCGAGCTCGGCTCCCCTGGTACAAGTTGGCTTAAAAATCTGCCTACAATTTTAATTGAATATACAGAAAATTCCGTTTTGATTGTTAAAAGGAATGTCGCTTACATTGCTTTCTTAGCTGGGATGTCAAAAGAGTCGTGCTGGACAGAGCTTTCTGCAAAACCATCTTCTCGAATTGCTTATTTCCAAACGTTCTGCGTATTTCCAGAAGTGAGTCCTCTGCTACGGAGTCAATTTAACTTTTTAAATGGAAATGCCCTTGTGGGCATATTATAAAAGCCACGCCTCTTACCGTACGGAAGAGGACTGGGATGGGATCGATAACCGGGGCACTGATTCGTTCTCTGCACTTAATGTTTTAGAAATCTTTTGAACACGGAGACGGCGATAACTGGTTTTGATTCATGAAATTGCCCTTGAGCAATTGCGTGTAGTTTTTTTAAAATTCCGCTTCTACTGCGTCCACCAGTCAGTCGCACACGTTCGCTTTTTCCGAATGTATTATTGAGATAAAGGGGTGACCTCGCTGTTCTACACTCTTAGTATAATTCGAACCCCGTACTTCCACTTGGCCGAGTTGCAGATTCTTAGTATAATAAAATGTATTATGTATACTTCATAGAAAAGTGAAACTGATAGCTTAGAAACCGGGTCGGCTTGGTCGTCTCGTCAGGTACGAAAGGAGGATGGTAATTTAAAAAACCGGTGCCTGGCCTATAAAAAAAACAAAACACTTATTCTAAACACAAACATGTTTACATAGAGATGTGTACAGAATAGAGATCCTGTAAACGAAAATCAGTTCAAAAGGGGCGATTATTTTGTTTTAAACTAATTTCTTGATTTTATTTTTGCAAGAAGATGTAGATTAAATATTTTTAGTTTAGAAATTTTGCCTTAGTTTTGACCTTTTTTCCATAGTTTAGGCTTTTTGCCTTAGTTTAAACTTTTTTTACTTACTTTTGTCTGTTTTTGTCTTAGTTTACACATTTTTTTGCCATAGTTTAGGCTTTTTGCCTTAGTTTAAACTTTTTTTACTTACTTTAGGCTATTTTTGCCTTGGTTTAAACTTTTTTTACTTGCTTTAGGCTGTTTTTGCCTTAGTTTAGACTTTTTTTTGCTATAGTTTAGGCTTTTTTGCCTTAGTTTAAACATTTTTTGCCATAGTTTAGGCTTTTTCGCCTTAGTCTAGACGTGTTTGCCTTAGTAACATTTTTGTCTAAATTTAGACTCTTTTTTGTTTCATTAGTTTAGAGTTTTTTGCTTTAGTCTGAACGATTTTGCCTTCTTAGTTATATTTTTGCCTCAGTTTAGACTTTTTTGTTTCATTATTTTATCGTTTTTTGCCTTAGTTTAGCTTTTGTTGCCTTAGTTACATTTTTGCCTTGTTTTGGACATTTTTGACTTAGTTAAGACTTTTTTTTACAAAATACACGATAATTTCTTTAAAACGAATTATCAACCATGAAAATCGGCCTTCTAGTCAAAACCAATTTTTGACCTTTCCGACCCATTTTGCTTAAATAATGTTTGTTAAAATATGCAAAAACTAGTATTTTGTTGACCTCTCTTTTTTAATTACACCAAATTAGAATATTCTGAATCGTTGAACATTTTTGTTTTTATGTTAACTAACAATGAAATTAATATACCAAAATAATAAGTGTTTAATCTCTAAATAACGATGTATAATTATTTAATTTAATTTATACTTATAATTTTTACATATTAATATTTTGATTTATACAATATAAATAAGTGTGGTGTTTATTGACCATTAGTTAATGATTATTTGGAGATCGTGCGATGCGGTCTGGTGTGACATAGGTTTTAGAAAAACATTTTCTTTAACGTGGCAACATTTCTTTCTTTATTGATATCATCTTCAGGGCCTGGGATGATACAATAGATATTGTTTAACTTTTACAAATACATGTAGGATGTGAAAAAAAAAGAATTCGTACAATGCTAGAAATTTTAGATTCGATCAAAGTATTTGTACTCACTCAAAGTGTTTGTTTTCTGTGTAGATGTGTCATTCTTGTGTGTTGTGACAACACATCTACATCACATCTACACAGAAAACAAACACTGAGCGAGTACAAATACTTTGATTGAATCTAAAATTTCTAGCATCGTATAAATTCATATTTTCTATCTTTTATTATCTTTTTATAAAGATGTAACAACATACTTTCTTTCTTTACGAATCTCGTTATTGGATTGTTCGTGAGGGTTGGGCAGTTTTTTGGTGTATTTCGTGTGATCTACGGCGTAATGAACCTATACCGTTGAATCTATACGTGTATGTAATGCAGTCCTTACCGATCATTTTGGTCTGCCTATTGTAATGAAATTCATGTAGTGGAATTTGTAAGAAATAGACTATTATTCAGCGTACCTTTCCCTGAGGTCGTTTTTTGTCCTATTACGTGAGGCAAAATTTCGCTTAGTAATAAACACCCGATCTCATATTTTTTATTGCCTCGGATTACAAAGCAAGACTGAGCGGCGTCATTGACCCAAAGCTTTCCGTCATTTATGACACCTTCTTAAATACGTTTGAACCTACCGCTCGAGCTTTCTTTTTCGGCTTTCGATCGAAAAACCGCCAACGAGGGGAGAACTGGGTAGTGGCAGGAGAATTCAACCCGAGTAACCAGTTAGCAAAATTGTACCACCCTTTTTCATGCTCACTTCACCGAGGCGGAAGTGGGCTCAATATAACTAAGGCTGTATAGAATGAAAAATCAGCAATATCCTTTTGATGTGCTATTGATCTAGATATGTGGACTGCTGAGCCCAGCTTGCTACGGTAGCACATTGTTTGAATGGCTTGTTGTTAAAACATTCAAATGAAGAAATCTCACCGTCTTCGCTTTACTGCAAAACTTTCAATTTTCAGAATAACGACAAGAACTGCGGGCCTTTTTTAACTGTTTTAATTCATCTGTTAAGCGAATGTTTTGTGGTGGCAGGTCAAGGCTCGATCGGAGCGTTTTTTGACGCGAAGTTGGATGGTGCGGCGTTTGAATTATACATTACCATCACAACACATTTGTCACTAGGCCTGTTTTATTCTTTTTTTTACAATAATGAACGAGAAAAATAATAACAATTGTACTGGTCAATCAATTGGCAAATTGCTATTTGTATTGTTTTTATGTAATGTTCGTTAATTGTGATACTAATACAAGTATGGATGTGTGAAACTAAAAGACCCGTCCACCTTACCTCATCAGTCCTGAGTTTCTCTTTGAGATCTGGAGAAGCATTTCGTAAGGTAGTTGCCCTAGCAATTGTAACTGAATTTTTTATGTAGTTTATATATTTAACATTATGAAAAGTATAGTTTAGTAAATTGTATAATTCTGTATATTTTATTATTATACTCAATATAATAAAATCCCAAATAAAGTTGTAACTTGTTAATTCCACACATTCATACTTCCATTGAAAGAAATATCAGCCCATAAAAGAAGAAGTATTAGGTTAAAATATGATAATTAAAAGAAAACAACCATAAACAAAAATAGCACAAAAGAGGATTTGCAAAAATAAAAACAGTTTTTATTATTTTAATTTATATGTCTTAGTTGGTTCTAGTTAACCAAAGTAATTATTTAAATTCATTTATAATTTTTATATGGAGTGTGGTTGAGGTGAAAAATAAGTGCGAAAAGCGTGACTAGAATCCATTTCACGGAGGTCATGGGTTCAAGACCCACTCATGACACAATTTTTCACCACACTTCATGTGAGTATGAAATACTTGGTTTCAAAATTTATATTTACATCTTAAATTGTATTTTTTCCAATCAACACGTTTTGTAATTTATCCAGGTCTGAAGATGACTCGAATAAAGGTCGAAAGGTTTCAAAATGAAAAAGGTGTTTTTCTAAAGTACCTCATTCTTGACACTCCTCACAACTTCAACAAATTACTTTATATAAAAATTATAAATCAATCTTTTATAATGTTTATTTAAAGAATTGTTCATTATATAGAATATATGTTATTAATTTAATTTAATTTAAACTGCAAACATGAGTTTTTTAAAATATGTTTTATATAATAAAGTTATTTGACAGGTCAGTTTATTTGTATGGAAAAAATGGAAACACAAACAACTTTATCTTAACAAAAACCTCTCTCTATCTCGCATAGACGGCAGCATTTTTATTTTTCCTCGTATTATCCCTTAACACCTTGTTAGAGACAGGAATGGTAGGTATTCTCAAGTTAGATCTTCAACCAGGCTTCCACCTCCAAACCGCACATATGTGTCAGTACATTTTTAAAGTTGCCAGATTTGTCGGCCAAACTACTGAAGAAAAAAAAATCCTCCCAAATTTGTGATCAGAAAGAAAAATGCAGTAACAGGACACAAGTTTGAATGCCAATGTGATAAAACATTGATTTCTAAAAATAAAGCAGTTGTAGTCTTGTCACGATATTGAAACAATTGGTAAAAAGAAAACCTCACTTCATCCATTGTTTATAATTTTACGTTTTCAATTGGAAAAACAAAAATAAATAAGAAACTCAAAGGACTGTAAATTAATATTTGCAGTCATTCTAGTTTATTATTTTTTGTTTTTATTTTCTTATTTTGTACTTGTAAGTTTTGGATTTTCATTTTAATTTTCCATGATTTTTGTATTACTCAATAAAAACTGTTGATAAAAATGTGCTTGAAAGTTGTGTTAGAGTTAACTAATTCTAAATATTATAATTCATGACGAGAAAATGAAGACAACCCATTGAAGATATCTTGAAGATTTTGGTCCAAACCTTTTTTTACCAATTGTGTAATTTATTTTAAAGAAATAATTTTACAAAAATTGTTAAAATTGAATTTACTTTACCTTGTTTACTTACAGGGTTGTAAATGGTAAGTTTTATAAAAGGTTTTCAAGAAAAACAGTCTTAAAATAATAAAGCTATATTTACAATGAAAAGTCAAAGGAACAGTACATCTAAATGTGATTTTTTCTTCAATCAGTAAAGAGAATTTATTTACGAGATTATCCAAAAAATATATATTCTTCGCACAATATTTTTTTTCCAAAGGATAGTTTGACATGATGGGGATTGTCACTGAAGAAATACGCTGCATATAAATAATTAATTTAATAAACAAAATTAATAAGACTGGTAAAAATAATTTATTCCATTTTTCGATAATATACTATCTAGACTGAGACCTAAATTTCTGTTTTTTTTTGCATCTCCTTTCAAACTAAACTTGAAAAATAATTTAATTCGAGTTAAATAGTATTTATAATAATTTACAGTTGTGTACTCACACTTTAGTACAAAAAAATGTCTATTTCCATCATTTAATTTATTATACAGTATAATGAAAATTTACGTATAAAACTGCTTGACGTATCGCATACTAAAGATTGTAAATTATCATTAGTTTTTTCTTTTAGATTTTTTGTTTGTTTCGTGTTGCTCTTATTTACAGAAGACGAAGGATTCTGTACAATTTTAACTTAAGAAAAAGACATTTTCGACAGTTACAACAAATTAATGACCTAGAAAACGAAAAAAAAAAAAAATTAAAAATATTGAGTATATAAAATTACACAGGAAAAATATATTACAATGTATTCATAACAAAACTCTTAATTTAATAAATGAATGTCCTTCTAATATTTTCTTGTTCTATTCTAAACAGTTATTATACAAGTATTTACCCATAGCAAACATATTTACATTACGGATAAAAAGTTTTTGTCATTTTCATTTTTCTCATTTTAAACTTTTTGCTAGGGATTAAAAGAAAATACAAAAAAACAAAAAAATATATATCAAACAATACAAATTGTGTATTGCTTTCAATATTTGATAATGAAATGTATGTCATTTTGCTTTATGATACTATTATACAAAATCTTAATAGAGATATAAATTTGTCCCATGGAGTCGTCACACTTTGGTTCAACATTTCAAGGTGGGAATTTAAAAATACAAAAAAAAAAAAGAAAAAAAAGAAAAACCCATCAGTAATCGAATATCCGATATGCACTGCACACAGCAGTCGTATGACTGCCTCACTATTTCCCGTCAACGAGTTTATCCCTCAACCCTTTCACTTTTGATACAAAAAACAATTCCAGGGCTTCTGCACACTTGAAAAAGGGCGACTCCTTAGGGTTGTAGTACCGACAGTTGTCAAATATCTTTGTCATGTCGCCAATAAACTCAGTGAGCTTTTTATATTGCTTCTGGTTTATCCTCATCTCTATCGTCTGCAAATCTGTAAAAGAAAAAAAAAATTTATAAAATGTTCAAACATTATTGATCATTAAATATTAAATACTCTTTTGTTTAAGTCTAGGAATAGGTAATACTTAAATTGTGCCAAAAGTATTTTGATTAGTTTCAACTGAAACAGATTCCCATAAATTTTATTGTAACTTTAACAAGTGACTTTGTAGACAACTGTTTTAACTAATTTATTTTATTATTTTTAAGATTTCTTGTTGAGGCTTGCGTAGTTTGGTCGTTTCCGATCATCCTGATCTGCCTACCATTTGCTTGTTTGATCTGTTGTTTTTCCATATTTTGCCAACTCCAACTTCGGAATGATATGAGCAGGACGAGACAAGACATCAACCCCTGTCATATTTGCAAAGAAAACCTCTTCTGCATTCACAAATGGACGGAGTAGGTGGTTTCTTGCGGCAAAATGCCTAAACATCTGACAAACCAAAATAGTGAAGGCCTAGCATGATCGGCAACAACCAAACTACATCATTTTACTTAATAAAATCATTAATTTGTTAATTTCATCACTTTTTATTTATTCTTCCTAAAAAATTTAACAACTACATTAATTTGCAAAAAAGTAAAACCATATTTTTTCACATGAGAGATTTTAAGTTCGTTCTTCCTTCCTAAGAACAATTTGGATATTCTTACAAGGTGCTGTTTTGCACGGGAACAATAACTCAAATCTCTATGGTACCCTGGCTGATATTATAAAGTCTAAAGTTTGTAGGTGTCCACTTGAAAGCTTAATTTTAATTATTTGACACTATTAAAGCTTGTTTAATATTATTTTAACAACTTTTTTGCCAAGGGATCAAAGGCCCATAATTAAATAAAAAAGAAACTTATTTTACAATGTGAGTAAAAAATTTTAGGACAGTGTAAAGAAAATGAGTTAAGTGCGTGATACTGTATAAGGTCAATTTAAACTGATGTGAGTACCAATTGCCCAACGCAACGCAAAGCAACATGACCCAAAGCCACCTGACGCAAACCCAATATCCAATTTTCCATAAGATTTGCAGAAAACGCTACCCTATTCTACATTACGTGATGCAACCAAGTTCCCCAATGTGCAGATTTTCATCGAGGACAAAAACTGGGCACCCATATTTTTTGTACCTTATTTCAAACTATGAATTTTTATCGTTATATTAATTACAACATGCCTTTTTAATGTAAACCAAATTAACCAAGATCAAAAATTCATGTTTTTATAAAAATTATTTATAGTGGTTTGGCAGAAAATTTATCGTATATTTATTACATGGATTTGCTCATAATAACAGCAAAAGAGGCGTTGCAATTGTGATACCTATTTGTGATACACGCTGTGTGACTGTCCGTAGGGTGCGCTTGACATCGAACAGATGTACACACCCTACCAGAACGAGTCAAGACGTTGGGTCATGTAGCATTGCGTTGGGTGTGTTCCTTGCTTTAGTGTCCCCCAGAGCCCATGCAAGTAAAAAGTACAAATACTGTTGAAAATGCTTGGACCAGGTATTCAAGAAACACAACAAAAACATTTCCTTTTACTCCCAAATTTGATTTTTGAATGCTGGTTTTGGTAAACTGGTATTTGGCTTGTGGCTATTGAGGATCAAAAATAAGTACAAAATTATCATGCGATTAAAATGTAGATTTAAAATGAGCATGCTTTTATACATATATATAAATAAAAAATGCACCATACAAGTTATTTAAATGAACCATAATTTCTGTATCTCGTATTTTAGCCCCTTCAGTATTATCCTAACTTACCCATCAATTCCTTCTTTATTATCTTCTGACCTGGAATTTTAATAATGGCTATAGCAATTTGTGCAAGGGGGTAGAAAGAAAAAAGAAAAGAAGAAAAATGGAGTGTCTGTTAAGCACAAGTATATTATCTATTTCCATTTTAAAGAATGGTGATCTGAATGTTATTAAAAGCAATGCAACCAAGATAGAAGCACACCAGCACCAAATTAATTTATTTACATACCCATTGGTTCTTTGATGACTTTGTAGTAATCCGGCGCTTCTGTTGGATCCACAGGTTCCATAAAGGGCCAGGCGCTTTTATGTGACTATGCAAGAAAAACAAAACAAAATGAAATATTTAAAAACAGGGTTTTTCTCAATAATAACACAGAAAATTAATTACCTGTATTTGTTTAATAAGCTTTTTCAATTGTTCAAAATCTTTTGTTGCTAAGTTTTTCATATTTGCAAAGTTTATGTTAGAATTTCTTTGACAATTTGGGCAGATGTATTCATCTATATTTTCTGCCTCAGATTGTAAAATTCCGACACACCTTCCATGGAACCAATCTTGGCATCGGTCACAACATATGTAAAAACTGTAATATACGGTTACAATATATAACACATTGGACAAAATATAAATGAATTTCATGGTAATATATTAATTACTGGGACTCATCATATGGCTGTTTGCAAATGCAATAGAGCTCTTGAGTCTCTCGGGCGTGTTTGCATTCGTTGCACACAAACTCTGTAAGACTCTTGCTCATCTCCTCGGTGATGCCAACACAATCACCGTGAAACCAGTTATTACAAAGATCACAACCGACGTAAAATCTGCAGAAAGTAAGTAAATTTGTAAAATCTCTCTCTCTCTCTCTCTATATATATTTTTTTTTGTTTTGTTTTGTTTTAAAGCTAATTACTTTGTTTCATCATAAGGTGTCCGACATATACAAAGCAGTTTTTCTTTCTTTGACCTGTGGTTGAGCACAGGAGGGGTAGGATTGACCTGAGGTGGTGGTGCAGAACTGGGAGTTTTTCTAGCTTTGTTTTTGCCAGGGAGAACTGGCGCAGGAAGTGCTCCAGATTTCCGTTTGCTACTTCCTGTTATCCTCACTTCTTCCTGTTTAGTCCTTTCGGCCTTTGTTCTTGTAGCAATTTCTTGCGCTACTTCACTCTAAAATTAATTATTAATAATAAAATTAATTGAATCTTTCTAAGTATGCCACTTTTAAATACTGGTTTTGTATTAAACAATAAGGCTATAAAAATTAAAGATAAAATGTTTAAAAAACACAATGAAATCTTTAAACAATAATTTTTAAACAAGATAACAAACAAATATAATAGCAAAGGAAATATTAATAAATGCAGTTGTTTTACTTGTACTTAAAGGCATGCATAACCAACTGTACCTGCAGCTTTATATTTAAGAATTACTCATTAATTATGTAAATAAAAAACTTCTAAAATTTTACTGACTTTTTAAAAAAGGTCAATATCAATTGTAATAAAATATTTTTAAAGAAATTTAAATGTCAACTGTTGAGTGCCTAGCTTTTTATTATTTTTTTAATTCCAATCACCAGAGTTGAAAAGTACAAATATGCAGAGTTTAAAGCTGTAATGTTAACTTTTATTTAAAAAAATAATTGTTGATAGTTTAGTGTCTACATCTAATTTTGTTAGTTTTAGATTGCCAATTTAGTAGTTGAATCTGATGATGAAACAAGAAATCAATCAAGACTTGCTAATTCAATATTTTAATAATATGCATCAAAAACAAAATATTTGTACCATAAAAACATGACACAAGGTTTGATTATTATTTTGTTACAAGCATTTTTTTTTTAATATGAGCTTTTTTAATTCAGGAATTTTCTAAAGAAATAAAATAAAATAATGAAAAGTTGTAAGTTTTATTGTTCAATGATACAATGTTTTGTTTTTGCACTATTCAAAATTAAACTAAACTAAATCCTTTACTATTTTGAGATCTAAAATCGGTTGCAAAGACCTACACAATGTAATGGCTAACAATAATTTAGAAAAACAAAAAACAAATAAAACCATGTTTACTGTTATTAACTGTCCCATCTATCAAGAATGCAGTTGTTTGTTGTAAATGTTTTCTTTTATTTGAAAATGAAGAATTTTTATGCCACAGCACATAGTGATAATTTAGTCTTTAATGGATTAATTTAAAAAAAGTTTAACGATTTAATGTTTCATTTAGAAACATTCCACTATATATTTATAATACAAAAGAAGTTTTTTGTAAGTTATAAACATAACTGAGTCATTTTGAGAAAACACTACTTTCAGCATTTAAAATTCATCTTAAGACAAAAGTCATTTCGTTGTAATTTTGATTTCATACATCCAGAAGTATATACAGTTTACAAAAAATATAAAAAAGCAATATATTTACACTATTGCCCTTAAAATGTATTTAAAAATTTCAAAAGAATAATTCTTCTTTTACATGTCAGTTTCGTGAGAAGAGAAAATAAAACTACCTCCACAAAAACAGAACAAAGATAGAAATTAAAAGACATCAATCTGAATAATAAACTCAATCCCAGATTTTGTTCATGCTTTAGATTGTCCCATCCACAGAAAATACTTTAGAATAATCATTTGTTAGTATTGTTAATATTATTCCCACCAAGATCTCATTTCCAAATCTTTAATAATTACAAAATAATGAAATACCATGATATTAAATATTAATTAGGATAACTATAATTAAGTAAAACATGGGCACTAAACACTGTTAAATTATTTTTAAAATATTATTGAAAAGTCACATATATTTTAATTAAGATTTTAAATATATATTTTTACAAAACAGGTGACTGTTCAATACTTTTGATGCGACTAAAAAAAGCACATAAGCAATAAATAAATAAGCGATGGTTAGTGAACTGCTCTATCATGATGTGCTTTCTTTAGGCATGCTTAACAGCTTCTGCAGCTGCGAAATAATGCAAACCTGTATAGTAACCTGGAGTTCTTTTTCAAGAAGAGCCCTTTTCTTTAGGATATCTTTCTTCAATGACTCTTTATGTCGGTAAAGGAGTAAAAGTAGCTTACAGTGAAGTTGCTGCTTTTTTTTGTCTTCTTGAGACTTGCTCTTGCTCTTATTATTCACAGCTCCCCTAGCCAAACACAAAAATGTAGATCTATGTTTATCAGGAGAGGGGTACTGCATTTAAAATTCCTTACTTTCCCTCTTTTGATTCCATTTTGATTACTTTTTTCTTTGGAGATTCTAATTCTAAATCCTGTGAAGCAGGTCGTTTCTTCGATTGGTTTACAGTAGGAGTTGGTTGAATGACAGGCGCAGTTGCAACACTCGTTTGTCCTACAGCACTTGGAGCCCCGTCATCTTTCATTTGTCTTTCTTGGTACCTCTGAAGTTTTATCAGTTTCTCTTCTACTTCTGGATTAAGGTTTTCCTGCTTCAGAGCATTTTTAATCGCTAAGAAAAAGGAAAACAAGAATGATAAGACAGTCTTAAAAATGGTAATTGATTATTATATAAACATACTTTGTTGGATGTAATCTGGTGTGAGGACAAATTTACTTCCGGGGGGTGACGGTTTTGTGGCCGGCACGGCATTAGCAACTTGTGCCACTGGTTGTTCCGTTACTGTTGGTTGTCCATTTACAACTGATTTTGTCTATGGCATTCACCAGAAACCAAGTTTTATACATTATAATTTAATAAACAGGTTAAAAAATTTATTACTCACGGGTGTTACTGGAGGTATCTGCAGTGATACAGGCTCTTGCTTTACGACTGTTTTTTTCACAGGCGACTTAGGCACTTCAGGTGTTTCCTCTTTAATAGCAACAGGTGCTTCCTTTTCAGGAACTGGTGGTGTCTGAGAAGGCTGAACTGCAATGTATATTTTCGTTGGACCGAGAACACCCTGATTTCCTGCCTCTGCTTGAGCTGATATGAAAATATATTATATAAAATATGCATTATTTTTAATTTTTAATATTTATTTAATACCAAAACAATGAATTACCATTGCAGAATTACTGTAAATAAATAAAAAATCCAAATGTTCAATTATACATATATATATATATCTATATATATATATATATATATATGTATAATTGAACATTTGGATTTTTTTATTTATTTACAGTAATTCTGCAATGGGGAACATTTAAACTGTTCTAATTACAGACTTAGTTTTAATTAAAAATTAAATTAATTTATAGTTTTATAGTTTGGAAGGAAAGTATTCAAAAGATTTCTGTAAGCAGTAAAAAGGTGATGTAAAATTCATATTAATTTTTAAGATTTTTTTCTTTCTCTTTCTGTTATTTTACCATACATAAAACATTTGTTGTAACTATTTTGAGATATTCTTTAGCAGGTTTTACACAATTCTATAAAAGAGATAAAAAAGTTTAATGGTAACTAAGGGAAGTTTTTTTGTTGTACAATACATACTTTTAAACTAGATCTTACATGACTAATAATTTTTTTTATTGTTTCATTTTATCAGACAAGTACAGCTAATAATAAATAAATCTAACCTTTAAGCAACTGCTGTTTAACTTGCTGTTGAATTATTGCAAGCTGCTGTTGAGAGAAATTGGACCCTGTCAGACCTTGTAAAACAATCCTCGGCCCATGAGCAGTTTGTATCACCTGTGCTGTTATGCACTTGATGACGGTGCCAGGAGGATGTCCTGCTGGATTCTCCTGCATTAAAATTAAAACAGTTTATAATAATCATATGAAGGAAAAAAATAATGTGTATTTTGACAAATATCTAGGAATAGAAGACAATGCCTTGTTAGTAGAAAATAAGCATAAACAATTTTTCTTGCAACGAGATGGCAAGATTTAGCTAGATACAAAAGTGCCTTCAAGAAAACAAGAGGACTTTGGGAGCCGACGGAGGCCCAGTCAGGACAGTGGGACTCAGCTAGGACAGGCGAGGTTTGAGATTGAATGGGTCGGTATGGATGAGACAAAGAAAAACTTTTATTATTATTTAAAATTATTTTGGACTTATTTTCTTATTGTTGGCAGGGCGAATCCGTGTGTGCGAGGGAAGAAAAGCCCTGGAACGAGAAGGAAAAGGATGGGGACAAGGTTCAGACTTTCATTTCCTTTTATAGGATTTTGTTTTCTGATTATTTCTTTCTCTCTCACTCTCTCTCCTCTCTCTTTTATTATTGCAAAAGAGAATTTGTTTAATTTTTTGTTTTACATTTTTCTGTAATACATTGCTATTTTATTATTTTTTTTATTTATATATGCTTTTTATTTCTACGAATATAACAATGATTGTTAGCAAAGCATAGTACAGGCATGGATCACTATCCGTCTGCCGGAGGTTGTTGTTAAGAGAAAAAGAATAAAAGAAAAAAAAGATATAAGAATTAAAGCGAGGTTATAACATTATTTGCTACATGCTAGCACACCATCAAAAAAGGTTAAACATAATAGTAAAACTACTTCTAATATAAAACAAACAGAGGGGAAAAGTCTTAATGATCTTAATGTCTCCCTAGCCATTGCTATTTTATTTTTCTTGTTTTTTGTTTGTTTTTTATTTCACCTGAGGGTCACTGTTTGCCGAAAAGAAAAGAAAATCCAGTGTGGTGTCCCATTATTTTATTTTTGGAGAGAAGAAACGGCCATGGAAAAATTTCAACAAGTCCCAGATACTCAGAGACCAAGTGGATTATCAACGGCCAAAGTAGGAACTTAGAACTATACTCTTGGATTTCTAATTATAAATTGATAATGGAGGAAAAGTAACCATAATAAGCTTATATTAACACAGTATACTTTTAAAAAATTGTTTAAAAAAATTTATGTGATAATGCACCTGTTCATCTGGAGATTTTTTGACCTGGACAGTGGTAGTGGTGGTTGCAGGTACTGTTAGTTCAGGTACTGATTGTTTGACTTCCGCTGATGGCGTTATGACTGATGTCTGGGTCGGTGCTGTTGTAGATGTTGTAGTTGCAACCGTTCCTGTGGTTGCTACTGTTCCCTTACTTGCTTCAGAAGCTAAACCTGTGTCATCAGCAGTCTTTGCCGTTGCAGGCCCGGATGTTGTCTACAAGATTATTTTAGTTGTATTTGTTCTATGCATTTTTGTATGATTTACTGTATACTTACAACAACAGATTTTGTAGGGACAGACTGTGGTGTCTGCAATTTTGCGACAAGTGTTTGTCCTGGTGTAGGCGACTTGAGCACTATGTTTCCTGAGGTGCCAGTCGTTCTTATCAACACCTGTTGACCATTGAGGGTTGCTAAAGTCGCCTTGCCAGAAGCCAGTTGCTGGGCAAGGTTGGCATTGTTGACCACAAACTATTGTTCAGAAGAAAAATAACAATCACGTAAGAATAAAAAAGATAAATTTACAATGAGGTGATATTACCTGAGTGGCATTTCCACTAGCTGGGACGACAATTTGTCCAGGTGTTAATACTTGACCTCCGGTCACGACGACATTCGCATTGCCAACTTTCTGCACCAAAGAAGAAGGAACTTGCTTTATCACAACTTGTTTAGCAGGCGTGCCTGCTTTGAGTGGTGTTTTGACAACTGTCACTTGTTGAGGCCCGGACTTTACAGGCGTGTTAACAGACTGTGTTGTTGCAATCGATGTAATCGTATTTGGGGTGGTTGCTGTATTCAACACATGCAACTTGCCGTCAGAGAGTTGAACTAATTGTTGGCCCGGCATCAGTCCTTTGACTTGGTACTTTCCATCGGGGCCTTTTGTAATTTGAACCCTTTGTTGTTGTGGTGTTCCTAAAATTGAAAATTCATTAAAATTACATTAGAGCATTAACACAAATATTTTTAAAAATATACAAGTGAAACTTACCGGGAGTTCCTTGTAATTTTACAAGTGATGGTTGGCCAGGAGTTGCCATTTGAACAGTGCTAGCTTTAGGCAATATACTTGAAGGGCCAGTTACAACCCGTGTAGTACCATCAACACCTACAATTATTACATACAAATAAATAGAATAACAAAACCAAACTGAAGTCATTTATCTTGATCAGAGCTTACTTTTTGTCATGATAATCCTTCTTGTTCCAAATGTCTTATTGGCTGGTGTGGATGTTGTATTGGTTAAAAGAGAGGTTAGGGGACTTTTAGTGGCAGTGGTTGGAGTTGGAGGGATGGCAACCTTAGTAACAACTTTATAGGTGTCTCCACTACTAGATGGGACAAATTTGATCACATGTTGATTAGTGGGTGTCTTGGTTGAATCAGGTGTCACTGAGGCACTAGCATTATTGGCTGCAGCCGCAGCTGCACCTTTCCTTTGCTGATGGGCAGCCCTTTGTAACTTGAGCTGTGCCTCTAACTTTTCCTTCATCTCTTCAACATTAGGCTTTTCCTTATCTTTCGGGAGGTTTCCGGTGGAACTCCTCGTCCTTGCCATAGACTGCTGAACAGCTGCCCTCTCCAACCTTAATGGGAAGGATTCATGTTTAAAACAAATGTAATTTAAGTTTGAGCACAATAATCCTATTTGATGTACCCATGCAACAGGCATTTTTGGTCACCATAACAAATCTATCTGTATGTAAGTTCACTTTGAAAATATTTACCTTTCGCCATACTGTTTAATTTCCCAAAGTTCTAGTCGAGATTCATCAACCCATTCTTCTGTCACTTGAGGCTCTGTATTTTGGGGTGTTTCTTCTCTTTTCCTTTTCCTCAAACCGGTTCTGATTGACTGGACTTCCCTAATTGTTTTTGGCACTTCTAATGGTATGACAACTTTTCTCATAAGGTACTCTGTTCTTTCCAAGAAAGCGCCAAGATTACGATGTTTCAATATCTCCGTGGTCATTATTTCGGTTTCTGTTGTAATCTGGTGTTTTCCATCACTAGTCGGTGGTTTCACCTGTTGGAGAGGAAGTCGGACGTAAACACAAATGTTTTATTATAAAACAAAAATAATGAATTATCTTACTGCCATATCGTCCCAGCGTAAACATGCCCACATTGTTTTTAACTGCAGACCAGCTGCAGCCAAAGTCTTGACATTCACGGTACGATACAGCCAACAGGTTTTAAATGTAGGCCTTGAACAGGGGTATGGCCAAGTCGCCAAATTGGTCTGCGTGTATTTTGCCATATGGTTAAACCCTTGAACTGGGAATTTACCACTCAGTCGCGCCAATTTTGAAAGTTCGTGCTGAGGGAGTATGAGTAAACTTTTCTTGTTGCTTTTTGTGTGAAATGTAGAACATTTTGGGTATTTCACTTGGGTCCTTTTTTTCCGTTTATCGGCTGTCACAACTTTTTTCAGGTACACCTGTAATCAATCAGAAAAAGTTAACAAAAACATTATTAAATCCTTTTTAAAAAAGGATTGAACACCGCACTCATTCCATCATTTACCATTTCTACAACATTATTATGTGCAACAAATAACTTACTTTTCCTTTAGTAGATGTTGCAGAGTAAATTCGATTTGATTCATCTTTAACCGCAGTCGTAGTTGAAAGAGCTGCTGAAACACTTGTTGTAGTTGTCCCTTGTTCACTTTTTATAATTGTGTTTACAATATCGCTTTCTTCTTTCTTAACTTCTATTCCTCCCTCACTAAAATATTAATATTTATAATGATGTTTTTATTTTAAATATTTAATATAATTGGTTACCTTGCTGTCGTAGTAGTTGTTGAAGTGATGGTCTGTGACGACTCTGTCATTTTGACCTGTCCTCGAACTACTGTGGTAGTGTGTTGTGTAGTAGTTGTAGTTGTCACTGTCACTGTGACAGTAGGCTTTTCCTCTTTTACATCCTCGACTTCTGATGTGCCGATTTCAATCTCATTGCACACCTCCATATTTTGTTCATCTTCTTCCAGTTTAATTTCAGGCTTGACTACAAAGTTGTTGTGCCCTTCAGATTTAACCACCTCACCGACCGGATCCGGGTTTGTCACATCGACTTCGATATTTTCATTTTTGATGTCTTTTTCGATTTTGACAGGTGCGGGGAGTTCCAACTTGGGCTTTTTGTCAATATCGACCCTTCCCTCGAGTACAGCCCTCAATGTCTCTGTACCCGTACTCAATTTAGACTCTGAGACAGAATTGATTTCCTTTTTTACTTCAGATTTAGACTCGACTATAACAATTTCAACATATCAACAATTAAAATAATATATATATTTTTTTTTTTTTGGGGGGGGGGAGGGGAACCAAGAGGGTTAATTTACCTGGTGATATAGCTTCAGAATTTGCACTATTACTCCTTGCAGTGTTAGCTTTGCGAAGAAGCATAAGCAGTTCTTTTCTGAGTGAAGTCCTTTGAAGACATACTGGAGAGTAACAGCCTTGGCTGTTCTGGCTATCACAATCTATACTATAGCACCTATACAATTTGCACTGTTTGTTTAAAGCAGCGTATTGGTTTTTGATGACTGCAACTCTCCTGCCTATCGCAGTCAGCACACTCCTGACATCCTTGTCAAGCACAGGTCCTCCGGGTGTCTTAGGCGGAACCTTAATTCCAACATTAACCATTTTAAAACTGTAAAAAAAATGTAAAAATATTTTTGAACTTACAATTTGGGCCAATTGTCTTTCTTCTAATATTTTAAGGTGTGTTCTCCTTTGAAGAAACTCATCTAATTTAGATTTCTTAGCAACCTTCGGATAGTGGAGCCTACCAGGTGTTGTTAAAGCTTTCGTTATATTTATCTCCTCAAATTTTGATATAGGTGGATAAACTTTTAAATTATTTAAATCTATAATAAAAAGAAATACATATTAACAATAAATGATATTTAAATGTGACATATGAAACATACTTATGTTTGCTGCTTCTAAAGATTGGTTTATATTATCTGGAGGTGCAATATCTTTATTGTCTTTCCTCTCCATAAGGTACTTGTATATCGAAGGTTCTATTGCAAGGATCTTAAGCCCCTGATCATCTCGTACTTGCACCATGTATTTTTGTGGGCCTGCTCTCAGTCCAACTGTCCGACAGTCGAGAAACTTATAATTCCTAACATTAGAGAGCCACTGCCAACCCCAACGACCATGCACCCTGTATTCTTCCCCTTTCTGTTTCCAAACCTAAAACAAAAACACAAAACAATGTGTTATCAATAGTATCAATTACATTTTGGAATTCGTATTTATTTACCTGATGTTTTAGGCCAAGTGTATATTTTACAAAATTAAATGTCAGTTTGTTCCTTTCTTCTTCTTCTTCTCTGTCCTTTTTCTCTTTTTTCTCGTTTCTTTTCCTCTCCTCCCTCTCAGCTGCAGTTATCCTTTGCAACCGGATATGGCCTGTAAAATGCCGATTTAAATAATGTTTTAAGACAGATCAGATCAAATCTAATATTACCGAGTTGTTCATGCCAGACTGGAGCATAAACCGATGATTTCATGCAAGCTTGCAGTACAATAATCGCCCTAGCGAAATCCTTAGGGGTCGTGCAAGAAGCCACAGCTGAGACCCATGGTTTTCTCACTTGGTTCCAGTTTACATGCATTAGAGATGCTGGCATGGCGTTTTCAAGCTGGAGAAGTGTCTGCCGAACCGTAGAAAGTAACTGATTCTTTGTGCCTGAAAATAATAATAAGGGAAGTACTGAATTATCATCCATAGTTGCTGATTTGTTTATGTTTTAAATTTTGTATGTATATTACCATGAACAGGCCCTGCCCATTTGAAAGAGGAGGCTTGTGTAAGGCTGAATTTATGAGAAAGATACCTCATTTTATCCCTTTCTTCATTTCTCTGTGGTTTATTGAGAGCAGCAACATTTGTACTGAATTGATTGTTATAACCCTTAAAGCCATTTTCCATGCCAAGTTTGAATAAATGTGTTCCTAATTAAAAAAAGTAAAATTACTATAATTTTTTAAAGTATAAATAAAATTAAAATACCTGTCGCAATTTGGTGAGCTTTAAGTCTTGTTAACCGGCTGTTGTCGCTGGTATCAAGTTTGTCTTTTTTCCCTAAATCCGCCGTATATGTTTTCGGTGGTATCGCTCCTGTTTTTGACCGGGTGACAATTGTCGCTTTCTTTCCTGTGTACAAATTATTATTTTTAATATAAAGAAAATTTCCATTCAGGCTTTACACCATGACATTTACCAGCTTTTGCAGCATCGTTTTCATCGTCTTCGGTTTCTTCCACTGATTTTCCGACTCCTTCTGAAGGGGAGCCTGATCTCGGTGAATGTGCTGTTTAAAAAAGCATCTATTAATAAACACATTTCTCAAATAATTATTATTATATTATTATTTATTGTTTTAATTACCATTTGTGTCTGATGTTTCGACAATTTCTTCAGAAGTAACTTCAGTAGAATTCTGAAGGAAATAATCATTAAAGATGGTACTTTTGAAACACTAATACCTAATATTTTATATTACTTTAACGATTTATTTTCTTAACAAGCATTTACTTATTTATTTTTAATTAGTTTAATTCTTTAATTTAATATAACAAATCATTGTATGTTAGGACTGTAAAGTTATATACAAATCAAAATTCAAAAAGTTCACTCATATATTAACATCTACAAATAGTTGTTTATAAAATGAAGAAGGTGAATGGTAAAAAAACAAAGAAAATAGTGATAAAGAAATAGAATAATAGCACGAGAAATAGTTTCAGTTGTTAAGTCATGAAAAATATAATAGAATTAACTGTTAATTACAATGAGACAGTCAAGTGAAACTAACAGAAGATGTCATAATGTTCAAAACAGCTTTAAGAGTATTTCTATATATTTCTAATTTTATAAATACATAAAAAAGTTGTTTACCATCTGTGTACTCATGTCCATATCCTGTGTTAGGCCGTATTTTTCCCTCTCTTCTTTCTCTTTTCTTTTCTTCTCTATTGCCTCTGCGAAATTAATTTTAAAAAATTAAACAAACGTATATATAATAGTTCAGTCATGAAGGAAATATAAATAATGAAAAAATTCATTACGTGATTCCACTTCGAGGTAGGATTTTCTATTGCCTTTGGCCTGATTTGTAATTTTTTCCGTTATGTTCATCTGCCTGATAATTTCTTCCTTGAAGTCCAGCATCTCCTGGCAGAGGGCTGCTTCATAATTTGCGCTGTCCAAAGTTTCCAAAAGTAGTTCAAATTGCTGTGGGCTCGAATAGTACCAGCACTCAGAAGAGTCTTCACTCTCGCTGCAATAATAACTACTCGTTAAATAGAGACAACTGAATCGATACAATGTAATGAAAGTTTGGAATTTACACAAAAATCCTTCGATTGAGGAACCAATATTTGCGTCCATGCCTATCGAACCCCAAATGCTCCTGTCGGCATAACTGTCCAGACTTTTCAACATCGGGAATACAATCGTTCACTCCGGTTACCTTAATCGACATACAAATATGTTTATTAGAATGTGAAAATGTTCGTTGATAAAGACGTTTGATGATAAATCATCACCTCTTCATTCTGCATTTTATAAAATATTTCATGCAGTTGTTTCAAAATGGCTGTCAAAAAGTTGTTAAAATTCAAAACATATCACATGGCATGATGTTCATCATAAATTAATGAATGATTATACTTAAAGCTAGGGAAATTGATCATGTTTTACATGATATGAAAACAAATAGTTGAATGTTAGTCACGAACTGGTAACCATAGACCATCCCTCAATGCCGATTGTGATTTTATAAATTTGCAGTATGTTATGAAGCAAAAATTAACGGACTATCTATTCTAATGAACAAACCTTTCTCTCATAAAATCACTATGATGCCTGCTTATACTACATCATTATCGAAGCCTTTACAAACTTTTTAATTACAGTCATAGTACATACTTAATACAAGTAATAACACTCAGATTACAGTAATGATGAAAAATTTAACTGTCAATTACGAATTAGTTTAAAGAAAGTATATTTACATTTCACTTCTATTAAACTTGCGAAACTTCAATACCATTTTTTTAAATAATTCAAAATTGGTCGAATTTCTTAATTTACTAATAATCGCGGAATTATTTGATTGTTTGCCCAACCTTACAAGCTTCTTGATTTGCAATCAGGTTTCTTAAAAAAAAATAAATTCTGCAATATGTCACTTTGTTTAGTAGTTAGTTTGAACGTTAAATTAACATTCAATCTACTAAAAATTTAAATAGATTGTAAGCAAAATAATATCGAATAATTCAGATAAATGTAGAATATGCAGTAATAATAGTAATAATGGTTTTGATATAGCAGTGTCCACATTTAACGAGTTAAGATAGCTTTTGGATAATTTTTTTAAGCAGCCAAATAAGACTTTTTTACATTGACTTAAAATAGCAATACAACATTACATTCACAACAATAAAAATTTTTACTGTTTGTTCAAGAAAATTAAAAATAAATAAATTAATTAGAACAAGGTATTTTATGAATGAGTTGTACACTATGTCAAAAATTGAGCATAGCTAACTATCATTTATATGTATATATATTTTAACTTTAAGAAACAATAAATACAGTTGATAGTTTTGGCATTTTATAAATTTATTATTTTCTAATAGGTAAAAAACCTGTATGAAATTGCATAATGTTTGCAATCGGAAGAAAAGCAAGTGTTGTAAAATGGCAGCTGGTGAAAAGAGCATTTACTGAGTGTCAGCTGAGTGTAAATTGCACATACCCTGTGAGCTCTGCAGATGCCACACTGCCAGTCTTCAGTCGGAATGTCTTGGAGAGGAGGGTCGACGCACTCGAGGTGGAAAACGGCAGGGCACGTCTCACAACAGAGCAAATCGCCTACCCGATGGCATATCCTACAGTGGTCGTCGTATGTGAAATTCCCTTTAAAAAACAGACAAGTCTTAGAAACGCCTTTCCGAAAAGCGCAAGACGCCGTTTTACCTTCGTGGATTAGATCCTCCCTGACCGGGTTTGTTATAAGGAATTGATCTGTGAGGAACTGCAACACTTTAAGACGATTTTCAACGTCGGTAAAGGGATAATCGACATTGGTGAGGATGTCAAGGAGGCCTTGACCTTGGTCGAAGCTCTTGTCGCTTTCGACATAGCTCCTCAACACTTCGGGCCAGGTTATGGAATCGACAAAAAACAAAGATATGTTGACGCTGTCTTTCTGATCCAAAGGTCCGAAGTGGGTCTGTTGTGAATCCTCTTCTCTCAGGACGGCCTTCAACAGCATCATGTGTATCTCAGCGAGCATGTACGTCTGCTCCTCGCACATCATGACGGCGCAGAAGTCTTCGAAGCGGAATGGTGACAGCCTCACTAGGTTTCGGAAGTGTCTGATGACCTCGTAGACAGAGAGGGCCTGCATGATCAGCTCTCTCGGGATGAGAAGGTCATCGGAGGACTTGGGAAGCTCCAATGGTGGAAGCTCGACGTCCTGCAGCCAGAGGGGAATCGGGCTGGGGTTGCGGACGTAGCTGTATGACTTACGCGTGGCCCCACTGGCGGTGCTGTAGCTCGACAGGGAGAAGTCGCTGTCGCTCAGGTCGTCTTTGGCCGTCTCCGACTCGCTGTTGCTCTTTGAGAGGACGTCGTCTTCGTGGTCGCTCTTCCCGCTCGAGTCTTCGCCGAAATCGGAGCCGTAGTGGTACTCGGAGTCCTTGTAGTCGACGACGTCCGTGTTGTAGCCGCGCCTATAGGACGGCCTCCCTCTGTTCGTCCCTCTAACGGACCTCGGCCTCCCTCTTGGCCTGAAGCTCCTCCGGCTCCCTTCGCTGCCGAAAGGCGACGACGCCCTCGACGCGGTCGGCGTCGAAGTCTGCGAATTGGGCGTCTCCGACCCCTTGCCGTCGTTATTCGGCCCAAGGAGGTATTTCGGCTTTTTCATCAAATGATACTGGAATTTCTTAGGCCTTTCCATGACGACGGACTTCGGGGGACGCCCCCTCCTCTTTCCGCCCCTCGCCGACATATCCCGACTAGTTGTAACAATAAAAAAAACTCACGTGTTTACTACAAAACGGTGATAGTAAACAAAAACAAAATGACATAACTTTATCAAGACGGATCCATGTTTGCAGTCCGTCTTTGCGCCATTTTTCACTTAGGGTCACGTGACCCGCAGACGCTTTTAGACCTCGCCGACCAGTCCTAACCCGACATCGGACGACACGGACGAGAGAAGAGACTAAAGAATTTCGCCCCTTTTACACGGGAACACAAAACCACCCTTCACATATTCGACGAAAGGCCGAGCACGGATACCACAGAGGTTCGCCGATCCCAGGGACGGTAAGAAGGAGAAACAACCTCGGATGTAACGACGCTCCTGATTGGCCACGATTTTCTTCCCTTCATCAATAGCACAAAAACCGATTTCACATCAAATACCTCGCCTCCTGGACAATCCGTTGGAGTATTTTTCCACCTCGACACCGATTTACACTCCCGATCCCGTCCACGAGACTCGGACACAAATTATTATTATAATATCCCTCAGAAATACGTTATAAACTCAACTAAACATGGCGTCGACCAATAACAAGTTAGCAAACTGAATTCATTATTCTTTGTATTGACCATTACTTGGCACCATTGATCCGGTCGAGGATTTTTATCATTTTAACCCGTATCAACGAGGATCGACCCGAGGGGAAAATTCCACTTTTACAAAGGACCACATATTATTTTACTTTTTACTAACGCCTTTCTCCGTTTTTTTAATTAAAGCTGTAGTGCCATTTAGATAGTCGCCCATTTCGCTTTGTCTTTTCCATTCGAGAACCGAGTCCCCGTTTTAATAAAACGTTCGCCATCTCTTCGTCCGCCGAAATCCTCACCTCCTCACCCATCTCCAAGGATGGAAATTCGTGTATAAAAAATATATTTCTACGATTTCGCCGTTGGCGCCACTTTCGCGCATCTTTTAAACAACTCTCGACCCGAGAAATTTGACAAAAGGGACTTTTCCACTTGTCGACTTCCCTCGGCCGTCTTTTCTTCCAAAATTTCCGGCCTATTTTACTTTGTACCATTTAAACGGACATTGCCTATAAATTTCAATAAGAAAGAATTGAACCTTACGTTGTTTCTTAAGTCACCTGACCGGATGCTTCGCCCTTTTTCTTCCCTCATACTCAAATTAATTTTTTAAGCTTAGAATTTAGTCACAAATAAATCATTCGTTTCATACCGTTACTCGATAAAAATGCTGTTTTAATTTAATACCTGTCGTAGTCAAAGTTTTCTATATCAACACAACTGAATAATTTTTATGTAATCTCTTCGTCACTCCAAAATGTAGACATTTCCATCGATTTACTCTGAAATATTTGTACATTGACCAAAACCTTATAATCAGACATTGCTGAACTATTAGAGGAAAATTATAGGAAATTCGAGTTACCAGACAGTTTGTTCTCCTTCACATTCACCTTTTTATTTTTTATTCAGCTTAGAATCAAATACAACCATTATTATATAAAAAAGGTATTTCATTTTTGAGAGACCAATATTTTTTATTTTATTACAAATACAATCTTGGAAGCCTAATAATACAGAAAAACAAGGTAAACACAAAATATAATTAAAATATAGGTGATAAGTAAATAAATATATAAACATATATGACTAGATACAACTTCGAAGTGGAATTTAAAGTCTTTTATTTTTGTACTTTTATCAATGAAAAAACCTATGTTGATGGAGTTGGCTTATCTCCGAACTTTTTTGATTGGAGAATGAAAAGTATAATTGTTCCTACTTACAATGGGACTTTCTGAGGAATCATTATCCCAAGAAGTTATAAACATAAAAATGTCCAGTTGTGGATGGCCAGTGGTCTTGCCCCAAAGCCAAAGAAATTTGTTTGGGAAATAAAATCACAAAATAGGAGCACAAAGAGAAGCTTCTATATTGTTTTAATAATAAAAAATGTGTCACAAGATGTCATGCTGCACCATAAAAATAAAATAAATAAAACAAACCTTTGCTTTCAAGCAAATAAATAATAATAGGAAGTTAAAAAATGTTAACAATATGTGTCTTAAGAGCAAACTTAAAAGAATCTACTTTGTAAAAAATAAAATAAATAAAACCAAAATAAAAATAGGTCATACAACAGAAACGAGTTTCTTATATCAAATAAAATTAAAATTAATTATACTTAAGGTCTTAGTTGAGATGAAAAACTGGTGTTCAAATACTGCTTGTGACACTAACTTTTTCATCTCAACTAAGACTTTAGATAAAATGTATAATTAATTTAAATAATAAATATGTTAAAGCTTGTAACTTAAAAGTAAATGTAGCCACATTAAAAATCATAACCTTTAAAAATGGGTAGGAGGTGGTAAAAAATGAATAGTGGTTTTATACAGGTCGCTCTGTAGAAGAAGTGGTAAATGAGTATAAAACCTACTCTCACATCTAGGTGTATTCTAACAAAGCATTTTGAAGATAAAACTATCTATGCAAAATGGAGCATAAATGCCATGTGGCCACTAGTTTGAAAACAATGCTATCTGTCATTGCTAATCTGAATTTGTTTAGTTTGGCCATTCAATTGATGGTGTGTTATGCAGCTCAAAGTATGAGTTGCAACAAACACAAAGAAATCAAAAATTTTCAGATTTTTTCAGAAAATATCTTTAGATTATCATCACAGAACCCATCGTCCTTTTTATACATAGAGACACACCTGGGACTGTAAACCTGCACATTTGAAATTAAGCTGTGGTTGATTATATTACAAAAATTCCGTCAAAGCCTGACCAAAGTTATGCTAATAGCTAGGTGTTATGTTGAATACTGGGTGGTTTAAATATATAAAGTTAATTATGGATAAGAACAATGTATGCACCAATAAAATAACCCACAGAAAATATTCATAGTTGTGATTTTTGGATCAGGGCTTTTAACAACTTACAAATAATTTAAATGCATTTTATAAAGTTGCCAGTAATAATAATGAAAAATTACCCTCTGTATGTTTAAAGTTTGCAGGTAAAATGTGACATACAAATTAGAGATGATGTTGAGCTATTCTAAATTCACATCTGATTTTGCTCCATACCAAGAAACCGTACAAAGAAAATTAATACTGCAATACTTATAGTATACTATAATTTGTCATTAGTAGACATCTGATCTGTCATTTGTAAGTGTGTGGGTAATACAGAGTTATGCAACAGCCAGGGGGCTCACAGGGTTCAGTTCTTGGCCCCACATTATCAATGGGAATTAATATTTGAAGAAATGTTTAATTAATGAACATAGAGTGTACAAAGATTTTTGTAAAAAATATTTTTCGTCGATGGAAATTGAAAATTGAGTTTAAAATGGTTCATCTATTTAGAATGCGTTTCGTTCTTATCTAGAGTGCCGCCGCGTGGGGCAAAACACATTCCGTGAAAATAGATTAAACGATGATTTATCAGTAATGATCCGGTTGGTGATAAAGTCAATAAGATTCAGTCCGCTCGTGCGTTTTATAATCCGAAACTCCCGGGAAGGGGCCTGAGAAGAGGGCGCTTGCCTATACAAAACAAAACTCTCCAAACTGAAATTTAAACAAAATTCTAGTTTTAAGGTTTTAAAGTTCGTTTTTCAAAGAAAACAGTTATGTGCCGATTTCGGTGACTGACGAGTTAGAGACGGTGAGTGTGAAATGGGACTGATAAAGAGAAATTCAACTGAAAGAGGTTACGATTTCTGGAAACACGTGCGAGGTTCTCTGTTCTTCTTATTCGACGAGGACGGAGGAACTGTCGCGTCGGCTTGGCCCGGGTGTCAATTCGTTAGTACGAAGCCCGTTTAATTTCAGAGGAGATGAGCAAGAACGGGCCTCTCACGATGTACAGAATGAAGCCGCTCTTCGATTTGGACGGGGTCGCTTTCGACGGAAGGAGTGGCGGCATGTACAGAATGAGGGACGTCCACGGAGACGGAGGCGGACGAGCCGAAGAGACACTCGAAACGATCCAACAGCGCCAGCAGCTGCTCCTCAAAAGGATCGACGACCTCAAAAAACTCCTAGAGGCGATTAAAGCGCTCACCAGGACGCCAAAAATAGCCAACGGCTCGCCTAGTAAAATGACCCTTTCAAACCCGGATTTCTCAAAAGTGAGTTCTAAATACACACAAAAAAACCCCCCAAAAAAAACCGAAAAAACCCCAACATTTCAAACAAAACTTTAAGCCCATAACTCAAAACACCCAAAATTGATCCAGTGCAGATTTAAAATGCAGATGCAATAACCAACATCTGTATATGCAGCCCAGCCCGTAAGCTTCAAATGCTTTACTAAGCCTTTTAGGATTTTCCTTCCAGCTTAGAAAACAAGGTTTATTGATTGCTTCATTTTATTTTAGTATTAAACTTATGTTACATCTTCGATCCTTTGACACACACTTTCTTGCACCTTTTTGAAATTCTGTTAAAAAAAGTAGGTATATCCATCTTCAGTGTTGATATATTGATGTGGATAGAAACAATTTACAATTACAAAAACTATTGTAACATTTGTTTTTTACATCGTATTCAACTGTAGAAGTAGTTTTTCCCAAGAACCTTTGTCGTTTGTAGTTGTAGGCTAATCTTGACACGAGGTACGGGATCTGATCAACAATCCTTCCGCTACAAAACCGGTGTCTTCCTTGGCTTTGCTCGTGTTTTTCAGATGCTAATTGAGCGGAAACCTGTGAGAACTTTTAAATCAAGTGTAGTTTGGGAAGTATTTGCCTTTAATAGGAATGATGAATGGTGGAGTGAGTGCAGTGTTCAATCCTTTTTAAAAAGATAGTTCCTACTCACTGTAAGTTGTTTTGCAACGATCCGGATTTCGAGCTTTTAGCTCATCATCAGGTTGAAGGAGTTCTACAACCACGTCTCGACATGAATTGCAAAATTACTTGCCTTTTACATTTACATTCAAGCCATAAAAACCCGCCGTTATTCAATTATTTATTATATAATTATTTCTCAATTTGTAGACAAAGGAAAGTTAAGAAGTAGGACTGATTGCCTTCTTCGTTTCCTTTTAAATACTCGTATCTTTATAACCCACATAACACGGATTTTATTGTTTTCATGTAGTTTAGATTCTTCTACGTTAGTTCCGACTTGATAAATAGGCAAAGGTCTTTATAGCAGCTTGATTTAGAAACTATTGGGTTGTCCGGAAAATAATGCAGGATTTTGGTATTAAACAAAAAAAAAGAAACTAGTTACTTTAAAGCAATGTTCTTTAATCAAAATAATTTCCCATACTCTCAATACATTTCTCCCAACGTGTTGGTAACTTATTAATTCCGTCTGAGTAGAATTCAGAATTTTTAGAATTGATAAAGTCAATAAATGCATTTTCCAGTTCCGTTTGATTTTTGAATATTATGTGTTGTAAGTAGTGGTCCAGGTGTCTAAAAAAATGGTAGTCAGTAGGCGAGAGGTCCGGAGAGTAGGGTGGGTGAGGCAAAGTTTCATAGCCAAGCTCCAATAATTTTTGTGACGTTACACGTGACACATGTGGTCGAGCGTTGTCATGCAACAAAATGGGCCCTTTCCGATTGACCAAAGAGGGCTTCATTACTGCCAATTTCTGATGCATGGTATTAATTTGGTTACAGTATGATTCAGCATTGATGGTTTCGCCAGGATTTAAGAAGCTGTAGTGTATTAAACCAAATGAAGCCCACCATACCGTAACCATTACCTTTTTTTGATGAGTTGGGGGCTTTGGAAAATGTATTGGAGCTTCTCCTTTGTCGAGCCACTGTCCAGAATCCACTTTTCGTCACATGTAACAATTCTGGCCAGAAATGGGTCATTTTTGTTTCGACAAAGAAGTGATGCACAAACATCAAAGCGCTGATTTTTTTGGCGATCGTTTAATGAGTGTGGAACCCAATATTCGAGTTTTTTCACTTTTCCAATCGCCTTGAGGTGGTCAGCGACGGTCGTTTTACTGACTTTGAGTTGCTCTGCAAGTTCTCGAACAGTTGTTTTGGGGTTTTCTTCCACCACTGATCGCAGAACATCATCATTAAGAGAGGAAGGCCTTCCACGACCTTCTTCATCTTCAAGGCTGAAATCTCCCTCCCGAAATTTTTTAAACCACCTTTGCACAGTGCACTCATTAACACAACCCTCGCCCCAGACTTGGTTAATGTTTCTAGCCGTTTGGGCTCCGCTTCGGCCGAGTTTAAACTCGTAAAAGAAAATCGTACGAAATTCTCGCTTTGACATTATAAGGATGACTGAATTATTTCCAAGTAGCGGAATGCTACAGAGGTAAACAAACAATATCATTTGGAACAAATGAGTAATCCTGTAAACGTAAACAGAATATTTTATATAGATTTTTTTTAATGAAAACTTAAAATCCTGCATTATTTTCCGGACAACCCAATAGCTTTATTAAGGCTTTTAGGATTTTCCTTCCAGCTTAGAAAACAATGTTTATTTTTTGCTTCCTTTTATTTTTATTTAACTTATGCTACACTTTCAATCCTTTAAAACACAATTTGTTGCACCTTTCAGCAATTCTGTTAAAAAAATAGGTTCATCGATCATTTCCGATCATCCTAGATAAGCCATATCTAGTATGCTGATAAAAGCAATAGCGCAGAAAAACACAAAATTAACAAGCATAAAGCTTAAATAAATCATTGGTTTACAAAAACTCTTGAAACAAAAATATTGTTGCTGCAAAGTATTGAATAAAACAGATATTCTTAACTTAAATTAATGTACACATCAATATGACAAACAAATAATGTACAAACCCCAAAAACAAGATGACAGAATGCCCAAATGATAGGTGAAACTAGCAAGAAAGAGCAGGGCGGATCAGGCTGATCGAACTGCACGATCATTGCAGACTTTTAACACCATATCTGAAAAAACATCCCATGTGAGTGTTTGGGCATACATGTGATTTTAATCTTCTTTATAATTTTAACATGGCCAATTACTGGTTTAAGCTCTTGAATAACACCAATAATATTATGCATTTTAATTAATTATACTTTTAATCCGTCTTGATAGAGATGAAAAAGTAAGTTTCACGAACGGAATTTTAACTAATGACCTTCAGTTTAATACACCCCTGTTTTCACCACTTGAGGTTTCGTGACTTTGATCCATCCCGACTACCTCATCTCAACCTACAGCCTTTCGAATTTTTCCCTCTTTTTGCCATGTTTTCAAAGTGGTTAGAACAGCAGTGTATTGAGCCGAAGGCCGTGGGTTCGAATCCCACTCATAACACCAGCTTTTTCATCTCAACCAAGATTTTAGATAAAAAGTATAACTAATTTAAATAATTAATACATAAAATTATGACTAGTAAGTACATATATGGATTTGAATAATTATTTAATCTGTGGATGCGTACACGATTTATCATGTGTACAAGCATTTCACTTATGATCTACATACAATTGGAACTACAAAACAACTTATGAGCATATTGAATCATTGACAATAATTTGAAAATTGATTAATCAGACCCAAGGAGTTTTTGTTACTTATTTTACTTATGTTACTTACCGGTTGTCATCTTGCATTACATTGTGTAATTTACATCCGATTAAAATTAACCTTTTATAGTCCAGGCATTTTTAGAGATTTGGAATAGTAATTAATATTTGATAATTCAAAATAACAAACTTAAAAATATGACCAAATGTTAGTACAAAAATTGACCAACCTTTTTTTTCCTGACAAATGTTTATTTTAAGTATAGCAATAAAAGTCTAGTATTAAAATACCCCGCATTACAAATCAAGTATCATGGAGTTTGTACATTTAACCCTCAAATTTTACAGTGGTTTGCACCAAAATACACGGTATTGTCAAGTCAGATCTGACTAACCTCATTTGATGAGATTTTTGGTAGACATAAGTTTACAATAATCATTTTATTTGTATAGTAACATTTATTGATAATATCTTACACGAGTAAAAACCTTTTATTCTTTTTAGATAGATTTTGTAGTTCCATCAGGGGCTATTATAATTACTTATCTTTTTGTTATTAATTATTATTTCCAATTTTTGTGCAAACATGGTTAAGAAGAAAAATTCCTGGAGAAAAAAAAGTTAAGAAAAAAAAGTCCTGCTTGTGACTTAATTTTTCTTATCAACCATCTGGGACTGCCAATGACATAGGTAATGAATAGAGTGGTTCACTGTACTTGAGCATTGAGTTCTCTATTTCTTTATTAATATGGCAAACAATGTTTCCTATCATTTCATTAGTCACAAAAAATGAAAATAATGTTTTTTCGTCCCTCCCCCTGGTGCATTATCTTTAGGTTCAGACATGTGAGTAATCACGTTTGAAGAAGAGATTATTTGGAAATCGTGAGATGTAGGTTTCAGAAAAATATTTTCTTTATCATGCCAATGTTTCGATCTTTATTGAGATCATCTTCCGAATAATCATCGACTAACAGTCACTAATCACTACACATTTGAAGAAGATGTTTGTGAAAATATTCAGAGTAAAGGCTTATCAGTTCAGACAGATTCCTCATCATTCCCTAATTAAAAATTTCTATCATCTGTTCCTTCTCCATCAGACTTGGAGCATTCATCCTCCTCCTCACAATCAAAAACATCTTTAATATCCTCTTCATGAGACTTCCATCTTCCATTTCTGACACTGGTCAGGGTCCTCTTTGTCCTGACTATAAAACTCAGCTAGAACTTCCTCAGGAGTGCGAACCAGTTGTTGCTAAGAAGTTTTCGGATCAAAATTGTGACCAAAGTCCTTAATAATATTAGGAACATTGATATGCTCAGGTCAGAAGCAGTCCAGAATAAAAATACCATAAAAGAAAACTGGAATTACAAACTCAAATTCACTTATTCGACAAAAACAGTTACTTACTAAATGTCGGTTGACTGGCAGATAAGGTTCCTGGCCAACTTTACCACCGACAATGAAAGGGAACAGGTAAAATAAACTGCTAGGTCGACTCCGAGTTACTGTTTGAGGGTGAAATAATCATTAGAGGTTGAAATAGCGAGGAGTGGTAAGGTTAGATGTATGTTACAAAAACATTTCTTTCATTTCATTGGTGATGTTTCAACTTTTATTCGGGTCAATTTCAAGTTTTAAAGAGTAGTGTCATACCAGTAGTGTCATGTTTGTTAATTGTATATGTGGTGGAATTGTCACTAATCATCACACAATCATCAGACTGGAATTGCTGTCATCTGTCATGGCTTACTTCAGATCAGATCGTCTTGTACATTCCAGACATTATTTATCTTAACTTGTATTCAATAATTCAAAATTCATGATTTCTTTATTTTTGGATAACATTCACATTGTATTACAACACCATTGGCCATCCTTTTGTATCATTACATAAATCGGTCATGTCAGTTTTTTAATGTATATAACTTTTTAATTGATTTATTATTTTTATGCAATGTGTGGTTGATATGAAAAATTAATGTCACGAGTGGGATTCGAACGTACGACATCTGAATCAAAGTCTATTGCGACTATGACCCTTGAGACTCTTTGTCTCAACCTACAACTTTTTAAATTCATCCTCTCTAGCCAATATTTGAATATCGTGAAATAATAAGCATTCTTGGGGACATACAAATTACCCACAGGGAGCTATTGGTGGAATACGGGCCCTTTAATAATTATATTAATTTGTTAACATTTTAATTGGTCTTCTTAAACAAAGTAATTATTTTTAATTGATTAATTCTATGTAAATTGTGTCTGAAGTATAATTTTTCATCCCAACCACACTTTGCATAAAAATAATAAATCAATTAAAAACATACATGTAACAGTTTTGATTTATATATTTATTTTTTTGTTAATTTTATATTGGAAACCTCGTAACTTCTTTAATCTTCAATTTTTTCATATGAATGTGTTTGTTTTAAACCACTTGAAATTTTAGGTTTTTAGGTGTGTGCAAGGAAAACTTACTGTGTGAATGTTTTCCCACTTTCTCATGTGCATTTAGCATATTTTTTTTACATTCCTCTTGTCTGTATTTTATTTTATAGTCCTTATTTCTTTTATGTGTCTTTCATCAATTTCTGAACTATTTGATTGCATTCCAGATCATCGTTTACTTTAAAGATAATTTTTGTTTTTTAATTATTTAGCTTATAAACCATTCTATAGAAACCATGTTAAGCAATGCATGCAAAATTTTCTTTGAGGTTGCACAGAATATTGTTTTCTAAGACAGTAACATTGCCAAATTTGTCATTCCTGTTAAAAAATTGACATTTTTTATTTCCAAAAAGGAAGCTTTTCTTTTTAAGAAAATGGTCTCTTGTTCATTATGCCGAACAGTTTTTGTCTTGCCACGAGCCCTGCCATCTAAGATTTTCTGATTAGAAATGCTGACTCAGTTATTCATTCGGTAGCAGAAGGTCACATCAATGACAACTAGACTGTTATCTCAATACACTTTTTATTTATAATAAAATTTAACTTCTAACTAAATTTAGAAGAACTTATTGCCTCTACTGTACTAATATATGTTCATATTAAACATAAATACTAATATTGGATTTATTTTGCAGAACACATATACTTACTATTTCATGAGTATTCTCCTTCAAATGCTATAAAAGGCTATAGTTTTGAGCTTTTTAGTATTAATTACACTTTAAAACAGACCACCACATCATCTGTAGTGATCAGTGAGGCTTTTTCAACTGTCAAATGGACTTAATTTTTTGCAGTTAGGTTAAAATTGCCACTTTAAAGAAGTTAGGATAATTGATAAGGGGATTGAGGAAAGTTCCAGATGAACCCACCTCTGTTTTTGGAAATGGGAAGTAGTTCCAAAAACACATTGATTCTGTTCCAGAAGAGTGCACCTACAACACATATACATATATGAGTAGTGAACAGTTCGTTTCTTTGTCTTTAGTTTGAAATATACAGTAAAAATGACGTTAAAGGAAAAGTAGTTAGAAAACATAAAAACTTGGTTCTTGATGTCAACACAATGCGCTACTTTGAAATATAATGATTGAAAATTTTAATTAAATTTTTTAACGGGGATGCTTGCAACATCAGAGGTCATATCAATCCTCAGGGTGTCGTGTTTGTGAAAAAAAAGCCCATTGTAAGTATATCAGGTTCAAATGCAGGGCCGCTGGATTCAAACCCAAGTGATGAGTTGTGTCAATGCTTAAACCATTGTGGCCACCGATGCCCCTTAATTTAATTTTAAACTAATCTATATATGTATTTAGTAGTCTTAATTGACTGTATTAATTATTTTAATTAATTATACTTTAAATTGGTCGAGTTGAAAAAGCAAGTGCCATGAGTAGGTTTTTAACCCATGACTTTCAACTCCATACACCACTACTCTAACCACATCAGCTATTGTGACTTCTACTCAATGTCTTCTTCTTCATAAGGTTCTGATAGCTCAAGTGGTGAGAACAGTGGCGTATTGTGTTGAAGGTTGTGGTTTTGAATTTCGCTTGTGACACTTGCTTTTTCGTATAAAAGTATAATCAATGAAATTAATTTTAAACATTGAAATGTAATTTTTTGGATTACCCTACTACTTAAGAAGTAAAATAAGTGTTGAAAAGCAGTTTTTACATGCGTATTTAAAACTGCTGTCATGTTTTGTTTTTAGTCTGAGGTTGTTCTTTTTTTTCCCTCCTCAACTGTCCTGTGAATTACATTTAATCCTTTTCACATATCTGATGACATCTGATATATTCTCGCATGCACAGAATTTCTTTTGGTTCTATTAATTATATATAAAAAGTTTAAATATTTATTAAATGGCTGTGTTTATGTTTGTTAACAGCTTGGTTTTATCCATGATATAGTACTCAATGTAAATCCTCTCTACCCGCCCTACTCGCTCCTTGGACTGACGAAACTTTGGGACTGGTTTGCCTGTGTGAACTACACATGGCACGTTCACTCTTCTGTGAGGACTCTTCCCGAGAACGCCAAATCGTTCCAAGACAAGTTGACGGGTGAAAATTCCAAGGAGAGTCCTCTCAATATAACTTTCGTCTGGAAAAACGGTATTTTGATTGAATAAATTGACCTTGCAAAGCTGACTAATTTTAATTTTAATTTTAATTTCAGTCAGCTCAAACTGTGAGTTAGTCGTCTCGCCGATCAAAAGCGTACCGGTTCTTGGAGAGGTGAACTTTCTCAGGTTTTTAAACAAATTCGTCTCACCTGAATTGGACGTTCTCAACCAGGCTGTCCAGGACGGATGCCTCGACGCTTGCCACGCTTTAAGTTACAGTGGTTCAGACAAAGGGAATGATATGTATTTCGCACAATTGTCAGAACGTCTGGACAAATCGGAGTGGTTAATGGGGGATACAGTTACTGTCGTTGACATCGCAGCATGGTCAACAATGAAAAAAATGAAGCTACCAAATTTAAAACCAAAGCTTAATGAATGGTTTAAAAAATGTGATGAATTTGTCAACTCACGCTAAATATAGAAAAGTACCCACATTTTGTACTTTTTTTCTACCTTCTTTTTTCAATTTGAAAAATAAACAAAAAAACATAAGCAATTTTGTTTAAATAATCTCTTATATTATTCCCTAACGAATCTCTTTTTGTCTAGCATATCAGCCCACATTTATTATGTTTGCGTGTGTAACGATAAAAATAATTCTTGTTTCAGGTGTGACATCAACATTCTTGTTCTTTATGGTTTGTATCAGCAATATCAGTAATAGTCTAATATTTCCAAGATATGTGTAACATTTTAATCGATCACTAAATTATTTTTTGTAATTAAATATTTTTGATTAAAATTCATCCATATATGCATTTAGTAGTCATAACTGACCTCATTGATTAATTTAATTAATTATACTTTTTATCTAAGATCTTGGTTGAGATGAAAAAGCTAATGACATCCTTCTTGTTACACTAGCTTTTCCATCCCAACCAAGACTAGATAAAAAGTATAATTAATTACAAATAAAATAAATATGCTGTAATTAATATATCATTAAAAATAATTATAGTTTGAAATAAAAAACAAAATACGATTGTCTGTTGTTTTATTGTCGAGTGCATTTATGAAATGCCTGTTCACTTTGTCTCTACTCAAGCTAGGTAGTAATTGTTAAGCTTTTGGTTGAAGTCCTGAAATAAAAGGGTCACAATGTGCATTTTTAATGTCCCAAATTGAATTATGTGAACGTACCCACAGAGATACGAATGCACAAAAAAGTAAATTTTTCTTTTCTTTTCAGTTTTGGATAATAAGAAAGGTTTTGCAATATCCGGCTTCCAAATTCTTCTTTTATGCGGTAATGAACCGAATTGAAATTATACAAAAAAATGTTATTGAAGCAGCAGTGAAAATATTAAAAGAAATACTGGAAAACGCTAAAGAAAATTTTATAAATTGTTTGCTCATTTAAAAATGAACTTTCCAATAGTAATTATAATGTAGATTGTTTTTAATCAAGCCATTCAAATGTACATCTTATTTTTTTGTGACAATGTTATTCATGCAAGCATTTTTTATTTTTCCGAACTAACTCCCCTGCCTCTCCAAAAAATTAAGACAATTCAATTATTTTAATACAATAAATTTATTGGACAATACAATTAATATATGAATTATACTTATTTATTAATATGTTATTTGGGAAAGTGGCAGCGCAGCAACCCATGGTTCATTTTTTTTTTTCACACTTAGCTAGGGGCTGCCAACAGTGAACTCATTTCATCTCCCTTCATACTGTAATTGCCATTGGATATTCTACCATCGGCTCTCTTATAAATCACACACACATACATTTTAATTATTCATTAAATTAAACACATACACATAATTCATACACACAAACACAGATAAATTTAAAAATAAATACATTTACACGTACACCACACAGTATGTTCAATTCTAAATGTGTCACCTGGTTCCCTTAAGAAGTTGAACAGGGGACTCAATAATTGACCCCCCCGCCCGAGTACCATCTTTATGTCAGTGGTCATGCATATTCATTCCATATAAGGGGCCAAGGCATTGGCAACTTTTTACAAACGGGACACACCTCGGATTTTGACCCATTATTTTTAATGTCAGACGGGTATGGCCTATCTTTAATCCAGTTATCATGAACACCTTTCGGTTCAGATTCTCAAAGGGGCATCATTTGGTCGTTCTCATGATTGAGCAAGAGCCTCTCAGATGAACTGGCCCATTGGATTGTTATTCTTATGGTGTTTATATTTACATATAAATATATATTTTTTAATGAGTGATGTATGTTCCTGTTCACTTTTATTTTTATAACATTAATTCGTTAATTATTGTACTATTTTAAGTTATTTTTCCATATATACCATATATGTCCATAAAAATATATATTCAATTGATTTTGCATATGTAAAATTACCAAAGATGAACTATATTTTCTAGTGTTCAGTTAATTTATGAAAAATAATAAAAGAATTCTATTATTTCCTGTTATATTATTGCCGCGATCAATACTACCACAAGGTTGTATTTTATATTTTTCATTAATTACTTAAAGTGTTTTGATCATGGTACGATCTGAATTCGTTGGATGATGTTTCCAACACCTAATTGTAAATAATTGAATAAGTAACAGTTTCTATCAACATACTAGACCACCCGAACTACTAAAACGTTCGCAGACTCTTTTCAGTTTTAGTACAAGACAAGAAAAAATAAGACCGAGTATGAAAAGGAGAAAAGTATATCAAAGTTACGAAATAACCGTGATCAAAATGACGCAAATCTTACTTCGTTTATTGATTTCCTGCGGGCGGCAGAGTCGATGCAATATCATCAGGACAAAAAATCAGTATGATTTTGGCAGAGTTTGAAATTTTAAATACTTAAATTAAAAAAAAAAAATTAAATAAATAAAATACATTTTATGACTTTATTTATTCTATTGTTTAATTTTTATTAAAGGGATCGGCCCGTAATATTACGTTATTTGAAACTTAAACAATTTATATAATTATTTACATCACCGAACGCAAAAGATCTTCAATTTTTGATAGAGTTAGTAGGGAACAAATAAATTCGAAGCTTGTCAAAAAATTGAACATAACGAATTATCAATTAGCAAAATTACGTTCGAAAAATATTAATAAATTGGATTAAAATAAAAAAGTTGTTATACCATCGAAATTAGGAAAGAACCCATTTTCAAAAAGGATAAAACTGAAATTTGGTCATTACTGATCCTTTTGGTCTGACTACTATCGTGGGTTCTTCTGATAGACGCGTTTCGGCATTTCGCCATCTTCAGTGTGTCTGTCTGTATACAGTTCATGTGATTATTTCGATTATTTGTTTCCATTTTTAGGAAATAAAGGTGAAAGATGTATTAAAAAATTATAGTTTTCAATTTTACTAATACTCAGCGACGCTGAAGATGGTGAAATGGCGAAACGCGTCTTACAGATCAACCCAACGAGGTTAGGTAAACGACCAAATTTTAAATTCATCACTCGGCAACAACATCATCACAAACAACAGGAACACTCCTCACAATATATGTTCCAGTTGTTTTTCTATTGATTGTATCCTCAACACTATTAAGCGATTCCAATTTGAACATCTTTTACTGAAGACACCAGTGAAAATATCCTCTTGCATGTCGTGCCAAAGGTCCTCTAGCTTGTCAGCCTTGGGTTTAAGCTCTTACAGTTGTTTTATTGTAGTTCTGAAACTGATATTTTTTCTTGAAGTGTTTTAATTTTCTCGTTGAACACCTCACTCTGTTTGGTTTTCACCCCTCGAGATGATGGTTCAGTCTTGTCTCATCCGTCTGGCTATGTAGAGATATGTTAATAAAAAACGAAAAATAGCGAATCTACAGTTTACATTAACGCGTTTTTCATGTATTGTTAAAAATCTAAATACAATTTAAGTTACTGAAATTTATATAATATAAATGTATGAATATAGAAACACGGCGCATCTGCATTTAGATTAAAAAAATTATGTTAAATGTAAATAATATAAAGTACATTAAGTCAATAACTTTAATTGGGGTAAACTACATTGTTTTAGGATCTTCTTTTTCCTTTATATGCTCCATACTGGATCATTTTTATTACATCATTTATTAGTCTTATTTATGAAGACAGGTTTTTAAATAATACATCTTTCGATACCTTCGCGCATCGCAGTCTACCTCCAAAAATATGCCTCAGAAATTATATAATATGTAGTTTGAAGAACTGAATATTTTCTCTTTAAGAGTTCAATTAAAAATAAGGTCAAAAGGTCAACGATATTGTATAGTTTTATTTATTTTATATTTCGTAATTTGTGGCTGTTTTTTTTTTTCTTTGGATATATACTCGGACAATTTTTTTACGACTTTTATTTCAAATTATAGGCATTTATAACGTTATATTAATTACACAATTTTAAACCAGATTAAACGATAACAGAAATTCATGGATTTTAATAAAAAAATATTTAATTAAGATGATTTGAAAGAAAATTCACCAAAACACAGGAAAATCCTTGTGTTAGGATAAATTGTTAATTTACATTTAATCTTCCGTTAAATGATTTTTCGGTCCTTTGGTTTTTCTTTCAAACCAACATTATTTTTTATTAAATCTCATGTTTTTCTGATCTCGTTTAATTTGATTTACATATAAAATACATACAGTTTGAAATAAGCAACAATATACGCCGTAATCAGTTTTTTTCTTTGGGTACAAATTTAAGCTGCAAATTTGAATTATTGTTATAAATCAACAAAAATTAATTTTAATTTTACACTTTTTTGTTTGTATTCTGATGTATGATATTTTATTTTGTTATTTTAAATTATATTCATTTGTAAATGGCTAATTGGCTAACCCTCTGCTGACAAAGAAATGTTGAAAGATACACAAAATATATATATATTTGTAAGATGAAAATGTAACACGTTCTTATTATTACTAATTATACGATTAAGGGTGTGTTGAGGTGGAGGGAATTGGGGAATTAGAGACGAGGGAGGGAAGGGTCGGGGGCCGAGGAAAGGGCTTCCCTCGTGGGGCAGGGAGCGGAGGCGGAGGGCGGATCGCGAATATCGGAGGACAGCCGAAAGGACGGAGGCACGGCCGAGGCCGAGTGGGGAGTTGAGCCGTGAGGGCGTTGCGGTAGCGCGTTCGGCGTGTTCTACGCCGCCGGTCGATAGAAACCAGTTTTAGTAACGTCACTGACCCGGAGGAGGAACGCGACGTTTTCAGTTCTCCTCGACTTGACGCCCACACAACTTCACGGCCCCCTCTCAACACGACGGCCCGGCGGTTCTCTCGCGTTTCCCCGCCTTCGCCGCCCCCCGGCGACATGTTCGACACGGAGAAGTTCATCGCGGAGGTCGAGCTGCGCCCGGCGATCTACGATTTCAAGTCCAGGGAGTACGGGAACCGGGAATGCAAGCTTAGGGCCTGGGACGAGATCGGACGGGAGATGTACTCAGGCTGGGATGACAAATCTTTCCACGAAAAAAACACATTAGGTAATAAAAATTAATTAATTACACATACGGCGACGTCAGATTAACACGTAAACCGATAATTATTCACACATGACCGCATGTGCGTATGACGCCGGCGTATGCAGATCCACTTGTTGATTTTAGAATGCAAATGTCATACATCAAATGTTAACGACTTATTTGTCTCGCCGGTACTCCGCACAATGCACATACATACAAACCGCATACATGCCATCCCGTTCCTGCTTTTATGACGCCGTACACTACCACATGATTCTTTTCGACAGTTATACACTTTTTCATTATTTAAATGAATAAACATCATTTTTATCAGACGTGAGTATTTATAGATAATTATTGTTTTATATAGTAAATATAAGTTTACAACTTTCGGCAATTAGTATGCCTTCTTCAGGCAAAATTTGCAACTTTCGTACAAATATTTGTTTACAATATTATAAAAAACTAACATAATATATCAAGTATGTTAATTATTTTCAGTCTTGTCTTGAACCTACTTAAGAGGATATATTATTTAAATATATTTAATGAAACATGGAGAATATTACAACGAAAAAACACAATTAATATATATTTATGAAAGTATAATTTTTTATACTTAACACATTTTAACACAAACGAACGCGACAGAACCCCCGCACATGGGAAACATTTAATTGTATTATTTTAATCTAGTTTAATAAAACTGAAGAATATTACCACAAAAACAACATCTAATATTAAATATAAACAAAGGAAACGATGTTTTTAAACACTTAATTATATTACAATTCAATACAAATAACAAAAACGTGCTCGCACACACACACACACACACACACACACACACACACACACACACACACACACACACACACACACACACATACTGATGACATATTAATGAAATTTGAAAATATTGCGACAAATAAAATTAATAGAAATACTTAAGATTGAATATTTCAATTCGTTGGATGAAAACTACTCTACTCATAAAATAACCATGCTTAGCAAGTAGAATTAGCTATAAACTGTTTTCCTGTCTGTGAAAACCACCTAAAACTTTATTTCATTGTAATTTTTAATGACTTAGGTTTTTCTCTTTTTAAACCACGTCTCCTTATAGGAATTTTTTTAACGCATAAATAAATAAGAAACAATATTTATTACAATTACTACGAAATAATATTAATTATTGAAATTTTAGACAGTTTACAACCTTACTTGCTACTTTATTATTGAATTTAAATAAATTGATATTTATTAATTATTTGTATTTGAATTATTAACTTATTATACTTGTAATATTATATTAAACTCTCACTCACTTTCAAACACGACGCACAGTTCTTCCAGTTGCTAAGGTCGTCTCTTGAAATCTGATAATTTGTAATTAGTCATTACTAATTTGTGAGATTTGCTCCTATGGTCTGCGAGGTGATAAACCTGTTGTTTGAGAGTTATCTACATCTTCGACTGCCTATCCTCGTTGATTTTCGTTAATTAAAACGCGATTCGGCATTTCGCCATTTTCAGTGTTTGTTATTACTAGACATACTATCATTACTAATTTTCTTTGTTTATTTTCCCAGAGCAAATAAGAGTTTACGACGTTGACCGTATGCTTATTTTGATATTGAATTTATTTCTTTAAAACAGGTTTTTTCTCGCCGAAGCGTGAAACCAGTACGCGATCTCAGTGTTGTCTTTAATATGGTTTGAAATTTTGTAATAAAAATTTACCGCTTTGGTCTTTCAAAACTCACGTAGAGATGTTTTCGGGTTACACATCACTATTTTAACTCTATAAGTCGATTTCAAAGATTTTTTTTCAATGAACATTGTTGATATTTCAATCTTAAGAATTACAAAGACCCGGGACTGGCATGATAGTAGATCAATGATGTAACTCTAGGGGACGACCATGTTGGTGGGTCACGGATTTGGACCAAACTTTTTTTACTAATTCTACATCCCAAAACATAGACACGTGTAGGCTACCTTCTTGTGAATTGGTGGTTACGCCCAAAATTTTTGATAAGTTGAAATTTTCCGATTTTTTTATTATTTTTATTTCGCCTATGTACTTGCTCAGATTGAAACGGTATAATTCAAAAATGGCTAAAAGGATTTTAACGTCAAAAGACCATTTGAAAAAAAAGGAACCTAGCTTTTTTAACGACGTACATACCATTAAAATATATAAAATATTTCTATCAGAAAATACACAACATAGCAAAATTATTTGTCAGAAATTAACCTCTTTTTTTATGGCAATAACAGTCCGAGTTTAATGTTTGATACAGTTATAAAATGCACTCCATAATTTCTTTAAAACGAATTATCAACTATGAAAATTGGTCTCCCAGTTTTCGAGAAAAATGATGTTAGAGACATTGCACTAGGAATGTCAGTCACGCAGAAGGTGGTCGAAATTATCGGTCAAAAAATTAATTTACACCGATTTCCGCGAAAGCCGGTATCCATACTACTTATGTTTTTGGACGAATCGTGTGAACTATCTGCCGATTGCGACCTCGTTGGTGATGTTCGTATTATTTATTATTCCTTAACAAACAGTCCAAGGCTTATAGAACTTTACCGAAAATCGTTAGGTATCACCGGCTGATGTTTTACCCCCAGATCCAGACAAAAATTGAGCTCCTCTTTATTAGAACTAGTACCTGCAACGATATAAACGATTCTTTCAATGTTAAAAGTCAGTCGCCTTAGTTTTTGTATCCACTGATTTTCCTCCAACCCTGATTTTCTGATCACAAATTCTCTTCTGTATAAGTGTGGATACTGTACCAGAAGGCGGGATTATCATTATTACAAATATTTCACCTATTTCCTTCAATCGCGACCATCTCTGTATAACAAAGTATGATAGTAAATTTACCCGAGTATGGTGAAACTTTTCAATTTCTTTCCAGATGATATGCACTCATTTGCAATTTATTTAGGCGAAATAATATTTTAAATATCTTTCATTAAAATAGGTAAAATCCGGCTCTGATCGGTCAGGATGTACTCCGGTACTTGACTATAATTTTCCGCTAACTCTTGTGCTACAGTCCCTCGGTGGTATAGCCTCTGCAGATCGCGAGAAATGATTTTCACAGGTTATGAGATATTTGATTTCGGCCTTTTTGGTGATGGCCCTACGATATCTAACGATTCAAATCGTTTGCAGAGAACTTGAGGTTCTTCCAGTGAGGGCTTGATGTTTTGCGGATGGTCAGCGCAATGGTGGCTTCCATATCCCGTCGCCAAAAGTAATCTGCTTCTACTGGCTCTCTGGTTTCAGCTCCCTCCCTGAATGAGTGGAATAGATTTCATCGTAACACTACTGGAACCATCTCTAGGCACTATCAGCTTCACTACTTTTATATAACATCATCGTAGAAGTTGTTTTGTAAGTTTTGACACTCATGGCAGCCGGGGTCATCCCTTTGTTTTTTATTCGCGAGACCTCTCATTTACTCGACCAGCTTCCGATTTTAAACCGTCTTAAGCCTTAACATGATCAGACAATTGCTCCTTTGCAAATCGACTCTTTTACCATATCACGTTATCGAATCTGCTGAGTTTGTTAGTTAGTTGGAACACTGCACCAATCCCAATCCGGTATCAATAAGAAAAAACTGGAAAAACCAAAACATTTTCTTCTAATAGGGAGCTAATTATGCTCTGGAAGGCTTCTTGCTATTTCTGTTTCCAAGCATATTCTCTCTTTTTCTTAGTTCGGTCAGTTAGAGATCGTGCCTTTTTACTGTATCCCAGTGTGTGGGAATTTCGTGTCACATGTTTTTTTTTGGTATAGTTTAATTTCTTATGTGTTCGTTTTCTATACATACATTATATATATATACACACACACACACCAAAAAAATCATACTATTGTACTAGTATCTGCCCACAACATCAACAACTAACTGCATTCTCAAATCTACATAAACAAAACATACCCATAAGACCAGTCAACAAATATATACAAATTATTACTACACCGAACTGATAGTATTTGTCATAACAAACATAAGATGATCTCACATCAACCAAAACTACATAACCAAAATGTAAGACATACATAAGACAAGTTATCAAATACAGACCAGCCCCTTGCAAAGCAGAGCCCAAAATTAATCACACACATGAAATTAAACATCACATATTGTTAAAAACCAAACAGACCTAATTAAAAATATCATAGACATACAAATCACTTAATAATAACAGTAATTACAATTAATTATTATTTTCATCTAAGGTTTTTAGTTGAGATGAAAAATTAGTGTCACGAGCGGGATTCGAACCCACGACCTTCGGCTAATAATAATAATAATCATAATAATAATAGGTTGGGCGACGGTGGCCGCAACAGTTTAGGCGTTGACTCGGCGCTCATCATTGTAAGGTAAAGGTCCCGTGTTCGAATCCAGCGGCCCTGCATTCGAAACCGACATACTTACAAATGGGTTTTTTTCAAAAACACCAGCACCCCGAGCTTTGATATAACCTCTGCTGTTGCGAACCCTCGTAAAATAATAATAATAATAATAAAATAATAACAAATTAAAAAAAAAACACTGACACACAAAAACACACAATTCACAGCAGAAACAGTTAAATTTGTTAAATCTAACAGTCCCTCAAACTGATCAAAACTATAATTCTATACATGCCGAAATTCAACAACGCACGACAGCATCATACAAACAAAACAACTCACACTAAAATACTCAAATATTAAAAGCAATACAACTAACTAAAATAGAAATATAACACTAAAAGAAACCAATAGATACCATTAATCAATTTCAGTAAATTAACTCAATACAAACATAAAAGTCTGGTCTCATTCAGTCCACAGAGTACTCGATATTCTTCGAGGCGAGGTTGAACCCACTTTATCCTCACTAAATAACTTACTTTTACTCTCCAGACGTCACACGCTCATCTCAGAATACTCGATATTCCTCGAGGCTAGGTTAAACAACCCCTATTTTCACTTAAAA